AAGCACTCACCCCCCCCCCTCTTCTCTCAGCACACCCATAATTTTCCTACATACCCTCCTTTTTCTCCTATTTTGCTGACATCATGTAGTTCAGAATGCTATTCCAAGGTAATCCCTCCTTTTCTCTGTCTCCAGAGGCCTCTCCTTCATCGTTTTTCAGGGGGTAAGCAAATGTCTCCCAAGAGTCGTGCTAACGGCGCGATGACTAAGCGGGTGCGTCCTAGTAGGTCGTCCACATGTTGGGGTGAGAAAATCGGCACAAGAGCACATCGTATCCGCTCGCTCTCTTTAGTGTCGTTGGTTTTGGTGCTTTGACTGTGGTCTGCCAGAGTCTCTCCGCTCGATTCGCTCATTTTTCGTGGTAGCGGTCGGCCTCCTCCTGAAGCCAGGTCCGTTTCGTAGCAAGTTAATTCCTCCACTTTCGTTCGTTTACCCCGCATTCAATTCCCTCGGTGGGGCCTCATAGGGGGGCACATTTGGGCCTTGTTGTGGCTCATTCCGCGCTCTTTTTTGGCTTTTGATCTCGTATATCATCAAAAGCTTCATAATATCTGCCCTCTTACTCTCTTTCTGCCCTCTCTTTGCCATAGAACGTCCTCCTTTGGCCAACCTCATTCTCAGTCAGGCTTACCTGGAAAAAAATTCCAATTAGGTCCCCTCCAGACCGGGTCACTTGGGCACGCTTGGGCCACTCTGGAAAAATGAAATTTGGCCAAGGCATGCAGGGTAATTAGGGCAGCCTGGGCAAGACAGGGCAGCCATGACTGTCCCAGTCCTCGATCAAGCTCGTTCTCTGGCATCCTAGGCATGACGTGGGGACTCCTTCCTGGGGAATGTCCCCCCCAATGTCAGCCTGCTATCGAGTGTCCTATATGTGGCATACACTCTTCTAACTATGCCCAGCACTACAATCGCCGCCATGGCCAGCGGAGTGGCTGCATCAGGCAGCGCCTGCCTCAAGGTTGGGCCACGGAGCATGGCTTTCTTTACTGTGCGTGTGGTGATCTTGTCATCACGGCGGCCAAGTAGCATCAGTCTATTGTCCGGCACTGACACGGCCCTCGCCAGTGCACAACAACGGCCAGGTAATCACGGCGGATACAGGCCCAAAGCCTGGACGGCTAGGACAGGACGCTAGGACAGGATAGGGAGCTATGGATGTTGCCTATTGGATGGCAGCTATGATACGAGTGTTATTTCTGACGCGGCCAGTGGCATCGCCGAGGCCATGTCTGAGGCCATTGAATATAAAATAGGGGCAACATGACTTTCTGATTAGTGAGATGATGATACAGGGGCCGCCCAAATTCGGTCGGCTATCGATCTGGGATGGAAATGCCAAGCCTGCGAGTCTTGAGGCGCATCCAAGACCTCATTGAAGGGAGTATAAGTGGCACACTGTGACCGAGTAGCGGGTCGTCATATGAGAAATTTGTCTGTTGGATTCATGATCCCAGAAGAAGAGCTTCTGATTCTCACTGCATTCGTCCAACTAGGGCCCAATGGTCCAGTTGCTTGTGAGGGAGCAGCTGTCGGTGGAGGGGATGCGATGGGGGGCAAAGTTCCCCTCTGACTCGGCCGAAGAGGGGGTCAACTATCGCCTGAGGGATTTGTTCGAGGCCTCTCTCAGTGAGTGGCCCAAGCGCGGAGTTCTTCCAAATACATTCATCACTCGTACTATATCTGCTATACCGTCTCGTCACCAAGGAATTGGATCCGCACCACCACAGTTCGGAACCCACACCTAGCCAAACAACAATGCAATCTCTATGAATCAATGACCAACTCCTTAATTATTCAAAGAGCTGCAAATAGGGACCATAGCCGGTGCCCCAGGGCGCCTTTTCCGGGTTTTTGACGGGGAAGTTGTACAGCACATGGTGATGGTAGGTGCCGGTCACTTTACCGCGCCGCATATCCCCCCCGGATCCGATGTAGAAAATGTTGTTCGAGTCAGGAATGAGTTCCCACCACTGCAGCCGAGGGTCCTCCGAACACGGCTGCAGCGAGAGGACGCCGTTCTTTGTGTCAAAGTCGCCCAGCTTCTGATGGTCCGGGAACTCTGGACCATAGATGTAGCGAGGGCGATTGTCCACGCCACCCACGGTCAAACACTTGTCCGGGTGCTTCTCACTCCTCACCTGACCGCGCGACACGTTCTTCGACGACGCCTTGAAGCCCTTTGGTGGCGATTCACACTAGAAAAACTCGAACCGGTCGTCTGAATTTTCACCATCATGTAGCAGATAGCGGCCATCGGAGCTTTTATGGATAGCCGTGCCGGGCCGAAACTCATAGTGCCTCAGACCTGTTGTGAGGACGCTGAGCTTCTTCGGTCCCTGGACGCGGTGGCAGTGCATGTCAGACGCTTGCATAGGGGAAGCGACGGCCTGCGTACCGGCCATGGCAAGTGCAGCGAGAGTAGTAAGAATAGCAATCGACTTATTAGGAAAGACGAAGGAAAGTGGGGGTGTGTCTATGCGCGCTTTATACGCATATAAATGCCAAACAACGCTCAGGCCCTCACTCTTACGTCACACTCGTGACCATTCTGCCCTATGAAAGAGGCCCTCTTCTATGGGGTGGCGCGCTCTATGGCGTAGCATCGTGTCCTTTGCCATTTTCACCTGGCTCAGTTGCCCAATGATTCTTCGACTGTGCAAACTAAATTCTAAGGGAGGCGATTTGCATGGCAGCTATGACAGTATCAGTCGCGATTAGCTGCAAGTATCGCAACGGATACGTTCCGGCATAATGGTACATCCGCTGGTGGCAAAGTGTAACAAGCTGACGTGGCCTGCCTTCCCTATGAAATGGGTGATCGACAGCGCAATCCAACAGATCTGTATTAGAATCATCTTCAGGGTGGAGCCTCCTCCTGGCCTCGTAACGTTGTGCAAAGATCATTCTTGCACAAGGGGGTGTATCACTGCGGCTCTTAATGAAACGAACTATATGCCTGAGGGCGCACCAAAAGAAGGTTATTGGTCTTTGAAAGTTGAAAATCCATACCGAGAAACTCATGTGTATGCGACGAAGCATCACTACTGCTCATTTTATGGCGGTAAAAAAATCCCTGCAAAGAAGCAGCTCCAGAAGGCAGCAGTACTGATCGTAGCAGCTGGTGACAATAGCTGCCACGATGTTGCAACCTTTGGACAAAACTGAGGCAAAACTGTCATTAAATCTGTCTGTGTGGCAAATCCAGACAGGCTTAGACCTGGTCATACTGCGCCACCAAAAGGCATGGGCCCAGTTCTACCTGCTGACCAGCCATGGTCGGACCCATATGATCGATGGCTTTAAAGCTTCGCAGCGTTGGGTCTGGAGAAGTACCATGGCCCCTTATCTGGCTCTGGACCATCAGACCTTTTAACTAGAATTTTGTGTTTGTCAAATAGTTCGATTTCGTCAATGGTTTTGTTAACGAAAAAGTCCACGAGGTTGCCAATGATGAGAGGGAAACTAAACCAATCGAGTGACCAGTAGGCATCACCATCTTTAAACAGGATCAAGTCATGTTCCGAATCGCGGTCACACATATCACACTCCCAGGTATACCAGTCTATTTCGGTTTGAGGTAGCTGATAGAGACGGTATCCGTTGACATCCTTGATGAAATAACGCGTGTAATCCCCCATTTTCAGAATGATCCGATGTGGCCTCGGAGGTAAGGGATGGAAGAGCGTAAGGTAGAGGGAGGAGGGCGTGTATTTATAGATTCTAGATGGATTCAATGGGGATGAGTCAGGAGCAAGTCAGCGGCATGCATAATGCAGAATTGTATATAGACAATGGATCAAGTCAAGACATTCCAAGCTTAATCCATTGATGTGCTGCCGTCTAGCAGGCGAGGTCACCTGCCTTTGTTTATCGTGCCCGCACAACCTAGGTCGCCAGTGCAGCAGATCTACAGACAACTGTTGCCGCAACTGGGCTCGGTCCCTCTCTTTCAAACCCCGGCCAAACACATGCAGTGCGTCTCGGAACCCTTTTAACTGGCCTATTATGGTCACAGTCCAATGGCACGCACATGGTTGCAGAGGCTATATTTGCGCTCCTTCCTGCGCCACTTTTCTCCCAGCGTCTGCGTTATCCGCCACCATAGCACCGCCCTGCGCGCGTCTGCCGCGCTGCTCATGCCCGTGGTCGAGATCACCACTTGCACTTGCTGATCCCACTGTGCGCGCTTCGTGTGATCGGCCTGTCGGCTTCAGCGTCACTTTGTGGCGGGCCGATCCGCTCCATTCTCGACCCTGTCACTTCTCGAATGAACAGGTCGTAGTGCGATTCCGGCCCAGGGCCCGCGTGCAGACGCCGCACCAGCAAGTCACTCCGTTCTTGCCGACCAGGTACAATGGGTGCCTCGCGCTCCACCTCGACCGCTGGACATGCTTGTACTGCACGTCACGCACTCTGTCGTGACGCAATGTCTGTCCGCGGATACATCAGTCTTCGCAGTGCTCGCTATGACTGAGCCGTGCTCCGAACACCGCGCATGCCTAGCATCCTGCCGCATGGGCCGGACACATGGTCCGTACCTGGAGTCCCACGCTCATGCTGTAGTCCTGAAGGGACAGTGCCCTGAATCGAGGCAGCACCTGCAGCCACGGACGAACCAAAGGTACACTCTGCTCCGGCAGATCCCGCCCAAACCATCCGGCTCATGCAGCAGGCGATGATATACCAGCCTCTTGTACATGTATTTCTAGCATTCCCTCGGTGGCTTGAACAGCCCCACATCCAGCACTTAATTTACAGGTGCTATATCGTCTCGTAGCCAAGGAATCGGACCCCCCCCCCCCGATTTCATAGCCAAAGAATCCGACCCTTCTGCCTGAAAGCTTGCGCGCATGATATGGTTTGACATACAGTGACATAGCCTCTGATTGACCGACCTCATCAGTGGCTATCCTATTTTGTAATGCCCCCCACTTACAATGAATCTAACTATCAGTAAATCGATAAGATCTAATTCAACATTATAAAAGACAAAGGAACTAGGGTGAGGGACGGACCTTCATCTCACGGTCCCAGAAACGCTTCTTCGCAGCTTGGATGAACGAGTCGCTCAAGTCTGTGACACCAGCATCCTGCTGCACACCAGCCTTGTTCAGCAGCGGCTTAGCGGCGCTCGATGCACCAATGGCCTTCAGGTGGCTGAAAGCATCCATCACAAACTGCACAGCAGCACTCTGCTTCATAAGGGACTTGGTACCCTCCGAGGAAAGAACAAGCGCCACTGCATCATAAAGAACCGATGGCGAGCCAGCAAGCTGCACATCCGCGTTGCGCATCGAGCCATCCTTCAACCTGATGCCACCCACTGTAGGAGCAATCAGCGTAGCTCTGGCATTGTTCTTCTTAATCTCTGACACCAGTTTGTCCAGCACCGAGCCATCAGTGCCGTTTGTAATTAGGATACCCACATTGCGACCCATCAGCGTGTTCTTCCAGTTCTTCTGGATCGACAGTTGCTTGCTAGGCTTCATGTCATGAATAGGTGCCATGGCGTCCGACTTGGGCGGCAACTTCATGCCAAGACCCAGCGCCACGCCCTGAGCGAGTCCCTCGTCCACGTTGCGCAGGTTGCTTACCATACGCTCACGAACAAACGGTAAGGTCACCTTGCTCAGTTCAAAGGTAAAGGCCTCGACAATGTGTTGCTGTTCGTTCGATGTCTGTGACTTCCAGAAGAGACGGGCCTGGCTGTAGTGGTCCTTGAAGCGTTCGTCGCGGATGCGCATCTTGGGGCCAATCTCGCGAGGACCAGTAACTGCCTTTGACGAGCCAAAGCCAAATGGACAGGCACGGGGTCCGGTGGGCTCCTTGGCCTGGTTCAGGCTGTTTGGCTGGTAGCTGGCGCGGCCCTTGTTCACCACACTTTGCATCATACCGTCACGCTGGAAGTTATTGACAGGCACCTTCGGAGCATTGATCGGCAGTTGATGGAAGTTGGGGGAGCCGAAACGTGACCTTTGCGTGTCCAGGTACGAGAACAAACGGCCTTGCAGCAAAGGGTCATCCGAAAAGTCGATACCCGGCACGACATGCGATGGGCAAAACGCCGACTGCTCATTCTCTGCAAAGAAGTTGTCGGGGTTACGGTTCAGGACAAGGCGACCAATGATTTTCAGCGGCACATCCTCCTCAGGAATGAGCTTGGTAGGGTCGAGTACATCATAGAACTGCTTGTCGGCAAACTCGCGGTCAAACACCTGCACACCCAGTTCCCATTCGGGGAACATGCCGTTTTCAATTGATTCATAGAGATCGCGACGGTGATAGTCATTGTCTGCGCCCTGCAGCTTTGAGGCTTCGTCCCAGACGTTGGACTGAACGCCCAATTTCGCACGCCAGTGGAAGCGGACAAAGTGTGCATGGCCTGTGGCATTGACAAACTGGAAAGTGTGCACACCAAAGCCGTCCATTGTGCGCAGCGAGCGCGGAATAGCGCGATCAGACAGCAACCACATAAGCATATGCGTGCTTTCTGGCATAAGTGAGGCAAAGTCATAGAAGGTGTCGTGAGCAGAAGCCGCACCAGGGTAGCCGCGATCCGCCTCCATCTTCACCGAATGAATGAGGTCAGGGAACTTAATTGCATCCTGGATGAAGAAGACTGGGAAGTTAATACCAACCAGGTCCCAATTGCCTTCTTGTGTGTAGAACTTGACGGCAAAGCCACGAACGTCACGAGGCGTGTCTACAGAGCTCGCGCCACCGACAACCGTCGAGAGACGAGCAAAGGCAGGTGTCTTGGTGCCCTTCCTGAGGACGCTGGCATTCGTAAGGTATGAAATATCTTCCGTGGCCTCAAAGTAGCCGTGCGCCGCAGAGCCACGGGCGTGTACAATGCGCTCGGGAATCCTCTCGTGGTCAAAGTGGAAGATCTTTTCACGAAGAATAAAGTCTTCCAGCAGCGACGGGCCACGCGAGCCACTCCTCAGACTGTTTTCGTCATCCGCGATCGGCACGCCCTGGTCCGTCGTCAAATTGCCCGAGCCTCCAAGCTGATGCGTCTCAGCGCCATTTCCGTACGTAACGTTGACGCCCGCAGTAGCCTGCGTGTAAGTGGCAAGCGCCACAACACTCAGCAGCGCGGTAAGGAGCCTCATGATGGAGGGAAAGAGAATCTTTACTGGCTCTCTTTTATCGCGTGCCGGAAACGGTTCCGTGTTGGGTACGTCGACGCGTGTTAATCACAATCCGCGGATGAAATTGCACCAATCATAGGGTCCTGCATGGGAAAACCCCATCAGCCCACGCACGGGCCTATAACATTTAACGAGATGGAGTGACGACACCAATCAGCTTCAGTCAATTTGTCATGCTCCCATTATGGATACATCAGAATGACATAATCCAATCAAAACGATTGGCGCGTACTATATTCGCCTGGACAGGTGGCACATCTTAGATGCAACTTTAACCAGCAACGCTGTCGTGCAAAAGTTAAAGGCGTTTGGAGACATGGGAAGTCGACCGCCTTAGTATCGATGGCACAGTCGCCGCCATTCGGGAACGTGTGAAAGACACACCTGTGTATATCAGCATTAATATGTGCGTAAGAGACGCTAATGCAGTGACGTCCTCGATCCTGCCATTGCTTCAGGAACAGGCACGCCTGTTAGTGGAGGACTGTGTATCCATGACTGACGTAGTACATCGTGCGAGCTCCGCTCGATTGTTCGACAGCTGGAAGGCCTCCGCGTGGTCGGATGTGAGGTTGTGGAAGTAAGCCCACCCTACGATTCACAAGGTGCGCTGTGTCACTAACATGCAGGCGAAGTGACATCACTAGCAGCCGCAGAGCTCTTATACGAGCTCATGTCTGTCATGGCACTCAATCCTTTGGACAAGGTCGCGATCCAGCCCTACGAGCGGCCGGTGCGTCCACTCCTGCGTACACCGCAGATTGGAGCACTCAAGTCACCCTGGGAGACCTTCGAGCGGGAGGCTAATGGTATATTCACGCACATTCTTGTACCGACCATGAGAGTCGTTGGGGCGCTGACTCTGCTAGCAGTGCTCACAGTGGTACTCAAGGAGGGCACAAAAGCGTGCGCTTACGTAGGCCCACAAGGCACATGCGCTACAGACCCGGCAGACGGCCCTCTACGTCAATGGCCCAGCTCGTGACGGCCGGTTGCCTCTCGAAGATCTTTTTGCCGCCATGAAGGCTAAGAAGTACGGGGGGATGCCGCTGTACAACTTCGCGATCGCTCGTAGCATCCAGCACAATGCAATGTGCTGGCCTTCCAACCTGGACCCCGTACTTCTCCGCCAGGCCGAGATTGCGAGCAGGCTCGATCGTGACGAAGTCGAGGCACCGGTTCAGGTACTCTTCCGTGAGCATTTGAGCAACATGTAAGCCTGTGTCTAGATTGCGGATGGGGTTGCCGTCACCGAGTGGGTACCAGGGATCCTCGATCGAGTCCTGGCCAAATCCGACAGGGAGGCCGCACTCGGCCAATGTCCGCACCGGAGCGACGCCGCGTGGCTGAGGCGCATTGAGTCCGCGACCCTGTAGCTGGAGATTCTCATTCGGGTTAATGACAAAGCCTAGGCCAGCCGCGCGCAGCTTTGGAAGGAGCTTGGCCATGTATCCCGGCTGGTAATAGGCCATAGCCACTGCATGACTCACTGTGACACGGCCCTGCATGCGGCGCCGGAGCGTTTCAGCGGCCATGACCTCGAGGTAGCGCGACTGGTCGTCGTCGATCTCGTCGCAATGGATATCAATGAGCGCGCTGTACTTTTCGGCTAGGTCGAACACGTAGCGAACAGATGCTACGCCGTCTTCGCGCGTATGCTCGAGGTGCGGTATACCGCCAACGACGTCAGCACCGAGCCGCATCGCCTCATCCATCAATTCCCGACCACGCGGGAAGGCCTCGATTCCATTTTGAGGGAATGCTACCAGCTGTAAGGTACACCACGGCTTGACCTCCTCCCTCACGCGCAGCATCGTTTTGAGCGCCACGAGTTCCGGATCCGTGACGTCGACATGTGAGCGAATAAAGCCCACACCATGCGAGATAGCTGCGCGAATCGCGCCCAGCGCATTACGACGGATCTCATCAGGGTGGTTCAAACCTGCATGCTTCCTTTCTGCCCAGATTTCAATGGCCTCGAACAGGGTGCCGGAGACATTTGGACGCGGCTTACGCGCCGTATGAGCATAGTCCAGATGAATATGCCCCTCCACGAAAGGCGAGCAGAGCAGTCGACCACACGCATCATAGTCACCTACGCGGTCTCTCGCACTTGGCTTGATTTCTTTGAAGAGTCCCTCTTCAATATAGATATCCCAAGTCCCTTCCTGTCCTCGGAGCTTAGCGTTGGCAATCCACATGATAGCTACGTAGTACCCCTCCACTTGGCGCTAAGACCTCCTTATCAATCACCGCCAAAGGCGCTGTTCTATTGGTCGAAGCACTAGGTACAGTAGAAAGCTCAGGGCGAATCCCACTTCGAACCCTAGGTCTCCAGAGTGCTGTGCTATAGGACCAGTGTACCAGACCTGATCCATTGTGGGGCCAATAAGTGCAACGGGCAGTAGGGCACTGACGAGAGCGGCGATCCCCGGCGGAAGGCGCCGCCAGTCGTCCCAGATCATCAGATCGTAGGAAGAAAAGTTCCTTCGGCGGAGAACGAAGTGATCAGCCAGGACGACTCCGGCGAAAAGACTGCACCAGTAGGCAAGAATACTGACAAAGTTGGAGAGCGTATCATAGAACTGGTTACGGCCCGCAATGCCCAGTGGGAGAAATATAGCCACACAAATGCTGGTCATGACAAATCGAGGAAGGACACGTAGAGGAGGAAGGAATGTTTGCACAGCAATGCCAAAAGCGTAGGTGCCAGGAATAATATTGCCCACAGCAGAAAGGGCGAGCATCACGGTCAGGAACTTGCCAAAGTGGCCCACATGTCCAGCCAGGATCACATCAAAGAGAGGACCTGGTGATGTTGCCTCACTAGCTCCCTTCCACGCAGGAACATCAGGTGCTGAAATGGCAAAAGCAGCACCAAACATGAATGGCGGTGCGACCGACAGCACGAATGCCATATACACGGCGAGAAACATTCGCGTGGTGCTACTGTTCCGTTTCACATATAGGCTCACATCAGAGGCGATGGTCGACCATGACAAGAAATAGCCTGCCACAACACATCCTAGACCGAGTACGCCGCGCGCAGTCGTCTCAGGAGCTCCTGCTGGCTGGTGCAGTCCCTTTTCACCCGCTCCAGCAAAGGCAGCAAGCAGGATGAAGCAGATTAGTGCAGGCAGCCAGAAGATGGACTCGAAGTAGTGCATGACGCGGCCACCAAAAAAGCACACGACAAACGCAATGATAGAAAGAATTACAATACCAACAATTGAGGACATGGAATCAGGCGTCGAGACAGCCTTGAGCGTCTGCCCGCCTAAAATGACGTTCTCAATATTGTACATGACCTGTGTCGCAGCAACAAGGAGACCAGGCAGACATGCTCCAAAGTAGCCAAACGAATAGCGTGAGTGCACAATCTGACGCAACCCTAGATTCATCCCAAAGGTGGTAAAGTAAGCCGGTACAAGTGCCGTTACAAGTGAGAACGCCACAATTGTATACATGCTGTCCTTGATCGTGATATCAAAGTCCTTGGCGAGCATGCCGGTAGAAAATGTAAGCACATTCATATTTGCCCCGATCCACAACAGAGGCACTGTCCACCAGTGAGCATGATTCTGCTTCTCAGGAGGAATAGGTTCTATACTGGACCATTCAAAAAGGGACGAGCGGAGCCAGGAACGTGGATGGTACCAATTCTGGTGCTTGGCATTATCGTGAAAGCTCTGTACTTCCACATCAATCTTGGACAAATCTTTGTCGTCTTTGTCTAGGTCCATGATGAACGGCGTCGCAAGGCCAGCGCAAGGGCCCTTACTTGGCCCGCCTCATCCAATCTTATCATCACGGATAACCAGTTCTTGTGGAGGCCTAGATAAAGCGTCTCCGCTAAGCATACTCGAATGTAGGTGTGCCTAGTATGAACCGAGCCGTACATCGCTCGGGTGGCCCACATTCGGTGAAGCGTGGAAACTTTGCCAATTACTTTCGTGTCATTTTTAATGCTGGATGCGCTTTTCAGTAGGCCTCAGAATCAAGTTGAATCAGTACGAGGCCCACCAAGCTGAGCCGCCTGAATCTCCAGAGAAGGAACCGGGGTAGCAAGTCTTGTCCGTTGTAGAGCCTTCAGGGTAATAGGAAGTAAATTGCTTGAAAGTGCTGCGATTCCGGTCTGGAGTCCTCCTTATCGATGCATCGTATGTGACAAAGTTTGTCCGACGAAGAACGTAGTGTTCTACGAGAGATACATTAAATCTATTTAGCCTTTGTGTGGAGACTCATGTGACCTGTGATCGCATCATCCAGCTGCGAGATGGCTACAACTCTGGTAACCCAATTCGATCCCTTTGAATCCATCTAAACAGTCAAATTTTGAGGGGAATGAAGGGTACAACCCTGCAAAATTTATGGAAGAGGTAGAGGGGTGTGATAGGCAGGCCTAGCTACAAGCAATCGACGGTCTACATTCAACGAGCCAATGGGCCATGACAATCATACACTTACTGACGCTGCCAAATTGCACTGCCGAAAAATTCGCACCTCATCGTCAGCAAATGCACCGACCACGGAATGCAGCAGACCACGGTTGTGAAAGAGGACAAAGTCACCCTCCTGCCAGTCGTGTGCGTAAACATATGATGGGCTGATGGCCGGTCTCTGCAGCTTGTAAACGATGTCGCGTACAGTTTTCAGGTCGTCGATCACTGTGCCATCGGCCTTGTGGATCTTGCGTATGGCTGATGGATGGATCTGAAGGGCTGGTTTGCCTGTCACAGGATTCTTCCATACCATAGGCAAGACCTGGATCATGTCCTGATCGATAGGAGGGAGCTGCTCTTCAGAGAGCTCACGGCCTTCTGTGTACAGTCCCAAACCGGTTGGAAATGAGCGACACTCACTCATCCAGATGTATGGATGCGGCGCGTACTCTATCCGGGACGTGTTGACGAAATGCTTCTCTTCATCCGACAGTCTTTCGTACATGGTCTCTCCGCTGACAAATGCCGTCGTACCCAGAGGTACATCGAGTGTATCGCCCGAACCATCATCATACAACAGCGTCTGGCGCCGCCCTTTCGGTACTGAGATGGCAAGCAGTGTGGTTACTTTGGGTGGATGCCTCCCGTACAGTGCGGCATCAATGTGCCAACGGTAAAACCGCGTGCAGTCTAGATCTTTTTCCGCTGGGATGGCATCCCTGTGGAAGGTGCGGTGGTGTGGGTGTCTCAACTGAATATTGTGCAAGCCTTCTAGCTCCTTCACAAAGCCGTGCCCAATCACCTGTACCTGGGGCACGGACGGGATGGTCTTCAGGTCTGGGTGCAATATACTGTTTTTTGCATTCGGCACATCCTTGCCGTGTCCATACGTGTCCGACGCGGGATCAAATCGTTTTGTCAACTGGTACTGCGCCTCGGGCGATACGTGTTTTTGGCCACGAAAGAGGAGTACTTGGTGCTTATACAGAGCATCATGAATTGCTTCAAAATCCTTCTCATCCAGATGCTCGATGTCGGCATGCCGAACCTCGGCACCAAATGTGACGTTGCTGTCAGGCGTCCTAGGGAAGGGCTGAATCTCAACTGGCATTGTGAATGGGTCTGTGGAGGTGGGGTTCGTAATGTGCCTTTTATCCTTCGCACTCGCTTATCACCCTGTTCTGATAAGCGGACGTCGCGCACTGATTGTGAACAAGTGCCAATGATAATGGATAAAATCTAACCGCGGCTCTTCCACGACGGCAATCGCTATGCGTCTCCGCGAAGTGTTCCGAAAATTAGAGACACGGCACCCTGAAGGCATGTCTGGTGCCGAGCTTCAGGTCGCTAACGAGGACCTCTTGCCAACGGCACCGGAGAAGCGGACTTGGGACTGGAGCAGTTTTGTATCATTTTGGATTGCTGATGGTTTCAATTTGAATACATTTACCATGTCAGCTACGCTGCTCACGCAGGGTCTGACATGGTGGCAGGCCTTTATCTGCGTCGTCGTTGGATATACTCTCGTGGGTCCCTTTGTTGTACTTAATGCACGGCCTGGCGCTGTGTTTCATATCAAGTTTCCAGCGGTGGCGCGCACATCCTTTGGTATTTTTGGGTCGTACTGGCCGATCATCAACCGTACTGGCATGGCCTGCATCTGGTCGGGTGTCCAGGCGTGGCTGGGAGGCGAGTGTGTTCATGTCTTTTTGCGCGCTCTCTGGCCCTCCATCGACAATATCCATAATATCATGTCACCAGCGTCCCAAACGACTTCTGCATACATTCTATGTTTTGTCATTTACTGGATTCTCATGCTGCCCACCATCTGGGTCCCCCTGCATAAGCTGCATTACCTGTTCAAGATCAAGTCCATCGTCGCCCCAGCGGTAGGGTTTGCATTGTTTGGCTGGTCCATTCAACGCGGAGGCACAGGCGCCGTTTTCTCGCGACCTTCGACAATGAATGGCTCGACCCTGGCTTGGACCATGTTGCGCGGCATCGCCGTGGCTTTCAACAACCTGTTTCCCCTCATCATCAACTCGCCCGACTTCGCCTCGCCGGCAAAGACACCAAGGGCGGCTATTTGGCCCCAGCTAATCACCCTTCCGGTGGTCTTTGCCGTGACTTCGCTCATGGGCATTGTCATTGGTGCCTCGGCAGAAGTCCAGTTTGGCGAGCAGATGTGGGATATTGTCCAGATTATGGACCGTATGCTGGACGATATGCACGCATCTACACGCGCCGGCCTTGCTTTTATCTCGTTGGGCTTTGTCTATGTCCAGCTTTTGACCAACGTGGCCGCCAACTCTGTGTCGGCAGGCTGTGACCTCACTGCGTTGTGCCCACGATATGTGAACATCCGCCGTGGCGGCTACTTTTCTGCCTTGGTGGCTATCGTCATGTGTCCATGGCTCTTGTACACATCGTCGTCGTCATTTACCCAGTACTTAAGTGGATTCAGCGTGTTTTTGGCCTGCATTGCGGGCCCCATGATGGCCGACTACTGGCTCATACGGCGGGGTCATTTCCGCATAGCTGACTTATACTCACTGCAGCCCAGTGGGTGGTACTGGTACACGTGGGGTATCAACTGGCGCGCCTATGTCGCCTACTTTGTCGGATTTGGTATTAACCTGCCTGGTTTTATCAACTTTATAAACTCAAGCATATACGTGTCGAATGGTTGGAAGCACGTTTTTGATCTTGCGTGGATCACAGGCACAGGTTCTTCAGCATGCACATATGTACTGTGCTGCTGGCTCTTTCCACCCCCCGGCATGTACCGTCGCTTCGAGGAGGTGGACGAGTCTGACTTTTTGGCCACATTCCAAGGTGCCTACAACTTTGGCCACGACGGGGAAGCGTACGAAGGCTGGATGCAGCGAGACGGTCCCCCTGAATCGGAAGCTGATAAAGGCATTTCGATTGAGAAGCCGGTCGTTTCCAATGAAACCTTTGTCTATGATTAGAGTCCATGTTACATATAGTTTTTTTTAGTCAGAATCATGAGAGATAGGAGATTGCCGAACCCCCCACCAAGCCCCTGATGCCGATCATGGGCTCCTTAATCTTTCTCATCAGCTAGCATGGTAGCGGTTCAACTGCCGTGGGATGATAATACGACTGAACTAGATATGCCGGTGCCTCTATCGGACGCACTTCTTCCTGATGCGAAAGAGCGGCTCGAGAGACTTGTAGCGCGAATCCGAGAGGATATTCGCACGACGAGCCACCACCAAGACTGGATTCCTCGCAAGGAGAAGACTGGACAGCCTGGTATCATTGATGTTTTGATCATCGGTGGTGGTCAAGCAGGTCTTGGCGTCGCTTTCGCCTTGCAGCGTGAGCGTATTGATCGCGTGGCAGTGCTGGAGGCAAGCGACGATCCCCGACGCGTCGGGCCCTGGCACCGCTACGCACGCATGCATACACTGAGAAGTCCAAAGCGTATGAAGGGTATTGAGCTGGATGTGCCGAGTCTCCATATCCAGCGGTGGTTCGAGGCGTGCTATGGCAAAGAGGCATGGGCCAAAACCGATCTCGTTCCACGCCTGGACTGGAACGACTACCTTGTATTCTACCGCTGGGTAACAGAGATTGAGGTGCACCATAAGTCACTTGTCACAGCCTTGCATCGCCCTGAGACGGAGGATGGCCCTTTTATCGTTGACGTGCAGGAAAACGGCGAGGGGCAAGAGTCTCCTGTGCATATCTTGTACGCCCGACGCGTCGTGTTTTCCCTAGGACTAATTGGAGGAGGGGCCGCCTATACGCCAGATATCGTCCGTGCTCTTCCACGCTCCAAATGGTTCCACACAGAGGAAGAGTTTGATGTCGGACTATGCCAGGGGAAACGTATCGCCGTATTAGGTGGAGGTGCGTCAGGATTCGATAATGCGGGGACGGTCCTGGAGGCCGGTGCCTCAGAGGCAACCGTCTTTATGCGCCGATCCAGCGTACCAAGCAGTAACCCATTGCGTTGGATGGAGTTTCCTGGCATGCAAGAGCACTACTTCGACTTAAGTGATGACCAAAAGGTCGAGTTTTCACTGTTCAATGGAGGTCTGCCGCAGCCTCCGACGCAGCATACGATTTGGCGATGCTTCTCCTTCCCATCTTTCCAGTTGCGTATGGCTGAAGCGTGGACAAAAGTGGAAGATACAGACAAGGAGCTAGTGATTCACACGGTCGATGAGCATGGTAATGAGGACACCTACCGCGCAGATATCATCATTGCTGCTACGGGCTACAAGGTGGACCTATCACTCCGTCCCGAGCTGAAAGAGTTTTATGACGATATCCTGACGTGGGGTAAGGCCTATCCTCCAAGTGCGAACACCGCTGTCGCATCAAACCCCTATTTGGCCAGTGGATTCGAATTCACACCAAGTCACCCACAAGCGCCGTGGATCTCGAGACTCCACCATTTCTCAACCGGCGCGCGCACCTCCATGGGTATTACGGGAAATCAGCTCTCGGGTATTTACGGCGGTCTTAAGAGAATTGCTTGGTCTATGGCTACGGCCATAACGAGAGAAAACTGGCCTGAACTCATGCGCCAATTCCGTGCCTTTGAGTATATTGAAGTGACACATGTTGGTCCGCACAGCCAGTCCGATCCACCCTACGCATCAGGGCCTCGCTATTGTGGCGAGCGAACTGCCCCAGAGGTACCTATGACCCACGATACGTACTAAATCCATAGGGAGAAAGAATCAGCGGGACATGGTAATGCGCCGATGCCTGTCTTACCTGGAAATAGATGTCTACTTTAGGATAAAAGTACTCGTTGATGTTTTGGTCACGGAAATACGAGGCTGTATCAAACTCCATTCGGTACACTCCCTCGTCGAGTTGCACTCCCGCTAGGTCACTCGTCCGACCATCGCTGTTCGTCGTGCCGGAGGCCACCGCCCTACCCTCCACTGCATATAGACGGAAAGGAACGTTCTCTGCTGGCTTCCCTTGCATTGTATCGAGAACGTGGGTAGAAATCGTCATGATGTCGTGATGGAAAAACGCCGCGCCTCTGGCGGTCGAATGTGCGGGGTAGCATCACGTGGTAGATAAGCAATGATCCTGCATGAAACATCAGATCGGTCGGCCACACGGCTCTTCAACTTGTTGCTGAGATGCCGCTTCTGCGCTCAACGCGTCCTGATCGGCGGCCTCGTATCCTTGTGATCAATCCCAATGCCACCGAGGTGAGTCACTGTGTTAACCATAGGCATTCACGCACTCTATGCGCAACTGTGTCCCCGCTCATGCCGACTATGAGCTCGATTATTTCACTGCCTCGCCGGACAGTGCGCCGCTGTCCATTGAGGGAATGTACGACAGTGTTATATCAGCTGCAGCGTGCCTAAAAGAGCTTGAGGCGTGTTTGAACGAGTGGGATGGCGTGCGTGCTGTGAAAGCTGACTCAGTTTGTCGTGGCCTGTTTTTCCGCACACCCCCTTTGCCACGTTCTCCGAGAAAAGACGACTGTGCCAGTCATGTCAATCCTGAGTGCTCCGCTACTATTGGCATCTACGTTAGGAGGCAAAGTAGCCATTCTCACCACCTCGCCACGCTGGGTACCCCTACTTGAGCATGATGTGCACTCGCTTGGCCTCGGCTCTTTTTGTCACCACATTGTCTCGTCTGGACTACGTGTATTAGAGCTGGAAAGCCTTCCGCGAGAGCAGGTGCTCCACACCCTGGGCCGCAAAGCCAGGGAGGACTTGGTGGAGCGCGCCGGCTCCGATGTCATCGTGCTAGGGTGCGCTGGTATGGCTGGCCTGGAAAATGAAGTGCGGCAGCAGTGTGGCCCTGGCGTGGTGGTGCTTGACCCGGTGCGTTGCAGTGTAGAGCTCTGCGCAGCGGCTCTGCGTCTTGATGCCGCCACGGCCAAGGTGGGAGTTTACGCGCCCGCCTGATAAAACTTCCTGCTGGATAGCTTATCAAACAGGCACCTGATCGCTGGGTAGCTGGCATGGGGCAGTGACACTGGTAGTTCCTTTGTCCTTTCGACGACACGATAGCTTCGTACGTTCGCGAAGGATGATAGGAATGTAAAATATCCTCCAAAGCTGAGAGCTAGTCATTCTCGAGGTCTTCAAGCAGAGCTGGTTTCTTCCCACCAGCCAATCTCGCTGTGCCCATAGTTAGATATCTCGGTATTGAGCGAGCAAATGGCCCGTGCGTATCATGTGGAGATAGATAAGCTGGGGGACGCTTGGCCTTTGTGCCCAGTGACCATGACCTTCGAAGCGATTTGCGCCGAACAGGTAGCGGCACTCCAAACGCGCTCCGTTGAACTTTCTTGTGTATCACTAGGAGGAAGTGTGCGTGCATTCTCTGATGAATGGTTTGCCGATGCTGCGAACTTAATTAAGCCTGGTCCGGCCGTTTCTTTGAAAGGCCAATTCGGTCCCAAGGGCGCATTGTATGACGGATGGGAGACGCGCAGACACAATCCTGACTATGATTGGGTTATCATTCGTCTTGCTCCTGCAGGCGGCGGCAAGATTTCGGGATTCGACATTGACACGACCACGTTCAATGGCAACGAGGCGCCGGCCTTTGAAATCTATGGCCTGTGGAGCGAGCAGCCGGACGTCGAGGAGAATAGCGACCAGGTACGCTGTGTTGTGCTCATGGCAGTGGGTGATGCTCATGGAAACGACGTCTTGTGGCCCGGCGGCACATCACTGGTTCCAGCACATGGACGGTGGTTTGACAGAGTCGAGCTTCACACATGTGAAACTGCACATGATCCCTGATGGCGGTATCTCCCGCTTCCGCGTGTATGGTCAAGTGGACTTGCCTCTTGTGGGTACGGGTCTGAGCGAAGTAGCGGTGCCTGAGCATCCGGAACTCAACACCCTCGACTTGGCTCACATGCTGAATGGGGCACGCGTAGTTTTGTATGTGATGATGTGGTACTGACACGCAGCACTAGTGACGAGCACTTTGGTAGAGGCTCCAACCTGCTCCTTCCTGGACGCGGAAGTGACATGGGCGACGGATGGGAAACAAAGCGCTCCCGCACACCTGGACATCGAGACTGGGTGGTCGTACAGCTGGCTGAGCCAGGTGTGCTGAGTAGCGTGGACGTTGATACACTGCACTTTCTCGGCAACTTTCCGGAGAGCTGCGAGATCCAGGGCTGCCTATACGAGGGGCCCGAGCTGGTCCCACCGGGTCATGACAATTTGCATGCAGATGCGTGGTTCCCACTTGTGGCACGGACCGCGCTGGGACCCGGTCGTATCCACAGCTTGGACGTGATTCCTTCCGGAAAGCAACGCGTCGCAACTCATGTCCGCCTCACTATGCACCCTGACGGTGGCATCAAGCGCCTGCGCGTGTACGGCCGGAGAGCCATGGAATTGTCCAAGGCGGGCATCAACCTACACTCGCCTGCCGCCCTCGCGGCGCTTCCTCCCCTACCGCGGCGTACAGGGGAGCGCGGCATGCCTCACATAACGCATGCAAGTCTATTAACGCCCCACGGCTTCGCGCCGTATGGACGAGTAGTCGCGGAGCCAACAGCCGACTACCCCGCGCCAGGTGGCGTAAAGCGGGTCAACCAAGACACTGCGTCGAAACACTGCGAGCTGGCTCATGTAACGCAAACCTATCCCAAACACGAGCGTGTGCAGACCAATGTTCATGTGTATGTGAGTGACCCACGGGGACCGCGTTCCTTGTTGCTGCCGTTTGGTGTCAAAGTGCTGGAACGACACAGATACACAACACAGATGTTCCTTCCCGTGTCGCCTCCGACTGGCGCACACGCATCTGGACAGGAGGGCTACCTTGTCATTGTGGCACTTCCTGGACCAGGTACGTATCCTTACTCCTAACAGCAGATGGCCAGCCCGACCTGTCTTCGCTCCAGGCCTTCTGGGCCGCGACCGACCAAGGCATTTCGTACGCCCCCGGCGTGTGGCATCACCCGTTGGTTGCTACCGGTACAGCACCTACATCGTTTGTGTGTGTGGTCAATGAATGTGAATCGCAACCTAAGCTGGATGTGGACGAAGTCTTTTATGGTTGAACAGGCGGGTGTGTCTGGCGCCAATGCTTGGCAATTTCCTGACGTGTGGCTACCCAAACGCCACTGCCTTCGGCCTCGAGCTCGGCTTGGCGGCGTTTCAAATAGACCAAAAAGCGACGCAATGCCATGGCGCGAGCTGGTCGGCCCACCACGCGGCAGTGAAGACCCACTGTCATCATGCGTGGAGACGTAGCACCCTCGATCACCAAAGTCTCAAAAGCATCGACCATGTACTGGTAGAATGAGTCACTGTTAAAAAAGCCAGGAGTATTGCAGAACTTCATGTCATTGACATCGAGAGTGTAAGGCACGACCAGGAGGTGCTCGTTAGGCGTGCCGTCGGGCGCAGGCACATAGTAAGGCACATCTTCATCATATGCATCGCTGTCGTATAGCTGCATGTGCATTCCCCGTGACTTGTATTCCTCATAGACGATACGACGCGTCTGCAAGGATTGGCGACCTGTGTACCAGCCGAGAGGCACTGTGCCGCGGCGGCTTGCCGTCTGGATGGCCTCAATCGTCTTCTGAACATGCTGGCGCTCTTCTTGCTCCGGCATGCGGGCATAGTCAATCCACCGGTATGAATGGCTCGCAACTTCGCAGCCAGCCTCCTCCATGGCGTCCACGACCTGGGGATTGTGTTCTACGGCGCGGCCCACGGCCCAGGATGTGAATTTGAAGCCAAATTCTTGGAATAAGCCTAAGATGCGCCAGAAGCCACGATGCGATCCATACTCAAAGCACGACTCGATAGATAGGTTGCGCATCCCCTCGGGTCCTGCCCCATTTGTCGCGCCAAATTCAGTCAGGTACACTTCTGCGCGTGGGTCACCCTCCAGTACGCAGTTCTCGCCACCTTCTTCGTAATTCAGCACGAACGAGATGCATACACGTGCTTTATTTGGCCAACGTGCATGAGGAATATCCTTGCCATAGCCAGGGAAGTCGCGTTGATGGTAGGACATGATTAGGCGCCAGATCCTACTCTACGCCGCGTTGGGCTTATCAATCCAGGCCACTCCACCTCGAGATGAACCGTGCGAGATCCATGGCTGATAAGCGATAGGTGGTCCGACATGGTTATATGAGGACCATCTTGGTCCTCGTTTCTTATTCTGGTACCATAGTAGCCATATGAATGCAGGTGATGGATAGACTGCTCATTTCGTGTGCCTATGTGCACTGCGCGAGAACACTCTATCACCTCTCATGGTTGGCAACACACTACACTGCTTAATCCTTTTTCTCTTAAGCAAGGCTCTAAAGTCACTGGTGTAAAACGATACGCTCTTTGTTATGGCCTCACAGCTATTTCGACTCACAAAGCACAGATATATCTGTGTTGTCCCGAATGCGCGCGGGTGGTTGGATGCTGGCCAGAGACAAGTACCCAGCCTACTTTCTGGTCATACATCATTTTGGCAGCGAATGCAAGGCAGACGTCGCTGCGTTGGCACACTACAATCGACTGCCAAAAACCTGTGGCGAGATAGGGTCCGGCAGTGGAGTAGCCAAGTATCGACTCACACCAACACATTGTGGAGCTGCCGGCGTCTGCGATGGAGGGGAATGAGAAAGAGACTGTGCAGGTGCGGACCGCAGCGGTCTGCCAGCGCTGTCGGCTCAAGAAGATCAAATGTGACGAAGGTATACCGAGATGCCGTGGATGTGAGCGCAACAACTTGCCGTGCATGCAGATAGACCCCAGTACAGGTCATGAGATGCCGCGCGGCTACGTGCAGCACTTGGAAGAAGAATTGCTGGAATGGAAACGGCGTGCCCAAGTTCAAATAACGCACAGCTCTTCTCTAAATACTTCCGCACCGCGCCGCGCCTCGCCTGAGCCACATGGCCACTTGAGCTTGCTCGTGCAAGAAGCGCTTGGTCAAACGAGCTCATTCGAGGAAAAGGATTATACCATTCCCAATTTGGATACTCATAACATTGAGTTAGACCAGCCATCGGATGATCCATTCAATATCAAAAGTCGTGTATTTATGATGGAATATATGAATCGAGTGAATGTTCAGGTACCTGTGATGGCTAAAGATAAGTTCCTGGCACAATTGGATGAGCTTGCAGGCTACTCATCCACGGACTCAATATCCTATTCCAACACGTTTTTTAGCATTGCGCATCTCATTTTGGCACTTGGTTTGGCCTGCCGATCCGATTTCGTTCCGAATGGTGATGAGCGGGCGCATGCTCATCTTGCATTGTCCATGCGATTGCGCATGATGGATACACAGAAACGAACGGAGCTGCGGGAACATTGCATGTTCGGGCGTATATCTACAACAATTGAACCGCGTTTGGAAGCAATCCAGTTCAGCCTTCTCGTGGCTCTTTTCTCGCTCATGCGTCCTGTCTCGAGCGGAACATGGCATTTGTTGGGCGCTGTGATGCGCCAATGCACAGCGCTCGGTCTCCAGCGTGAGACGCCTCTCTGGATTGAAGAAGTGCCTGAGAACCAGCGACCTGCGCTTTTGGATGAGTGTCGGCGCATATTTTGGGCCTCATACTGCCTTGACCGGTTCGTCAGCATGAATATGATGATGCCTGTGTCATTGCCTGAGTATAATATCCGCGCACCGCTGCCGTGGATTTTAGAGGCATCACGAAGCCTGAAGGGGGGGATTGATGGTGATTCAGCATTGGAAAGCAAGGCGTCGTACCAAGCGATGCTGGATGCGAATGTATCATTCATGCACAAAGACCCGAGCAGTTGGGCTTCGATTTTTTTTATCAAGCTGCGGCAAATCCAGTCAGAGGTGTACCGCGTCTTTGCCGACCAAAGCGAAGTGCCACGACATTTTGAGAGCCTCTCGGCCTGGCTCCAGGCAATGGATGCACGCCTGAGCGCCTGGTGTGAATACGCCCCGCTCTCACACGACAACCTAGCTGGTTTGGGCTGTGCCTTCAACACCGAGCTTCTGGAGCTCAATCTCTTGCAAACACGGCAGCTGTTACAAGGCGTACAGGTCAGGTTCGACAATCCAGCATCGCTGGATGAATTGGCTAAGACAGCCTCACACATTCTTAAAGTTATTGCTCGACTAGAAGATTCAGGGCACATCCATTTTTCGTGGATCACGCTGCATAATCTATGTGTGGCATCTACCGTGTTTGTATGCTGTATTCAGAAGAGGCTGGCCCTCTTTGGGGCATGTCCCTTGTTCGTCTCGAGAGAAGAGGTGGAACTAATCGCGTACCGCACCGATCGATGCTTCCGCTCGATCCGTCGACGCTGCCGGTCAGGTCACGCAACTCGGCGCGCGTTGCAAGACATGTTTGATGACCTGGTCCAGCTGTTGTCGCCGTCCGAAAGCAGCGCGGGAAGTAGGCCCAACTTTCTTAAGGTACCCAAAGAAATGCGAAAACGAACATGGGACCAGCTGCAAACGAATCTCTCTGGACTCAGTGATACTGACCCATCCGAGACCTGGTGGGACTTTGCTGATAAACTCGCTACAGAGGCGGCTCATCATCTGTTTGGCGCAGTAGCCGAAGCGGATCTGTAATCTGGACTAGGTATTATGTATCCGGTCGGGCAGGACAAAGCTGGTCAGCGCGGCGAGTACATGGGCTCAGATAAATTTGGATGAGACACCTGCACAAGTAGACTGTATCTTCTGTATTACATTACATTCAAGGGGTCATTTTAGGGCATAGCTTGATAAACGAAGGTTCTCAACTTCCTAAAAAGTAGGTCGCGCCTTATGGGATGGGGGCAGGAATTTCTTGTACAAAGTGCGGTGTGAACTCGGTGGCCAAATACGCTCAGCGCATCAAGAAATTGTGTGTGAAATGCAAGCTTCTAGCATTCCGCATCCACTTTCTGGTTACGGAATAGTAACAGACGACTATTGGATGGAGTTGAGAGGGGTAGGTTATTAGGACGCGATTGAGTATCAAAAGGATGGCATACGAGCCCAAGGAAATTAGAGTTTCGGAGACGGAGGCTTGGTCAGATTGCCAAACTGGATCGTCGAGTTGAGAATGCCGCCGGCGTTACCAGAAATGGGCATGTGCTGCATTTTGCACTGTTCCGTGATATATGAAGGAATGTCAAACCGCTTTGCCGCGACATTGGGCGCTTGTACGACCACCATCGCCATACCAACATCCAGGTGCCAGTCCATATGGCAATGCAAAAACCAAGCACCAGGGTTGTCCGCGCGGAAGCGAATTGTGACACCGCCTCCAGGAGGCAGAACCACCGTATCACGGCGCATGGGGTTCTTCTGACCCTCTTTCAAAGGAGGGTTGGCCTTCGGATCTTTTGAGCGCAAGTCAGTAGCCCTGTTGACCACCTGGAACTTGGACCCATGCATATGCATGGGATGCTTGTCATCCGAAAAGTTGAGAATCACAAGCTCAATCATCTGCAGATGGGGGGCCACTAGAGCATTAGAGTTCGGGCCGTAGGTGGCTTCGTTCAGCTTGTTTGAAATAGGTTCTGTCATCATGGAAAAGAGAGTCGGTGTTAGAGGCGTCACAAAAGTCTTATTGTTAAAGGTGCCGCGTTCCACGTTGTCCGGGTAAGGTGGCATTGTGACAATGCGGTTGACCGACATGTCAGGCTCGACCATGGCCATCTTCTTGACCGGCTCAAGCTGCGTGTCATCAAACAGCTCGTAGCTGTCCACTGTGCGACGACCAACACCCATCTTTGCATGCGAATTACCATAGGAAAGCGTGCTGGTGAGGTTCAGTTTAAGAGGGCTTGACTTCAGCGATTCGAACATCTCAGGGTCCATGTTGGCATGGATCTTCCAGTTATGCTTCGTGGTATTGTGACTCTTTACCAGAACAGAGTAGCGCTGGCCAATTGAGACCTGGAGTTGATCGACAGGGAATGGATGTACGTCCTCGCCATCCACCTCAATGATTTCCATGTCGTGACCTTCAATCCAAAAGTTGAACAGCGAAGCAGCAGACATGTTCACGACACGGATGCGGTACGTTTTTCCAGGCTCGAACGGCAGTGTCGCATTCTCATTGAAACCTTCCAGGTTTTTGGCCGTCTGGTTAGCGCGTGTGTGCACGAAATACATCAGACCAGCATCGGGTGTCGGGTACTTTCCGTTGGGCTTGTAGTACTTGTTTTTCAGGACATCAGCATGGACGTGGTGGTACCAGTCAGCCAGCGCTACAGTGTAGTCGTCGTCGTACTGGTATGTCTCACCCTCGGCATTGTGGATGATAAAGGGGAGACGCAGTCCGTCAATATATTGACCCTTGTAATGGCCATGGATCCAATAAGTTCCGATTTGCTTCTGTGCCGATGGAGGGCTCTTGGGCGAGTTCAGCAACTCATAATGGAATGATTGGCCATCAGGGACGGGACACTGCACAATCCCTGCTGCACCGTCGTAATAATTCGTGTTGTTGTAGAAGATACCATGCCCATGTAGGGTTGAGGGAGACCCATCTCCAAACGAGTTGGTAAAGTTGATGGACACATAGTCATTCGAATTCACGCTAAGGGCCTGCGGAGGGAATTGGCCGTTGAGAGCAATACCTCGGCGGGGATGAAGACCATCTGGGTTCACGTTGTGAACCCAGCCTACGTGCCAGTCTTTGGTGACAGATGCTCCATGGGCAAGTGTAGCAAGGCAACCGAGAACAGCCAGAGCTGTCTTCATGACGGTATGTACTGTTGATTTCTCTCTTCCTGCCCCCCTTAATATATTGTCGCTCCGTGTGGTCCCATGTGGTCCAATATGACACAGTCTATTTGCGTAATTTTGCCCCAATGACAAGCAGGAAAGTTGGCACGCGATCGGACTGCCTCGGAAAACCGTCGCCTAGACCAATAAAAGCGTAAGCAACAGGGATCTATATAACAGAGAATCCAACACCTCGTTTACAAAATTCCCTCCACGCAGAATTGGATTTATCCCACCTATGACCGAGCGTGGAGGCAGTGGACCTGGGCCTAAAGCGGACCACTGGCGTTTTAAGCCGCGTTCCGAACTGGACTGGGTACAACGACTGCTCGTAGCACGAGTGGCTTTCCTTCCACATCCTGATGTGTACGCAATACCGAAGTCAAAGGGCAAAGCACCTGTTATGCTAGAATGGCACCAATCGCTCGTGTGTCTACCTTTCATAATACTACCGTCTCTTTTCAGGTATATTTTGATGACATTTACAGGATGGACATTACCAGCTCCTATGCTCTTTCTACTTCATGGGGTTCACTCGAGCTTTTTTCTGAGACTCTTCCAGCGGCGAGTTCGTAAAACCATCATGACATATGGCTACTTGGATTCCGCAGCGGAGCGCGACTCTGTGTCAGAATCTATGACTACAAAACTTTTCTATGAAATCTTGACAGGAACGCTCGTTCGACCCTTACTTGTGTTCTTATTGAGCTATGACCGACAGGCTCTCCCCGTGTTTTCTTTATGGATACCCCTCCAAATTGGCATATTCACCATCATTGTAGACTTTCTATACTATTGGGTCCATCGCATGACGCACGAATTGGACCAGCTGTGGGCCTTCCACAAAAAGCATCACACTACCAGACACCCAAGTCCATTTTTGCTGGCCTATGCTGATCAAGTTCAAGAAATGTTTGACGCCATTGGATCACCCATTTTTGCCTACCTGCTATATCCCTTGCCCTTTGATACCCTCTATATTTGGTCTCTGGCATTTGTGGCGACCGAAATTATAGGGCATTCAGGTGTACGTGTGTATTACACAGGTCTGCTGACCTCCTTTTGGTTGCGCCCTTTCCATTGTGATATCATAGTGGAAGATCATGATATACACCACCGGTATGGTTGGCGCAAAAGCTTCAATTATGGAAAGCAGAGTCTTCTTTGGGATAGAATCTTTGGAACAGAGGGTGATCGACTCGAGCTGCAGCAGCAAAATGTAGATTGGCAACACCCAGCTTGGTGAAGTCGTTGCATTAACTACCGTAGACTAAGTATGAACAAGAAGCAACAGGTTGCATAATTTTCAGAAATTAATTGAGAAATCGAAGCCTAGTAGAACTTCGACCCGCAGGCTATACAGGTCACAGGAGATCTTGTGCATCCTATTGGCCTAAAATATTGGTTTACCCCTGCATGAGGCTTCGTAAGCAATAATGATGAGAATGAGATACCTGCATCACACTCGTATAAGGCTGTGCTGCCATCGCAGTCGTTATTCTATTCCCACCATGAAACTCAGCAGTGCTCTTGCCAGTGGTGCGATACTCACTGTCTTTACTGCTTCGGCATCAGCGCACACTGCTCGTGAGAGTACTGCCTGGGAGAAGTTCAACGACCAAATCAGCCATCCCAGTCGTCGTCATGGCCGCCTTGCAAGCCGTGCCGCCCCATCCAATGCCGCCCAAATGGCAAAAGTTTCTAGCACTGCTCAGGCTTGCAAACCGTATGGTGTTCCAGCCAGTAGTGAACTGTCAAAAATGTACCCTAAGAGTGGTCAAATTGCTACTATTCTGAGCAACGATAAGGAGGCACAAGCTGTTTGGAGTGAGATCCAAAAATCTGGTATCATTCCCCAGAATGTGAAGGTTAAGAATGGCGTGGAAGACCATATGGGCATTTCTCAGAAAGCAAGTGACTCGTATGATAATTCCAAAGACCCTGATTGCTGGTGGACCGCTACACAATGCCATCAGCCCAAGGCACAAAATGTGCCAACGGATATCTACACATGCGATGAACCCAATACATGGGGCCTGACCTTTGACGATGGTCCTAACTGCTCTCACAATGCGTTCTACGACTATTTGCGGAACCACAAACTCAAGGCAACTCTTTTTTACATTGGCACAAACGTGATTGACCTGCCCCTACACGCCCAGCGAGGCCTTAGTGATGGACACGATGTATGTGTACACACTTGGTCGCATCACTATATGACAACACTTAGCGACGAACAGGTCTTTGCCGAGTTGTACTACACGATGCGAATCATTAAAGACGTTGTAGGTGTGACGACTCGTTGCTGGCGTCCTCCATTTGGTGACGTCGACGACCGTGTTCGCGCTATTGCCGCTGGACTTGGCCTTCGCACAATTATTTGGGCTGATGATACGGATGATTGGAACGTGCAGCCCGGCGGGTCGGAGCCTAGGTCGAAGATCGAGAGTAATTATCAGAAGATTATCAAGAAGGGCTACGACAGTGGCTCTACAATTGTCCTCACCCATGAAATCCGCGGTGACACGATGCAGTTATTCCAAGATATGTACCCTCAAATCAGAAAGGCATTTAAGAATGTTATACCTCTTACGGCTTGCCTGAATGTCACTACTCCTTACGCGGAAGATAACATTACGTATTCTGTATTTTCGGACTTTGTCAAGGGCAACATTAACGCCAAGGGTTTGCCGAGTGCGGACAACATGCCCATTAATCCTGGATCCAAATTGAACCTGCAAACACTGGATCAACAGACGCAGGGATCGTTCTCTCCTAAGGCAATGAGCAATACGAAGAACTCGTCGTCCGGTTCTTCTAGCTCCTCAACCGGCTCTTCGAGCTCCTCGGCAGGCTCTTCCAGTCAGTCGAGTGATTCCTCGAGCACCTCTGGGAATGGTCAGGCACAGTCAACCTCAGGTTCGTCTGGCAATAATGCTGCCCAGGTCTCCACAAACCCTTCTAGTGACAATCAGGACACTTCGAAGAGATCCCAGAATTCGGCCGTGTCCACCCAAATTAATATCTATGTTCTGACAGCTATTGCCGCTTTGTCTATTACCGTTCTTGTGTAGTGCTGCTGAACTTTCATTATAATCTAGAGAATCCTTTGTTCTGTTTCTTGCCGGACGGCGTCATACAGGTCAATATACTTGCTGGATAAGATTAGTAACCTCTATGACATGTCATGTGCCTGCCTATTGGTCAATGCATAGCCACAGACCGAGAAAAAGCCATCGGCGTAGAACGCTACCATCATGAGAGCAGGTGTAGCTATTTTGCTCCTTGCCCAACTTGCAGGGGTAGCATGGTGTCAGCAAGACTCTATATCCGTCGCGAGTCAAAGTGATTTTAACAATATACTGAATGTCAATATTCAGTGTGCTTCATATAAACTTCCTGAAGTGGACCAACTTCTAGAAAAAACCAGGTTCCCTCCTGTAGGGCAAATTGCCAGTATTCCGGATGACGATACAAATGCTCAAGATGCTTGGAACAATATTCTCAACTCAGGGATTATACCCTCAGATGTGGAAGTCAAGAAAGACAATGATGACAATCATGCCAGTGTAAACCAAGATGGGTATAATGCAACGGACCCAGATTGTTGGTACACGGCATCCCAATGTACAAAACCCAAACATCTAAATTTAACTTTGGACCTGACCGACTGCCCTACGCCCAGCACGCTTGGATTTACCATCGGCGATGCCCCTAATTGCTCGCACAATCTATTGTACAATTCCTTTGAAGCCAAAAAAATCAAAGCGACGCTTTTTTATGTTGGGTCCAATGTGATCAATTATCCGTACCAGGCCCAGCGTGGTATCACGGATGGACACGACATTTGTGTCCAGAGTTGGTCGAATCCTTACCTAACTACCTTGCCGAATGATCAAGTATTTGCAGAACTGTATTACACAGCTTTGGCTATTAAAGCCGTCTTAGGCGTTACACCAACTTGTTGGCGTCCACCTTTCGGTGATTTGGACGATCGTGTGCGCGCTATCGCCTATGGGCTTGGGTTGAGGACCATCATGTACGCAGAGGATGTCAGTTCTGGCTCTGGTGGCTACAGGAGGGTGACAGGTATGGCGTCAAGTTCGAGTCCGATTGTTCAATTCCATGAAACGTCGAATTCCACTATGACTGCCCTCAACGGCAGCCTTTCGGACTTACTGGACGCGTACAAGCTCGTCATGCCTATTACAGCTTGTATGAATATCACCCATCCTTACACGGAAAACATCGCGTACCCGAATTTTTTGCAGGCTCAGAAGCCTTTTAAGTACACTAACCTCCCTCTAAGCACCGATATATCTACAAATCCTTCCCCCAAATACGTGGTGTCCTCACTGAGTGAAATGGACTATGGTTTTGCGAACTCACTCAATGCGACTGGCACAAATGCCACATTCCCCGCCAAGACAGATGCTTCGGATAGCGCTGCTTCCCTAGCGCAGGTTCCTTCTCTTGGAACTCTTGCCGCTACAGTCATGATTCTAGCTGTTTCACAATCATGTTTATAAAGTTCTATCTCCCCAATTCCAATTTCATGACACCCTAACAAATTTACACAATAGCTGCCATGGTGGCGGCATGGACTCTTGCTTCCTTATTGCATAGTTTCTTTCGCGAAGGAGGCCTCTGAAAGTTTGGGTGCCGTACTGGACAATGAGTGATTCACGCTGTATGATAGAGGCTAGAGAATGGACAATAGCAGGCTACCATTCTGGTGAGATGCTGTCACTCAGTAGATTGTCTAGTCATTTAGACTTCATTGAATGCATATCCACAAGTCTTTCTACGGGGGATGTGGGCACGTTCAACCAAAAGCTTTTTAAAAGCGATTATCGGAAAGATGGCGAACACCTTGCACTTTAGATAGAATCTCAGTCGTGCAATCGTTGATGCATGAGTATTCTATTCAAGTAGATCACATTTTTTACCAATCGCTGCACTCCCACCGGCAATGACGTAGCCTTGTATATCTGCAGGTTAGTTTGAATTCACAGGATGTAACAAATTGACTGAACCCTTTATTAGTAACCTGTACCTTAAAATAGTCTCAGATGTGCATATATGGAAATTGATTAGCTAATACCAGGGCCTGTGGGGGAAGCGGTCATCGAAGTGGATACCCGTGTACCGCACGAGCGCACATTGCCAGACGGGTAAATGAACACGAATTAGGAAGACGTTGTAACGTCGTACCTCCATGAAGACTATTGTTCCTGACATACCGGGGACACTAGTCACCGATGAAATACAACTTAACTTCCTTAAAGATCATGTGCGAAACTTATGTCTTGCTCGCTCTACAAGGTTTGTGGGAGATCGCTGACCGAAGATTTCCTGGCGCCCAACCCATTTCATTCAACAAGCAGTCTCTAGACATAATGCTGAAGAAAGAGTAAGTTCTCTATTGATTAACACTAGCTTTTGGGTATGTGAAAAGTCTGATGGACAACGCGTTCTTCTTCTTGTTGTTGTCCCGCCAGTTACCAATATACAAGAAGTCTATCTGGTACGTGCTCTCATCTCTGACATCAGATCGACCGCAAGAACCAATACTACCAGGTAAACCACGTGTATTTCCCGCATTTTCTTCCTTCATCGCACAAGGCTAGGATGACAACGGGTCAATTGAACCACACTCTCCTTGATGGTGAGCTGGTGATCGACCAGATATCGGAGACACAGCGTAGGCTTAGACTCCTTCTGTTTGATGCACTTGTTGTTGATGGAGACAATGTGATGCAACGTCCTTTAAGTCGGCGTTACGGATGCCTTCAGTGCCAAATTCTTCCTGCGTATTTACAGTGTATGAAAGCCAACGCAGATGCTCGTATGAGGGCACCATTTGAAATTCATGTGAAACCCATGGATCTTGCTTACGGTCTAGCTGAAGTATTGCAAGTTAAGATGCCCAAGTTGCGTCATGGGTGTGATGGACTGATTTTCACGAGCTTGCACGCTCCTTATGAGATGGGAACGACAACGAACATTTTGAAATGGAAGCCCCCACAAGAAAATACCATTGATTTTAAGATTCAATTGAAATTCCCGCCCGACCTCAAAGCGGACCCCAGCGCTAATACACCCGACTGGAAAGCTAAGCCTATGTTTGAGCTGTTACAACACGTTCACGGTGACCAGCACGAGTTCTATGATTGGCTTGATATGGATGATGAAGAGTGGGACGACTGGAAGGAAAAGGGTGAGCAGCTCGATGATCGAATCGTCGAATGCGCGTGGCATCCTCCTTCGCCTGAGGATAAGCAAGTGGCGACTTGGCACATTACACGTATTCGAGATGACAAGACGACAGCGAATCATAAGACAACGGTAACGAGAGTCATGGAGAGTATTCGAGATGGCGTAATGGAAGAAGAACTAATTGAGCTGGTACCAGAAATTCGAACGGCGTGGAAGTCCGAGAAGCGGGAGCAGCAGCGTTCCCAAATGCAAAGGAGTCAGCGCCGATCATTCCCGCCAAATGTCAAGGGACTAGGTGGACCAGGCCCCCCTATGCGAAAGGGCGGCATGCCAAATCTCAAGCGGAGATAAACACCTCTCTCTTTTCACCACTTTGTAGATCTAGTAGCAATTACGACTTCATCCGTGCAGGCACCCAGCGGCGAATAGCCACTTCCTTGACGGCAAAGTGACCTTGCTTAAGTTTATCGACAAAACCGTGCGGTGTAGAAAGAAAAGCGGGGGAACAGTTTGCCAGTCGGGGAATCGAGACGTGCGCCAGAATGAGTGTCTAGGGTGAGTCTTACACACATACCTTTTGAACCTGGGTATTGACGCGGTTAATCATACTAAACCAGACCCAGTCTTTATGCCCCTCATTATAATGAGGCAAAAATGGGGACGAATTTTTGTCCGTTTCATCATTATATTCCGGTACAACAAGGACAGCAAACTCTGCATGGCTAAACACAGGGCCGCGCTTGTATAGAAGGAAATCCACGCAAAACTTGGTGCCGCTTTTCACCACCCATCCCAGACTTCGAAAGTGATGGTATACAACATAGTGCAAGAGGAACGGATTGTCCGGACGGGCCCACGCACATAGGGGGGGCGTGGAGGCATTCGGCGGGAGTTGCGTCGATAGACAGAGCTGGTACAATGCATCGACAGAAAGCATTGTTCCCTCCTTGTCATATACCTCCAGGCATCCCAACATGCCCGCCAAAAAAAAGGCCTCAATCATGGTGAGCTGAAAATGCTCGATGTTGTCCAGGGAATCAAACTCGTCATGTTCATATGGTGACTCAGGCACCGGTTTTGCCACTTCGTCAGAAAAGTATTTGAGACCTTTGATACGCGAGACACCCATTTGCACAGTCGGCATGTCCTCATCGCCGCGCCATAGTCCTCCTGCTTCGTGGCTCGACTCGTTCCACTCGCCACCGAGAGCGGTAACACCATCCGGGAGTTGAATGCCGGCTTTGACGGCTGCCCGCGCACGCTCAATTTTGAGGAGCTTGCGTTCCTCGCGTCGCTTTTGCGTCATTTGCTCCGCAGTCATCTCACCACGTTCACGCGCCTCGGCCTCTGCTCGCATGCGCGCGGCCCAGGTCGGCTCACTACGGCTTAGATTGCCCTTCCCGAAAAAACCCTGGGTCCAGAGCTTGGAAGCATCGCCCTCGTCGCTCATCCATACAGCATTCGTCGTTGCATCATACCAGCCCCGATAAATAGGGGGTGCATGCGACCGCTCCGCAAACCATTTCGTACCTTCGTTGAACCAGTCCCACCAGGTACGGCGCGAAGTTCCAATCGTGTTCCGTAGTCGATCGTGGGTCCCGACGGGCAAAGGATTAGCATACAGTTGCCTTTTAGCCTGCGTTGCCTTCTTGCCAGCGCCGCGCACTATGGGCACGGCTGGCTCTGACGGGGCGACCATGGGTCCAGCAAAAGAGACAAGATTCCGAAGCCTCCACTGCAAGAATGAAATGCACACAATTTGTACAGAAAACTAGGGACGTAAACTACATGTAGCTGGGGTGAGAGGGGAACAAGATAAAGATGCAAGCTGGGTTAGAAAAAAAAACAACCATCTCAAAACAGCGAGCCAGCACTGTCAACATCAACACGCTTAGTTATCATCACAGTCGTCGTCCGACTTTGACGTCGACTTATGGTGACTAGAGCTGCTGCTCTTGTGAGAGTGCGACGATGACGAGTGCTTCGACTTGCTGCTGGTGGCGCTGCTGGAGTGAGAGCTCTTGTTCTTTACTTTGGCATCACGACCGGGACCCGACGATGACGACGACGACGACTTAGAAGACCGCGACGATGACGAAGGCGAAGACGACGACGACTTAGAAGAAGACGACGATGGCGACGACGAGGACGATGACGACGGCGAGTTCAAGTCACTTGAATTGGAAGACGAGGAGTTGTTGGACTTGGTAGGAATGCACTGCTTCTGGAGACCGCATTCAACCTGATTCGAATCGGGGAACGGTCGCAGAAGGGGGGGCAGAAGGCTGTCATCGTCCTCATCACAAAGCTCCGCATCATCTTCCGAACCTGAACCTGAACCTGAGTTGGAGTTGGAGTTAGAGCCCGAGTTGGAGCCGGAACCCGAGTTAGAGCTCGAGTTGGAGCCCGAGTTAGAACTCGAGTTGGAGCTCGAGTTGGAGTTAGAGCCCGAGTTGGAGTTGGAGCCTGAGTTAGAACCCGAGTTAGAGCCCGAGTTGGAGTTGGAACCCGAGTTAGAGCCCGAGTTGGAGTTGGAACCCGAGTTAGAACCCGAGTTAGAGCCCGAGTTGGAGTTGGAACCCGAGTTAGAACCCGAGTTAGAGCCCGAGTTGGAGTTGGAGCCCGAGTTGGAGTTAGAGCTCGAGTTAGAACCCGACCTAGAACCCGAGTTTGAGTCCGAGTTAGAACCCGAGTTGGAGTTAGAGCTTGAGTTGGAGCCGGAACCCGAGTTTGAGCCCGAGTTAGAGCTCGAGTTTGAGCCCGAGTTTGAGCCCGAGTTAGAGCCTGAGTTAGAGCCTGAGTTAGAACCCGAGTTGGAGTTCGAGCTGGAGTTAGAGCCTGAGTTAGAGCCGGAACCCGAGTTGGAGTTAGAGCTCGAGTTGGATCCGGAACCCGAGTTGGAGTTCGAGTTGGAGTTAGAGCCAGAACCCGAGTTGGAGTTAGAGCCGGAACCCGAGTTGGAGTTAGAGCTCGAGTTGGATCCGGAACCCGAGTTAGAGTTCGAGTTGGAGTTAGAGCCCGAGTTGGAGCCGGAACCCGAGTTAGAACCCGAGTTGGAGCTCGAGTTGGAGCCAGAGCCCGAGTTGGAGTTGGAGCCCGAGTTAGAACCCGAGTTGGAGCTCGAGTTGGAGCCAGAGCCCGAACTCGAGTTCGAGTTAGAGCCCGAGTTGGAGCCAGAGCCCGAGTTCAAACCCGAGTTAGAACTCGGATTGGAGCCCGTCCTAGAGCCCGAGCCCGAGTTGGAGCTCGAGTTCGAACCCGACTTCGAGCTTGTCTCCGGAGTCGACGTTGCCTGAGGACTCATGGTCGTGATAGTCACACCTGAGCCCCTGTCTTTCGACGACTCCGGTGTCCTTGTAGACGAAGGCGAGTTCGATTTCATCTGAAGCGGGTCGACGATGGTGGCTCCCTTTGGCAGCGACGAGGCCATCGGCACTTCTGCCGTCTTGAGCTCATCACCTGCCACCGTCGACATGCCATCGTCTCCTCCCTCCAGCGTAATCGTCTGTGCTAGGGTAGCGAGTGACGTCCAATGCGTGGGCTTCGCCGACTTGGTCTCCGTCACCATATGAGTCTTCGTCGCAAAGCGCGTCACTGTTGTCTTCTTCTTCTTCGTCACCGTATCAGTCGTAGTACTAGGTGTAACCGACGAGTAGGGCATGAGGATGGTGCCCTCGTACGGCTCCCAAGTGGGCTCCGCACGGCGAGCACGGCGCATACCCTTGTGGTGGTTCCTCGCCCAATGCTGGTGCTCGTGCTCGTGCGATCCCACTTCCACAGGTGCGCGTTCAGCGAGACCAGCTGCCGGCGCGCGGTTTTGAAGAGGCGCGTGGACGCCCTGCTCGTTCATCACGGGCAGGGCCGCCACGCTTGATACCTGGCTCGTGATGAGTAGAGCCAGGCAAACCAGGTTCAACAGACCAGCTGTTGAGAAAGTCGAGCGCTTCTGAGTAGCCATGATATATAACAGTCAAGAAAGTTGATACCAAAGAAGCCAGTTCTCCGATGTACAAAGATGTGTGCAAGTTGGTTCACCAGGAACGCGTAGGGGATAGGAATAGGGGAGTCTAGGCTACCAGAGCCCTGGACAAGGATAGATGAAAGGGGTGGGGTGAGGAGCAGCTTGGTGCCAATGGGCAGTCTTTTATGCGCCCTCGCCTAGGTCGCCCAGGTAGGTTCCATACAACATCCACGCTGCCGTCGATAGGGACGCGGCCACGGCCTGCTGCAACCTGAGTTGACTGAGTTCTACGCCGCTGAGCCTACCTCCACATCGACAGATCGCTGCTCAACGAACCACGTGCACGATGGACGATCCAGAGCTGGAGGCCATTCGGCGCGCGCGCCTGGCGGAGCTGCGCGGTGCCCAGGGAGGCAGCATGCCTAGTAAGTGGGACAGCACACTTACAGGGAAGCCAGTGCAGGTATGCCATCTGTGTTGCAGGGCGGCAGCGGCCGCAGCAGTGCGACCGATGGCCAAGACGACAACATGGCGCAGCAGGAGGAGATGAAGCGCCAGCTTCTCTCTCAGATCCTTGAAAGTGATGCAAGGGAGAGGTGTACGTATCTTGTACCCACACACAGTATCGCGCATTGCACTAGTCAAGCCACAGAAGGCGGCGGCCATCTCGGACATTTTGTTGCAGATGGCGCGCTCTGGGCAGGTTCGGCAGCGTGTGTCGGAAGATCAGTTGATCATGCTACTCGACCAGGTTGACCAGGTAGGCGCGAATGAGTCGGCAAACAAGATCACGGTGCGTACGAACTACAGCCCTTGCTAATGAGGCAGGTTTCACGAAAAAAGACGTTGGATGACGACGACGACGACTGGGATCTATAGACGTTTCTAGGCTGTCTCGCGGTCGGACGAGCCCGACCTGCTCAGCTTCGCGCTCCCCCAACGGCCCCGGCAGTCCCTGCACCCTGAGCGGCCCAAGGCGAAGTAGCTCCTGAGGCATCATGTGATCCCACGTGGGCATCGCCCTTCGCGTACACCGGCCAAGACGCGCGGTCGCCTGGACGCTGCCCATGCCGCGACTGTATCTGCGCATGCCCAAGTCGTCCCTCACAGGGCTCATGAGCTCGTTTGCCGGGTTCATGGACATCAAGGTGGGCTGCCAGATTCTCTCATTGTTCTCGCTCTTCAATAAGATTGCGGGTGTGTATGGCATTATAGCCGTCTTCCAGGGCGGTTCCTTTGCGCAAGTCTCTCTTTACTTGTATTCCATTGCGACAATTCCCATCTTTATCTGGGGTCTTAAGGCCATTAGTGACGAAAAGCACGAGTCGGTGTTGCGATATGCCCATGTATACATGCTGGACCATATGGTGTCGACGGGGTGGACGATGATGTTCGCGTTGTGGTGGTACTATTACGCCCCTCACGACGGCCGGCGCGTGTCCAATTCAGACCACCAGGCCGGGCTGATGAGCTTGATTGAGTCGCTAGAGGCGCAGTACCGCTCGCCCGAAGAAATGGCCCTCTTGCGGCACAAGGACATTGATGTCAGCACCTCAGCCGGGGCGGCGGAGGCCGCGATGCGCGTGCAACAGGCGAATGAAACGTGGCGCTCCGAGCGCGGCTTCGCCGCTGGCGTGCTGGCGATGGGCTGGCTTATCAAGGTGCGCACGATGAGCTAACCCAGATTTACTTTGCCCTCGTATTGTATGCGTATGCGTTGCATCTGCGGCATGGCACGTACTGGTTGCTGCCGCTGTCGAAATCGCGCCGGGCCAATGCGGTGCATGCCTCTACATACCAGGTTGTGCCCCATGAGGGCGATGAGGCTGCACTGCCGGAGGACGAGCAGCCGGCAGCCGCTTCATAGCAACACTCATGTCCCCTATCTCTAGTCAGGCCAGACGAACCTCGCGTCCTGCCCTTGGCTCTAGGGTATGGCTGTTGGATGGAACCTTCGCGAGCAGTGCATACTCGGCAAGCTCGTCTAGACCTCCATCCGCTGACACGAAATCATTCGTACACAATTTCATTGCATGCTACTGGCTAGCATGTAGGACGCGTTTCAATGGGCGACGACGGTACAATCCCTCGCCACCTAAATCCATCGCGTCTTCTTCTTCTAGCCGCTCGCTTCAATCGCCCAGCCACCCAGCAGTCTGGACAATCAAATAGGAGGGCATCTGACACTGACTCGTCACATCTTGCCATCAGGATTCATCGGTCTGCGCAAACTGCATGAGAGCCTCTTTCAGGCTGGTCGCCGCATCGGGGGTCTTGACCTTGCACCGCAAGTGGCATGGCTTGGCATCCACAAAGCCCAAAAATGTGAGCACATTCTTGTCGCACATCACCTGGAGGCCTTGATACAGTACAAAGTTCAACACGACGTGCCCATTGACGGCATTGCGTGCAAGCACGCGGCTCTTATGGGTGCCTTTCGCTGTCTTGATACGCAAAATACTCACTCCCATGTCCTGCCAAGCACCCGCGTCTAGCCGCCAAATCTTGGCGCGCACCTCATGCGATGTGTCCTCGTCCTCCTCGCCCTGGCCACACGCCGTGAGCGTATTGCCTTCGCTCTGGTCTGTGGATGGAGCATCGGTGGCCGGAGCCTCCGTCGACGGCGCCTGAGCGGGAGCCACCGGGGCAGGCGCAGCGGGCTTGGACATGGGCGCCACAGGCCTAGCGGATGCACTAAACGAAAACACAGGGCGCTTCGTAGATTCTTCAGTCGTCGGTATAGATTCTTCAGTCTTCGACGTCTGAGAGAGCGACGGGGCATCCTTGGGCGCCGACAACGCGCCCGAGCCGAACGGTTTGGACGCCGGTGGGGCAGTAGCCTCGCTAGGCGGCGCGGCCCGTGCCCGGGCCGCAGGTATATCAAAGGAAAACACAGGTAGTTGGTCCCAAGGCACGTCAAGAGCCTTGGCCTGATCACCAGAGATCAAGGTTGGCTTATCGCGCCGCGCAGGCGCCGTGACGATGCACCACGACGGCGTGTCGATTTGCACGGGTGGCTCGGTAGACCGAGCAACGGGGACTGCTGGCGCTGGAGCTGGCGCTGCAGGTACAGGTGGCACAACGGGAAGGGGCACCGCCGCAGGCGCAGGCGCCGCCCCACTTGTATCGCTCGACGTCGCGCCCATCGACAGTGGCGATGGACGCTTGGGCTTATTCGCCATAAGACGCAGCGCGCCGCTTTCAACGCTGCTCTTGCCTTCGGGACTCGTCGCAGAAGGGCGCAGCGGCTCTGTGCCCGGCGTGCGAAGCGGGCGTCGTGGTGAAACAGGCAATGGCTCGGTACGCTCGACCATATCCAGGAGCGATGTCTTGGGCGGCTCGTCGCCCGCTGGCACCTCGGAGGCCGCACGCTGGCGGGCCGCTTCCAGCGCACGCGCGCGCGTCGAGCGAGTCGTTGGGCGCGGAGCAGTGGACTTGGACCGCGTCTGATACGGATTGACGACCTCCGGCAGGGCCGGTGCAGGCGGTTCAAGCGGCTTCATCGCGTCGAGTACCTCACGCATCGTCGATGCCGCACGTGTATGCCGCGCAGAGCGGCGCACCGGCACCTCGACAGCCTCCGGGGCCCTCTCAGCAGGCGCTGGCTCCTCGTTGTCCACGGGCCGCTTGCGGGCGGACGACACACTGGTGCTGGACGACAGTGCGCTCGTTGACGGCGACGCAAACGCGACCTGATCGAGCGCCTGCGTAGACGTTGTACTGGTTTTGAGGCGCTTTTCTGGCGTGCCTACTGGTTCCCGCGCCAGCATCGGGGGGCGCTGCTGTGCCAGCGCACTCATCGAGTGTGTCGATGCGATCGACGAGCGCAGTGGCGAGTAGGATTTGCGCGTACTCGTGCCAGGTCCCAAGTAGATCGGCGCATGCTTGCGACCAGGCGATACATTCGCTGCAAAGGGCGAGGTTGTCTTGAGCGCCGGGCTCGTGCGCTTCGTCGGCGTCTCGAACGAGCCCGGGTGGAAAGCAGGCGCCTGTGTAGTAGCCCACGATCTACGTGCATAGGGCGAAGGATGCGTGGGCGTCATGTTCACTGGCGCCGGCACTGGCGCCGGCGCGGCCGGGGGCGCCGCAGGCGGCGGGGGCGACGTGGGCGCCGGCGGCGCCTCGGCGCTGTGAGCATCGGTAAACGGCTGCTCGTCCATGGAGGTATCAGGGCTGGAGGAACTGGGTCGGAAAGGCGACATCCAGTTCAGCAGACCGCTCACCAACGACTGGGAGCGGCGCAGACCGCCCACATCACGATCGCCCATGGCGGTGACCCAGGCCGAGGGCCCGCGAAGCGCGACGTCTCTGAATCACGTGATACATTCTCGGTGCGGCCGGCGGCGCTGGCCGTCGCTGCGGAGACGACATGGCGGCGGACATGATGGCGCAGGACGACCCGCTGCAGGCGGTGGTCCTGTGCGATGTGTTTACGCAGCGGTTTGCGCCGCTCACGCTAGACCGCCCGCGGTGCCTGATGCCGGTGTGCAATGTGCCGCTCATTGAGTGGACGCTGGAGTCGCTCGCGGCGGCGGGCGTCCACGAGGTCTTTTTCCTCGCTACATGGCATGTGGGACAGATTCGTGCATACCTGGAGGAGCATCACCCGCTCCTATTTCGCGCGCCGGGTGCGCGTGTGCCGGCGGCGCCGGCGACGTCGCTGACGCGCATTTCGCTGATCGCGGTGCCAGAGGCGCGCTCTGTGGGCGACACGATGCGCGAGCTCGATGCGCACCAGGTGATCAAGTCCGACTTTGTGCTCATGCACGGCGACTCGCTGGGCACGATGGACATTGGCGCCGTTGTGCGCGCCCACAAGGAGCGCCGGCAGGCCGATCGGAATGCGATTATGACCATCTGCACGATGCCGGCGCCCCAGACCAGCGGCGCACGGCGCCCCGGCGATCTATCGGTGTTTGTGCTTGCACCAGCCACTTCGCAGCTCATGCACTATGCGGCGATACCGGCGGTGCCGCGTGTGCCGCTCCTTCCCCTGCCGCTCGAGCTCTTCGAGCAGGCCCGCACGGAGCTCGACGTGCGCAACGACCTCGTCGACTGCGGCGTCGACGTGTGCTCGATCGATGTGCCGCCTCTTTTCACGGAAAACTTCGACTACCAGTCGCTGCGCCGCGAGTTTGTGCAGGGCATATTGACGTCCGACTTGCTGGAGGCCAAGATCTTTGTGCACGTCGCTCCGCCGGCCAACGCTACGTCGACGTCCGCGGGCGAACCGTTCTCGGTCGTGTCGCGCGGCGTCCTGGGTATGCCGCCGCAGGGCGCAGGCTACATGCTGCGCGTCTCGGATCCCGCACGCTACGATGCGGCCTCGCGCGACGTGCTCGCAGGCTGGACGTATCCCAATACGCCGCGCCTCGGAATGCCCAACGGCGCCAGATACACCAGCGCACCTGGCCTGCGATTTACGGGCGAGCAGGTGGCGATGGCCAGCACGGCCGTGCTTGGCCGCCGCTCGCTCCTCGGCCTACAGGCGCGTCTTGATGAGGGGGCGCAGGTACACGAGTCGGTGCTGGGCGAGGGCGTGCACATTGGCGCCAACTCGACGATCCGCGGCTCGTACCTGTGGCGCAGCGTCGTTGTCGGCCGTGGATGCACCATTGAGCAGTGCCTCTTGGGCGAGGGCGTGCAGATCCTCGACCATGTGCACCTGCAGCGCGGCACGGTCGTGGGCGACGGGTGCGTGATTGGGCCGGACGTGCAGGTCCCCCCCTATTCGCGCGTCTCCATGCACGCGTTCCGCACGAGCGAAGACGACGACGAGGACGAGCCGAGTATGGACGAGGTCGATGCCGACGCTGCGCTGGGTCGTGCGTCGCGAGGCTATTTGTGGGCACCGCTGGGCGCTGCACATGCCGCGGATGACGACGACAGTGACGAGGAAGTCGACGAGCTGGAGCATGCGGCCAATGCGCGCCTGTTTGCGATGGGCGCGGACCGCAGCGTCGTGGTCTGGGACGATGCGGCGTCAGAACTCTCGTCCATTGACGCTGATAGCGACGCCGATGCGCTGAGCGACGAGAGCCTGGACGAGTCCGACGAGTCGTCGCCGGCATCGCCGTCCGGATACGGCAGCATGTCGCTGACCCTGTCTGGCGGACAAGAATCACAGACGTACGGCGAGAAGATCGAGTCGGAGGAGCGCCTGCGCGAATTCCAGCACGAGGCCCATGCCTCGCTGGAGCGCGCCTTCGACGAGAAGCATGCGCCGGAAAATGCGGCCATTGAGCTCAAGACACTGCGTATGGCGAGCAATGTGCCGCCTGGCGAGGTGCGCAAGGTGGTGATTGCGTTTGTGCTGCACCACTGCTCGGTCGATCAGCCGCGCGAGACAGCTGCGCTGCTGGACCACTGGGGGCCGCTGATCCGCGAAGTCGCGCACGACGACCAAATTGAAGCGCTCGCCATGATGCAGTCGTTCTGCGCGGTGCATGTGAGCCACACCAAGCTGTTTGTGCCCCTGCTCACCAAGGTGTACAACGACGAGATGGTCAGCGACGAGGCCATCCTCGCGTGGTGGCGCCACCCCAGCAGCCGCCAGCTCGTGCTGGCCAGCGAGGCGCCAGCGCAGGCCCAGCAGGTGGTGCTGGAGCTGCGCAAGCGCGCCGAGCCGGTCGTGCGTCATATCCTCGAGGACAGCGACGAGGACGAGGCATAGCTACGTCAGGCCATAGCGCTCAGCAACCATCCGCACAATGTCGGTCCACTCGAGCATGGCGCCCATGCCTGTGTGAGACGCACAACGTACCTAGATCGCCACACGCGAGCCGCTTGGCGATCGGCCCATGCACCTCGTAGCCGAGCGCCTCGAGGCTCGCCGTGTGCTGCGCCGTGAGTGGGTGCATGTACATGAGCGTGTTCATCGCCGGATACACCCATGTGGGCGTGTCGGGCGAGAGGGCGCGCAGGAACGAGAGCTGCGTGAGTCGGCCACACGCACCAGCAAGTTGTCGCACAGGCCATGCGTCAGCTTCGCGAGGGTGTCTGCGCTGCACGGCGCCACCAAGACCACGTCCGCCCAGCGTCGCAGCTATGGTAAGTACACCGGCGTACCTCGATGTGCAGGACGGGGTCGCCTACCTTCGCCCAGGCTGCCCATTCGTCCGCGTCGCGCCACACCTTGGCGCGCGGCGCGACCACAGAATCGGCCGACTCACCCGCCGCACAGTTCAGCGCGGCCAGCTCATGCACGCCAAATGTACGTGCGCGCGTATCGAGCGCATCGACAGCGTCTGCATCGAAAAAGTGCAGCGCCGCCGCACTGGCCACTACGTGCACGTGAACGGGCGCGTACGCGAGCAGACCCGCGACAATGTTCGGGACCTTGACGCTCGCGACGCTCCCTGTGCATGCCAGCACAACGTGCAAGGGGCGCGCGGTCGTCGGCGGCCTCGACAGGGCTGGGTACCTCGACGACAGCGACGTCGGCACAGACATGGTGGAGGCTACGGACTCAGGCGTCGGCGGGCGGCGAGGCCCACGTCTGATCGGCGGAGCCTGCCTCCACAAGGCGCTGCCGGACGAGCGCCTCGTACGCCGCGAGCTGCGCACGGGCAGGATCGCCGTGCGCGGCCAGGATGCGGTACGTGGCGATAGCCGTGTGGACTTCGTCAGTATTGCTCATGCCCAGGAGCGTGCGAAGCGCCGGCACGCCGTCCCTGGTGACGACCTCGCTGCCACGCAGGCCACGGAAGAGCGCGGTCGTGGCGAGGACCTGGTCGGCGGGTATGGGCGAGGCAGTGCGCGCCGCTGCATCCTGCTGGATCTCCTGTAAGGCGGCATGCGTCGCGGTGCGGAGCGTCGCATCGGCGGGGTGCCATGCAGGCGGCCCGCGGTCTGCGAGGAGGCCCATCGAGAACGGCGACGCATTGAGCAGCATCGGCGGTGTCCATGGTGCACCGCTCGGGGATGCGTCAAAGAGGGCCTGCCACGCAGGGAGCAGGTCCGCATGCAGCGTGTGGTTGCTGTAGCTCAGGACCATGTCCAGGCTTCGGTACGGCGCATGCGATGCAATCAGGCGCGAGAGGCGCACAAGCTCGCCGAGAGGGTATCCGCTGATGCCCACGTTCCGCACAACACCTGCGTCCTTGAGCTCAAAGAGTGTGCGTGCCGCCTGCAAAACGGCCTCGTCGCCAGGCCCGCGGATTCGTGCGGCGTCGTCTGGCGCGATGCCCAGCAGGCGCCGTGCCTCGTCCGGCGTGTACTTGTCGCTTAGGCCCACGGCCGACGCCGCGAGCCAGCGGCCCTCGTCCGTAAGGGCGATCGCCGGCTGCGCACTGACAAACTCGGCATCGTGCAGGAGGGCGCCGTCCAGGTACGTCGTGCCGAGGCGCGCCAGGCTCTGCTGGATCGACGTGCGGATGCGCTCAGGCGAGTAGTCAAACTGGGAGCGCAGCGGGCCGTAGCGCCCGCACTTGGTCACGAGGAAGTACGAGTCGCGGGGGTGCTCCGGCGCCAGGATCCGGAGCGCGCGGCCGAGCACGAGCTCGGACGGAAAGTAGTACGGCGACGAGTCGAGGGCATTGATGCCGTAGTTGAATGCGAGGCGCAGCGCACGCACAGCCGCATTGCTGGTGAGCACGCTGTCCTCATTGTACATGCCGTGGCCAAAGACGCCGCCCCCGAACCACAGGGGCGACGCCTGCGTGCGGAGATCGCGCAGCGGGGGTGCCGCGCTAGCCCATGGCGCCTTTCCGCCGCGCAGATCGTCCGTCGGCAGCTCGTCCAGGCGGACGAGCGCGCCAAAGGACGTGAGCGGAGGGTCGTTCGGCGGCGGTACGGGCATGAGGGGCCGAGGCGTGCCCCGCGAAGGCGGGGTTCGATTATGTCAGCTTGTCACATGCCGTCCAGCGTAGCGGGCCCGACCGCCGTGGCGGGGCGCGGCGGTCAGACGTTTCCCTCATGTCTCTGTCAACGAAGCTAGCCATTTCTGATGTCGATCTCACTGACAAGCGCGTGCTGATGCGCGTGGACTTCAACGTCCCGCTTGATGGCGAGCGCATCACGAACAACCAGCGCATTGTGGCTGCGCTGCCGACCATCCAGTACGCCCTGGAGCACAAGGCCAAGGCGGTGGTGCTCATGTCGCACCTGGGCCGTCCCGACGGCCAGAAGCAGACCAAGTACTCGCTGAAGCCGGTGGTGCCGGAGCTGTCGAAGCTGCTGGGCCGCGACGTGCAGTTCCTCCCGGACTGCGTGGGCGCTGAGGTGGAGCAGGCGGTGCAGGCGGCGTCGAACGGCGCCGTGATCCTGCTCGAGAACGTGCGCTTCCACATCGAGGAAGAGGGCAAGGGCAAGGACGCGAACGGCGAGAAGGTCAAGGCGGACTCGAACAAGGTCGCCGAGTTCCGTGCGCAGCTGACCAAGCTGGGCGATGTGTACGTGAACGATGCCTTTGGCTCGGCGCACCGTGCGCACTCGTCGGTCGTCGGCGTGGAGCTGCCGCAGCGTGCGTCGGGCTTCCTGATGAAGAAGGAGCTCGACTTTTTCTCCAAGGCGCTCGAGTCGCCGGAGCGTCCGTTCCTTGCGATCCTCGGTGGTGCGAAGATCTCGGACAAGATCCAGCTCATCGACAACATGCTCGACAAGGTGAACATGCTGATCATTGGCGGTGGTATGGCGTTCACCTTCAAGAAGGTCGTCGACCAGATGTCCATCGGCAACTCGCTCTTTGACGAGGAGGGCTCGAAGAAGGTCGACGAGCTCATGCGCAAGGCGCAGGAGAAGAACGTCGAGGTGATCCTGCCGGTCGACTTTGTGACCGCCGACAAGTTCGACAAGGAGGCGCAGGTCGGCCACGCGACCGACAAGGACGGCATCCCCGACGGCTGGATGGGTCTCGACGTCGGCGAGAAGTCGCGCGAGCACTTCCGCGCGGCGATCCAGAAGGCCAAGACGATCGTGTGGAACGGCCCGCCCGGCGTGTTCGAGTTCGACAACTTTGCCGCTGGCTCGAAGGCCATGCTGGACGCCTGCGTCGAGGCCGATAAGAACGGCGCGACCGTGATTGTCGGCGGCGGCGACACGGCGACCGTCGTGGCCAAGTACGGCCAGGAGTCGAACCTCTCGCACGTGTCGACGGGCGGTGGCGCGAGCCTCGAGCTGCTCGAGGGCAAGGACCTCCCGGGTGTGACGAGTCTCAGCCAGAAGTAGGTAGCTATGTAGGTGGTGACTGCCATACAAAGGCGAGTTCCTGCTGCAGCGTCTCGTGGCGGTACTGCAGCCGCACGTCCGGCACATTGGTCTTGGAAATGTCGTTGCCGGCCGCGCCCGGCACAAAGTAGTGGCGGCCCAGCCAGTGGCGCTTGATCTCGTTCTCCCAGCCCGACTGCCACACGCTGTTGCGCGCGAGCTCGCACATGTCCGCCGACGACAGCTTGTAGATCTGCGTGGCCACACTGTACTCCTCGAGCAGCGGCTCCTTGGACAGGTGGAACTGCAGCGGGTCGTCGGTCGACAGCGTGACAATGAGGCCCTTGCGGAAGTACTCGGGGAACGGATTGCGCTCGTACGCGAGGAACAGCGCATTGTTGCTGATCGGCGACATGGCGATCGGGACCTGCTTCAGGTAGTACAGGTACTGCAGCACCGGCACCTTGCGCAGCAGAATGCCGTGCGAAATCGACTGCGACGTGAGGAACGCGGAGGCGAGGTGCTCGGGATCGCCCGCCTCGCCCGCGTGAGGGCGCAGCACGAACGTGTTGAAGCACCGCTCCCGCCGCCACTGGTTCAGCGTCGCGAGGTTCGCGTACATGTAGTACAGCCAGTACGAGTACGGCGGACTCGCCGCATAGTCCCACTGTGCCGGCGGTGGAAACTGGCGCAAAAAGCGGCGCTCCGGCTTGCTCTCGTCGTCGACAATGTCGAGGCCAATCACACGCTGCAGAAAGATGTGCAGCTGGGGGTGCGTGCTCGGATCGAGCGTCACCTCGAACAGCGGTCGGAAGACGTTGTCGAGCAGGTCCTGGAAGTGCGTGACGTTGCCGTTCGCCTTGTACACTTCGTACAGGCGCGGCACCTGGATGAGCCAGCGCACGTTGGCGCTGAACAGGCGGTGGTCAACGACCCAGCGCGCGAGCTTGTCCCACTCGTCGGCGTTCCGGCCATACACCGACACGCGGTACTCACACATTTGGTATTTGCTCTGCTCGAGATCGCTAATCACCTCGCGCGTGATCTCGGCGAGGTAGCGCCCCTGGATGTCGTTGTCCGTCTTGAGGAAGATTTCGCGCAGCTTGGACTCGCCAATCGGGTTGTACTTGAGGTTGAAGCGGTCGAAGCGGTGGAACGAGTCCTGGTGCGCATGCATGCCCAGCGTGTCGATGCTCAGGTCGTACGCAGTCAGCTGGAGCGAGTCAAACACGTCCTGCAGCGTCATGGGCGTAGCACCGCGGCGCAGCACCACGTCGTCGGGGTGCCGCTTGACTTTCGCCTTGATGAAGCGCAGTAGATGCTTCTGGTTCATGCTCGCACTGTGGTGGACGTGCGTGTCGACTTTGCGCACATTGTAAAAGTCCCGGTGTGCGACCTTTTTGAGCAGGTCCGTCTCGCGGTACTCGTTGAGCAGCTTGTACAGGTTCCACTTGCCCTCGAGGTACTTGAGGCGGCGCCACGCAAACGTCTTCGCCGGCCCATCGCTCGTGACGCTCACGAGAAAGTCGTGGTCGTCGAACCACTCAGCACTCGACGTCACGCGCGTGAGGCACCGGCGCACGCCGCGTGCATCCTCGACCCACGCATGGAACACACCATCGCGCATGCCCATCTGCACACGCCGCCCATCGATGCAGTGAGCGGGCGGCAGCGACATGGCCTCCTCCGCAAAGGCGCCCGGCACGCCGCCGCAGCTCTCGAGGAGCGCCTGCGCCGCCAGCACATTCGCCTGCGACGCCGGTGGCATGGGCGGCACGGGATGCGCGCCGCCCACAAACGACGACGGAGGCGCCGGTGTGAACTGCTCCCAGTGGGGGCGCGGCGGCGCGGGGTAGATCCGCCACGGCCGCGGCTGCTGCGTCGTCGCATCCATCGCACACCCGTCAATACGCACCGGCACACTCTGCGCGGACGCAAGAAGCGCCGACGCCTCGGCGCCGTGCTCCTGCGCCCACTCGACACAGTACTCGGCGTCCCAGTTTTTCGGGTTGTCAAAGAGGTCGCCCTGCAGACTTTCCGACATGTACTTATCACGCAGACGCAGGCACGCCTGCAGACGCTCAAAGAGGTGCGCCGACTCGGGCGGCATGAGCGGAGTGTCCTCCATGCCACTCTCGTCCGTAGCGCCCGCGGGCACCGTAGCGAGTCCACTGGTGCTAAGGGCCATGGCCGTGACCGTCGCCAGGTCCATGCCAGGGACCGTGCGTGGGGCCGTCGTCGGCAAATCGCCGCCGTCCCAGCCCTCCTGCACCATAGGCGAGACCTCGTCCAGCGCCGCCTCGCGCGACACGCCTGCCATGGCCGACGCGACGTACACGCGGCCCGAGCGAAGGACGTATCACGTGGCCTACGCGTCCACCGCGGCGTGTCGCGCCTCGCCTCCCCTCGATGGAGACGCACGTCGCGGCGATCCACGCATCGCTCGACCAGCTGCATGCGCTGCATGCGCGTACCGCCGAGTCGTCGAGACGGCGTCCCTACTTTACCAACGCCGTGCTGAACCCCGCGCACGTGGACATCCTCGAGCTGATCCGCGATGCCGACGCATTCGAGGCCTCCCTGTTTGTGGCGCCCGCCAAAGGCGAGCGCACCAGCGCGCCCGAGGCGCCCAAGCCGGCACTGCGCCCTGTGCCGGTGCCGTCGCCGCTGAAACATCCGCGCACCGAGCCGTGCGACGCACGCACCTACCTGCTCGCCGCCGAGAAACTCCTGCAGAACTACCACAACGCACCGCGCGCCCGCAAGCACATTCGCATGCTGCTCCGGCGCGAGGGCGAGCTGCAGCGCCACATAACGCGGTACCAGGCTACCATCGAGCAGGCAAGCAAGGCGCAGGCGCAGCAGGCGTCCGCAGGGCCGGCCGCGGCGCCGTCGCCGACGCGTGCGCCGACCGTCGATGCCGCCAAGCTGCAGCGCGTCAAGGACGAGATCCAGCGCGAGCGGATGGAGATCCTCGCGCTAGAGTCCCTGCTGGGCGAGTACGAGTCGAGCGCGCCGCCTAGCAGGCCAGCCTCGGCGGCAGCCAGTCCAGCGCGAGCGCCTGCGACGCCCGCCAAGCCCGCGCCGACGCCGACCAAAGCGAGCACCGAGGCGCGGCACCGCACGCCTGGCATGTCGGCGACGCCGCGCCGCGCCCTCGCCGGCAGCGTATCGCGTGCGGAGACGCCCAAGACGACGCCGCGCCGCGCCGCGCTGAGTGCAAGCACATCATCAGCGGCCCGCGCATCGCCTGCCACACCACGGCGCGCATCGCCCGTGCGCGCGTCGCCTGCGCCGTCACAGACGACGCCGCGCCGCACGCCCGGCTCGCGTCCCCTCGCGCACTCGGTCAGCGGCACGCCGACGCAGAGCGGCACGCCGCGCCGCGCCCTCGCGCGCCCACCGCCCAGTGGCGCGGCGCTCGTGCCGATGGGCACGGTGCCGCCTGCGACCGAGGCGCTGGAGCGCATGGCCGCGCAGGTCTGGGAGCGGTTTGGCGAGGTCCTGCGGTATGCGCGCCCGGGATGTGCGGCCGCCCCCTTTCCCGACACGTTCCAGGCCCTGCGCCAGGTCGAGCAGGGCGTGCCGCGGGACGAGGGTGCGCCGGCGACGTACGGCAAGGCGCCGAACCCGAGTGGCCCCCTGAGCGTGGGTCTCGTGATGATGGCCCATGTGATGCTCCTCCTGATGCGTGCGCCTGCGCCCCATACGCTCACGCTCCCTACGATCAAGGCACTGTGTGAGACGTGGTGGCGGCAGCAGGGCCAGGCCGCGCTCCAGGCCGCGGTACGCACGCCCACCACGTGCAGTGCGCTGGTGCAGCAGGTCGGCCTCGATCCGACGGACATTGAGCAGGCCGGCGATGCACTCGCGACAAGGGCGGTGTATGGCCTCGTGGCCAAGAAGGTGCTACGGATTCAGCGCGCGGGCGGCGCGCCCAATGTCGGCTTTGCCTAGTCCAGCGCCTCGATGCGCGGCTGGTGCAGCTGCTGGACCGGGTGTGCCATGCCACGCATCACGTCGTGCGCTGCCGCGACCATGTCGAGGCGCTCCTGCTCGTCTTGCTCGTGCGCGAGGCGCTTGCGCGCCGCGTCCACGAGATCGGCCAGCGCGCGGGCGTCCGTCGCGCCGCCAGGGCCGAGGGCCTGCGCGTAGAACCACAGCTTCTTGGCGGCGGCCGCGTGCGCCGGGCGGGGCGAGGTGTCGAACAGGGCGTGCAGGTCAGCGAGGGCCCATGCGACCGGCGCATGCGGCGCGACGTCCAGCGCCGACACGCGCCGCGCCTGTACGAGCGGCTGAACATCGTCCCACAGCGCACGCAGCGTCGCCGTCGACGCGTGGCCGGTGCGGCGAGGGCCCCATAGCTGCAGCAGGTACAGACCCACCTCGTCGGCGGACGCGAGGCGCAGGCGCGCGTCGGCCGCCGTGGCCGGCGCGAGAAATGGGACGAGCTCACACAGCAGGGCGCGCGCCGTGTCCGCCTCGGACGGCGCGCGCTCATCGGGAGGGGCCGCGGCGCGGGCGAGTGGCTCGTCCGGCTCGAGCGGTGGCGGCGCCCCATCGCTGTCCGAGTCGCGCGCGCCGTCATCGTCCGCGGACGCCGCGGGGCCCAGCGCACCGAGACTCGGCACGTCGAGGTGGCGCAGCACATACGCATAGGCCAGCAGGAGGAACAGCAGGTTGAAACGCAGGTCAGCAGGCGCGCTCCGTGGGCGCGGGGTATCGAGGCTCTCCAGGAACGGGGTGTACGGCGCGTGCGCGGCCCATGGGCGTGCGTCGTCGCCCTGGCGCCACCAGAGCTCGGCCGGCGCCTGATCGAAGTAGAGGTGCGCTGCGTGCGCCGGCCGCGAGAGCAGGTCCGTGAACGACGCGCGCTCCTGCCGCGTGAGCAGGCGGAGCAGCTGGTCGGGGGTATAGTGGCGCAGCTCGTCGTCGCCGGGCACGTCGCTGTCGTCCGAGTCGGAGAGGACGCCCTCGCCGGTCTGCAGGCGGTGTATGATCTCGAGCGTGCGCTGCCGCTCCGCCTCATCGGTCGTTGCGTCCTCGGGCCGGATATGCTCGCGCGCCGCGCGCTGCGCAAACGACGGCGCACAGCCATGCGCCGGCGCGCGGAAGCACGCGAGCGAGCAGTACGGCGCATGGCACGTCGGGCACGTGTACGACGCGGCGCGCGCCAGGCAGATCCCACACAGGCGCCCGGCGCCCGGCGCCGCGGTGCTGGGCTGCGCGCCCTGCTCGCGGTCGCGCCGGATCGCGCGCCGGATGTGGTACAGGTCGGCCACCGACATGGAGGGTCGCTACAAGCCACGTGGGTATGGAGGTCGTACGGCTAGGACCGTGCCCACTGGGGGCGGTAGAGCACGCGGGGCCGCAGGATCTCGGACGCGCTCTGCACAATGCGCAGCTCGCGCAGGCGCATCACCCTGACGCGCTCGTCGGCGTCGAGCTGGGTCACGGGGCGGAAGGGATCGAGCTGGAGGCGCGCGCCCTGCTCGACCATCGTGGCGCGCGTGCGCACGAGCACGTGCTGGAGCGCAGCGACGGCGAGCATGACGGCGCGCGCGATCGGGAGTGTGCACTCGTCTGCGCTTGCCGCGGGCTCAAGCGCATGCGCCGCGCGCGCGGGCTCAGGCAGGTCGTCGAGGTGCGTCGCGAAGCGCGCCAGCACGAGGGCCGCGAAGAGATCGCCGACGCCCGAGAAGTACTCGCCGAGGCACGGGAACTGCAGGAACCACGACTGGAGGCCGTGGTCCCACGTCGAGCCGACGAGCACCATGGCCTCCTGCCCGTCCGGCATCGTCGCCGAGGCGCCGAGGCGCGCGAGGTCGTCCGGCGGGAGCGCCAGGGACGTGATCACCACATGCGGCACGCGGTACTCGACGTGCAGCTTCTCCTGCACGGCACGCAGCGACGCAAGCGACGTGATCTCCTGGCCCGCGAGCAGCTGCGCCTCGAACTGGTTCGGACAGATGATCGTCGAGAGGTGCAGCATGCGGCGGTAGATCGGCAGCACGTTGGGGTTCACATACATGCCGCGGTCCATGTCGCCCATCACTGGGTCGAGCAGGTACACCAGCGCGGGGTTCGTCGCGCGCAGCCGGGCGATCAGGCGCTCGACGGCCGACAGCGCCTCCGGCGACGGCGTGTACCCCGTCACGACGCGGTTCTGCGTGAGCAGCCCGTTGCGCGCCAACCCGTCGAACACGTCCGTGAGGTGGTGCTCGTCAAAGCGCAGGCCGCCCCAGCGGCCGTAGCCGGTGTGGTTCGAAAACTGCACCGTATTCACCGCATCGACGTCCCAGCCGAGCAGCTGCGCAGGAAACGTCGCGGAGCGATTGCCTGCGTGAGCGCCTCCCACGTACCCACATAGCCCGTCGCCACATGGCTCTGGATCGTTAGCAGTCGCCCGGCCTCGCACATGATGGGGACGCGAGGGAGGCCGGCGGACAGCTTAGTCAGGCGGTACCGCGACGCCCAGGCCCTTCGCATGGACCCCCGCGCGTGCCCGCCGCCCGACGCAGGCGCCGCCCGCGCGCAGGACCGAGCCGCCGCGGCACCGCGGCAGGACGACGCGCTGCATATGCGCCCACGCCACGTGCACGCGGACGCTGCATCGGCATCGTACGTGGATCGAGCGGCGCTGCGGCGCACCGGTGGCGCCGCTGCTCCGACGCACCTAGACGCCTGGGACGCCCGTGCGCAGGCGGCCGGCCGCACCAAGGGGCTCGATCTCGAGCTCCTCGCGCAGGAGCGCGCGCGCATCGCGCAAGAGGCAGCCAAAGAGCCTACGCCTCCCCCCGAGTCCGCCACCGACGGAGACGAGGCACTCGACGCGGCCCTGGAAGAGGGGCGCCGCGCGCAGGAGCGGGCGCGCGAGATCGCCGAGCGGATCGCCGCTGCGCGCGCCAAGTTTCGCCGCGTAGGCGAGGAGCCAGACGTCATCTATGTCCATGGAAAAAAGATGCGGCGAAAGCGCAAGGCCGAGGCACCCGCGCCAGCTACAGCAGCGCAGCGCTCGCCGCCCAAGAGTGCACAGCCCCCCGCATTCGCCGTGCAGGTGGACGACGCGGACGACGATATCTTCGGTGAGGCAGACGTATGGGGCGGGCTCTCGGACGACGACGCGGGCCGAGCGCCAGAGCCCACAGATCCTCGCGAGGCAGAAAGCCCTACGGAGCGGCCAAGAAAGCACCGCTGGGTGCCCGAGGCGCATGAGGAGGCAGCGCACGAGGAGGCATCGCCTCGCGAGGCATCGCCGCACGAGGCATCGCCGCCGAACGAAACCGCGCGCGCGCCTGAGCGCCTCGAAGGCCTCAGCTCGTCCGCCCTGCCATCCGAATGGAGCCGCTGGATGCTGGAGCGCGCGGATGCCCCGCGAACCGAGCGTGCCGAGCCGCGCTCGCGGCGCCGGCGCCGCGGACGCGGCGCGAGCGCCAGTCCATAGGTGATTGGGCCCAACTAGTGGAGGGCATGCCTGGCAGCGCGTGGCGGCGCGACGCGTGCCGCGTGCCAGGGCCTCTTAACCCTCTACCGCGACACGATGGCCTCGCGCGCAAAGAGGCTCGAGGCGCTCGCGGCGCTGAAGGCGTCGCGGAGCGGTGGTCCGCGAGTGCACCCCCAGGCCGAAGAGGACGACAGGATCTACGATGAAGTGTCGGCGGAGGTGTACCAGTCGATTGTGCGGGGGCGCATGATGGAGGACGACTTTATCGAGGACGACGATGGGAGCGGGTACGTGGACCACGGCCAGGATGAGTGGGAGAATGGCCCGCAGAGCGAGTCCGAGTCGGAGGACGAGCACGAGTACTATGAGCGCACCGGTCGCCGCAAGCCGAAGAAGGGCGCTAGGCGCCAGGCGCAGCGCGCCGCGCCGACCGACTATATGGGCCGCACGCGCCCCTCGGAGCGAGCTGCCGATGCGCCTGCGCGCCGCGTGCCCGCGGCAGCGGCGGCGCCCTCCAAAGATGCCGAGGAGGCGTTCATGTCGCAGCTCTTTGGGGGTCTGGCGCCCATGAGCACGCCGGCGCGGCCGATGGCGTCGCTCGCGCTCGACGATAGCCAAGACTCGCCCTCGCTGACCATGGCCCGCAAGCGCAAGCAGACGCACACGCCCTCGGCGATGCCGGCGCTCGTGCCCGACCTCAGCTCGTCCGCCGAGCCGAGCAGCGACCCGCTGGAGCTATCGTGGAGTCCGGAAGCCTCGGCCAAGAAGCAGAAGAGCGACGATGCGGAGCCGATGGACGACGCCGACGACGACTTTGCGCATGTCTCGGTCGGCGCGAAGCGGGCCACCAAGCTGGTCAGCACCGGTGCGAGCCAGCCCGCCATCGCGCCGGCGCCGGCGCCGGCCAAGGCGGTGCCGGCTGGGGCGGAGGCCCCCGCAGCCGAGAGTCCCTCGGTCCTGCCGTCGTGGCGGCGTGTGCACGAGAGCCTCGCGGCCGTGGCGGCGCCCGAGACGTCGGCGCCGACGGCGGCCACGTCGACGCAGATTTACGAAGCGGACCGCTCCGTGTCCTTCTACTGGCTGGACTATGCAGACGTGCACGGCAAGATCTACCTCTTTGGCAAGGTGCTGGACCAGGCGAGCCAGCGGTACGTGAGTGCGAGTGTGGCCATCGATGGTATAGAGCGGTGTGTCTTTTTGCAGCCGCGCACGCGCACGCTTGTCCATGGGCACGAGACGGACATGGTGCCGAGCGAGGACGACGTGTTTGAGGAGTTTGATGCGCTGCGCTCGCGGCACGGCATCTCGGCGTGGCTCGGCAAGTGGGTCACGCGGCGGTACGCGTTCGAGCTGCCGGACGTGCCGGCAGAGGGGCGCTACCTCAAGATCAAGTATGGCTTTGACGAGCCGGCGCTGCCCACGGACGTCAGCGGCGCGACGTTTGTGCGGGCGTTTGGTACGCAGACGTCCGCGTTTGAGCTATTCGTTGTGAAGCGGCGCATTATGGGCCCGTGCTGGCTGAAGCTCGACCAGGTGAGTGTGCCGAGCGGCCCGCCGCAGACGTGGTGCAAGCTGGAGCTCGCCGTCGACGACCCGAAGTGTGTGTCGCCGTACTCGGACGCGGATGCCAACGCGCCCAAGGAGCCGCCGCCGCTGACGGTGATGAGTCTCGCGCTGCGGTCCGTCGTCAACTTTAAGGAGAACAAGCGCGAGATCGTCGCAGCGAGTGCGCGTGTGTGGCCCGACATGGCGCTGGAGAGCGCGACGCCGGTGGAGCAGCTGCCGTCGAGCTCGTTCACGGCGGTGCGCCCGCTGGGCCCCTCGTTCCCACCGCGCTTCGAGGCGGAGGTTGCGCAGAGCTCGACGCCCGTCAAGGCGTTCAAGTACGAGCGCATGGTGCTGAACAGCCTGCTCGCACAGATCCAGCGGCACGACGTGGATGTGCTGGTGAGCCACGACTTTGTCGGGTCGACGCTAGATGTGCTGCTGCACCGGCTGCGCGACCTCAAGTGCGAGCAGGCGACGCGGCTTGGGCGTCTGCGCCACGAGGGCACGCGCCCGACAAAGTACTCGCAGGCCATGCGCCTGCTCGCGGGGCGCCTCGTGGCTGACCTGTCGAGCGATATGGCCAAGGGCATGATTTCCTCGACGACGTGGTCGCTGAGCGAGATGTGCCGCACGCACCTGCAGGTGCAGCGCGAGGACATGGACCCGGAGGACGTGCCGTCGTACTTTGACAGCACGGCGCCGACGCCGGCGCGTCTGCTCACATTTGTGCGGCACCTGGAGGTCGATTCGTTCTTCCAGATGGCGCTGGCGAGCAAGGTGCAGCTGCTCGCGCTGACGAAGCAGCTGACGAATCTCGCGGGCCACGCGTGGTCGCGCACGCTGAACGGTGGGCGTGCGGAGCGCAACGAGTACATTCTGCTGCACGAGTTCCACAAGAAAAAGTACCTGTGCCCGGACAAGCCGCTGGCATGGGAGAAGAAGAAGGACGACGCGGGCAAGAAGGAGACGTTCAAGGGTGGGCTCGTCCTGGATCCGAAGCGTGGGCTGTGGGACAAGTATGTGCTGGTCATGGACTTCAACTCGCTGTACCCCAGCATCATCCAAGAGTTCAACATCGACTTTACCACGGTCGAGCGGCACGGCGGCGACGATGTGCCGGACGTGCCGTCGTCAGACGTGGCGCAGGGCGTGCTGCCGCACCTGATTGCCACGCTCGTGAACCGGCGACGGCAGGTCAAGGCGCTGCTCAAGGACAAGAATGCGCCGACGCTCAAGCGCGTGCAGTGGGACATTAAGCAGCGCGCGCTCAAGCTGACGGCGAACAGCATGTACGGGTGCCTCGGCTTTGAGCACTCGCGCTTCTATGCGCGGCCGCTTGCCGCGCTCACCACGTTCAAGGGACGTGAGATCCTGTCTATGACGTGCGAGCTCGCGGAGAGCATGGAACTCGATGTCATTTACGGAGACACAGACAGTGTCATGATCAACACGCGGTGCATCGACTACCAGGCAGCGCTGCGTATCGGCCACGCGTTCCGCCGCGCCGTGAACGAGCGCTACCGCCTGCTCGAGATTGACATCGATGGCGTGTTCCAGCGCATGCTGCTCCTGCAGAAGAAGAAGTACGCCGCCCTGCTCGTCAACGACGCCGGGGAGACGCACACAGAAATCAAGGGCCTCGACATGAAGCGCCGCGAGTACTGCCAGCTCAACAAGCAGGTGTCCACGTACGTGCTGGAGCAGATCCTCTCGGGCGAGGCGACGGAAACGGTTGTCGAGCGCATCCACACGTACCTGCAGGGCGTCGCGGACGACGTGCGGGAGGGCCGTGTGCCGCTGGACGACTATGTCATCTTCAAGCGGCTCGGTAAGCGCCCGCAGGACTACCCCGATGCGCAGCACCAGCCGCATGTGCAGGTCGCCCTGCGCATGCTCGCGAAGAACGAGCCGGTGCGCAGTGGCGACGTGATTCCCTACGTGTTTTGCGTCGGCGCCGACGAGAAGAGCGCGCAGGCGCAGCGTGCATTCCACCCCGACGAGGTGCGCCGCCACGCCGGCGACCCCGCGTACAAGATCGATGTGCACCACTACCTGTCGCTGCAGCTACTCCCCTCCATCGAGCGTCTCGCGGACTGCATCGAGGGCACGGACCGCATGCGCCTCGCCGAGTGCCTCGGGCTCGACGTGCATACCTACACGCACGACCCAGTCGACCAGCGCTTTGCGCCGCTGGACAGCCAGGTGCCGAGCGTCGTGCGCTACGCGCACTGCGAACCATTCACGGTGCGCTGCCGCGCGTGCCGCCACGCCACGCCCCTCCAGCCGCCCTCGCGCACACGCGCCGATGCGCCATGGCTCGCGTGCGAGGCGTGCCGCGCCCCTTTTCCACGCGCCACGCTCGTCGTGCAGCTCGAGCTGGCGATCCGCGCGCACGTGGCGCGCTACTACGAGGGACAGACCACCTGCACCGAGCCGGCGTGCCGCGCTGTCACACGTCAAGCTGGTGTGTACAGCGGGCGGTGCGTCGTCCCCAGCTGCCGTGGCCAGGTTCAGCGCATGTACTCGGACAAGACGCTGTACACGCAGCTGTGCTACTATGCGTACCTGTTTGATGCCGCGCAGGCTCTCGAAGAGGTCAGTGAGACGAGCCAGCGCCACGCGCTGCGCGATCGTCTCGAGACGCACAAGGCCGACATGGAGGTGCTGCGCGCGACGGTCGATGCGTTCCTCGCGCGCAATGGTCGTCGCTACGTGGGCCTAGGGAAGCTCTTTTCGTTCCTGCGGGTGTGAACCTGTGTGTAGCAGCGCTTGTAGACCGGGTATCTCGTATGGTAAGGCGGCTGTGCCCAGCGATTGCGTACGTAGCAGCAAGTCAATGGCATCGCGCTTGACTGCGCGGTATATATCGAGCTCGACCGCCACATTGACGTCAGCAGCTGGCGCATTCGGCGCCGGGCCGCGCGGCGCCGGCGCCACCGCGTCCGCTGACGCAGGCTCCGCAAGCTCAGACGCCTCGGCGTCATCGGCGTCGTCCCAGTCCTCGGCCAGAGAGAGTGCCTCGCGTTCTTGGGCGCTCATGAACGAGCCAAACTTGAGCTGCCGCCGCAGCTTGCGCAGCGAGCCACAGTCCTTGATGATGCGCAGCCGATCGTCGTCGTCGCCGGCGCGGCCCAGGTAGATCTCGTCCTGGTCCTCGAGGTGCGCATCCTTGAACCGCTCGTAAATGCTTTCCCACTTGCAGCGCAGCCGCTCCGCAGACTGGTACCGCGCCCACTCGAGGCTCTCCGTGCCGTCAGGGTTGAACTGCGGCGGCGCTCGTGGCGCTACGAACGGCCGCGGCCGGCCCTCGCCAAAGCGCGGCTTGCGCGCAGGCCCAGGCGCAACGTCCTGCTCCGCTGGCCGTGCCGTGCCCTCGTACGCGCCCAGGCCGAGCGACTGCTGCAGAAAGGCATTCTGGCACGGCTGCGACATGGCGGCAGCGCTTGACGCGCCGCGCGATGCTGCGCGTTACGCTCGGCCGATAGGCGCCGCGCCGTGCGGCGGGGAAGGCGCCAGACGCTCGCCGACCATGCGCAAGGAGCGCCGCGAGGCCCTCGCTGTCGTACGTTGGCTTGGCTCACGAGGCAGCTGCAGCGCGTGGTGATGGTCTTGCAGGTCTACGTGTATCTGCTGGATGGCCTCCTGCTCATCCTGCTGCTGCGCTTCTTTTCGAGCTTCGTACGTCGAGTGACTCACGCAGCAATATCGTATGTGGTCCAAACTTACGCAGTGCGTCCGCAGCTGGTGATGCGCGAGCGCAGCCTACCTGGCTTTGTGCGCTCCATGACAGCATTCCAGCTGGTGTGTGTGCTAGCCCAGCTCTTCTACGATACGGATCCCTCGCGCCGCCGGCTCCTTGTCGACTTTGTGGGGCAGGGTGCGTACACAACACTCACACGCAGAGCATGTGCCGTCCAAGGTGCATTTGTTCGCCGTCGATGTGGTCCTATGGCTTATCCAGCTTATGGTGATTGCGCTCACCGTGGAAGAGATGCATGCCGAGGCGGATCCCACGCGCGTGAATCGGCTGGACACGTCGGACGCACCGCCGCCTGCGGAGCGGGCATCTGGCGATGACATGCCGCTGCTAGACCCCGTGCCGCCGCCGCCGCCAGGCGTGCTCCCTACGACGCAAAAGCCCATTGCGGTAATCCACTGGGCCATGCTGTGGCAGGACCCAGCGGCAGGCGATCGCTAAGCTCTTTCAGATACCCATATACCCGCTGCCTACATGTAGGGCCGCTTCAAAACGGCCACACCACAAGTCGACGTGGCCGATCTGCACGACCTCATAGTCTCCCCTGCTAGTTTAAGTGCACTGCGCATGAAGCGGCACAGCGACTAGATAAGAAACAGGGTGCCGAGGCTGCCACCCCAACGACTGACACTGACTCACACATGGCATGGTTTTCCAAGGCGTGCATTCCTACACACCGCCGCATGCCCCCTGGGATGGGCATGGACGTACATTTTCAAAGATATGGGGTCCTAGAGGCACACGCATGCAGGCCAACGACCGCTTTTAGACTAGATGTCAGTGCAGGAATACGTACTGTTGCTGGGGTACAGCAGCACACGGACAGAGGCACCAAAGGCCTCCGGCGGGATGTTGTGGCGGAACTTCGAGCGCACCACACCGTTGCCGCCGTGTGTCCGGGTAACACGGCCCCAGATCACACGGTACTTGCTGCCGCGCACCTCAGTAGGGGCCTTGTAGATGTAGGCAATGCGCTAATGTTAGCAGGTCTCACGCACCTTGCCGAGGTAGAACTGAGCGTCCTTCGAGCTCTCAACGCCCTCAATCTTGATGAGCGACACGTTGGGGTGGCTGAGGTGCTTGCTGCGCCGGTGACCCAGGATCCTGCCCTTGCTGTAGAGACGAGTCTGAGAGGTTAGCTCCTGCTCTGCGCGCCTGCCGTGCCGCCAACGCGGCACGCAGCCCGTGTGCGTACCATCTTCTTGTGTCCAACGATGTGGTGAGGGGCCATGACTCGCCGGGCGGACGAGACCTTTCGCGCATTCTAGTCACGTGGAATGTACTTCCAAAACTATAGTGTCACGTGGGATGATGTGGAGGCGGTACGACCGCCGCCCGCTCCCTGCTGCGAGCGGCGATGGGCCGCATACAGCGCAAGAAGCGCAATCACCACGCCCGCCGAGACGTGTCGCGTGCGGCACGCACTCGCGCTCGAACGCTCGACTATGATCAGCGCCATGAGAATGCTACGAATGAAAGCAAGCGCCAGAATCTAGAAGCGCCGACCGAGCTGGACCCCGAGAAGGCCGGTCTCGGCATGTTCTACTGCGTCGAATGCGATCGACACTTTCCCAATTCCAACGATCGCAACGCGCATATCTCCAGCAAGCTGCACAAACGCATCGCGAAGCGCGTGTTGACAGAGACGCCTTACACACACGAAGAGGCCATGCGTGGTGCAGGGATCGGCGTTGACCATGGCCGGCGCTCCTCGAATCGCATCGAGACCGAGCTTTGAGCTTTCATACCCCTTGTATCATAGAGAGCTATCATCACGACCACCCAGTGGTGCCGCACGACGACGTAGCCATCGGATCGGGTGCCACGTGTGTGGAGTGCCAAGCCGTCCAATCCGGCCCAGCACTATCACAACCTTATCATGACGAGCAAGGAGGCCGTCGTGCTCGGCGCTGGAGGTACGTGTATGCACCTTACATAGTGTTGGGACTCACGAGTGCACTGGAGTTGCGCAAGAAAGGCTACACGGTCACGGTCCTAGCGCGGGACCTCCCCAGCGACCTAACGTCACAGAGCTTTGCCTCGCCCTGGGCTGTGTGTACCATGTAGCTTACCGCAGGGCGCGAACTGGTGCTCGTTCGCCGGAACAAAGGAAGCGGAGCGCCGCCGCGATGCGCACACGTACAAGGCCTTTACAGAGCTGGAGAAGCAGCTGCCTAAGGACCTGCTCGCTTTCATGCCGTTTTCCTGTTATCATGATATCGAGAACGACACCGACTGCTTTTGGTTCGGTGACGTCTGTGCCGGCGTATGTTATGTCGACTTACACCTAGATACAAATGACCAAACACGACGGCACGCGTGCCTCGCAAGAGGCGCCATACCGCTATGATTTTCGCTCGCTCACCCTTGATGCGCCAAAGTACTTGCAGTGGCTGGCGACACAGCTGCAGGACGCCTCCCTGCCGGGTCCGCCCGGCACTATTGCGCGTATCTCGTCTGTCTATACGCTCCAAAGTGCCGCCGCATTGGTACCCAAGGCGTCTGTGCTCGTCAATGCCACTGGTCTGGGAAGTCAGGACGTGCGCGAGGCCCACGAGTCAGGTGCCTATCCAATCCGCGGCCAGACGGTCCTGGTGCGCGCGCCAAAGTTCCGCGAGGCGGAATTCGCGCACTGCTACTCCAAGATCAGCAGTCAGGGCGCATCGTACGTCATTCCCCGCGCGCGCAGCGGGCTGGTTATCCTGGGCGGCACATTCGACGTGCGCAACACATCTGTGCTCCAGCCCGACCCTGCTGTGACAGAGCGCATTATAAAAAATGCCATCGACCTTGCGCCTGCGCTCTTGCCTGATGGAGTCGATCCAAAGGCCTCTGATGCATGGACGAAGGTGGACGTGGTCACTGTGAATATTGGCGTACGGCCCGCACGCGAAGGCGGTGCACGCGTTGAGCTGGATCCTCACGCGCTGCAGCTAGCCGGGCGACGAGTCGGTGTGGTGCATGCGTATGGTATTGGTGCGTACGATAGTCTAACTTAAGGTCCCGCTGGCTACCAGGCCAGCCACGGTATTGCGGCCGAGGTGGGCGAGCTCGTCGAGCAGTGGGAGCGCACGGGCACAGCAACTACGGCCAAGCTGTGACGCAGTGCCGCAGGTGTATCACGTGAGAAAAAAAGAGGTCACAAAACAATAAATAGGGCGCACGCCGAAAAGGCTTGCTTCACCGCTCCGGTAGCTCGAGGGACCCTCTGGGACCCTTGGCCTACATACCACTGATGGGATGCACAATCCTTGTCAGGTGCTCACGAGCCTTTGCGGGCAAGTGGGACTGCGTGTAGACCGGTTGGCGGACGCGGCGAGCGACTGGGCACAGGAGGCCGCTGGACCAACGCGGGTACTTGCAGCGAGTACGTGCGCCCCATGGTCGCGCTTGAGGAGGCCTGCACATTGATCGCCCGTATGGAGCTGGTCTGTGTGGCGTCTCTGAGTGGCCATGGTGGCAGCGTGCTTGGCGGAGTGGCCGTGCCAGTGAGCACTTGTGTCCAGAGCCCCCTAATTTCATGGCCTAGAGGAAGCTGCTATGCAGCGATGACCTGGCGGGTCACAACCTAGGGTGGCCACATTACGATAGCTTGACAGAGTATCTAACTATGATAACCGAGCTGCCATTGCATCGCGCTTGGCCTTGAGAACCGCCAGCTTTTCCTCCTTTGTAGCATCGTACGATACGTGCACCTGGTTGAAGGGGTTCTCCTTCGACTTTTGGAACTGCTTGTACAAGAGATCCTGGTACTGCTGGAAACGCAAGCCAGGGTGCTCCTCCTTAGCCTTGGGCAATTCGCGCTCCTTGAATGCCTCGAACGCCGCCTTGAAGCGGCGCTCGGGGTGCTTCTCGATGCCGCCAGCCGCTGCGCCCTGGCTCGCCTTGTCCGACTTGGCGTTGACCAGTTCCATAGCGTCCAGTGCATCATCGAGGCTCGACGCGTTAAACGCGGCAATCTGCATGTCCAGGTCGTTGAGGGCACCGTTGTTCTTGCCGCCGCCCTTGCCGCCCTTGGCACCGCCACCGCCACCGCCACCACCACGCTTGCCGGGCGTGTTGGCATCGTCCTCCTCGGTGAGGCGCTGGAGCTCAGCCTTCTTGCGTGCCTTTTCTTCCGCCTTTTCGTTGCGTTTATCGGCCGCCGACTTGCCCTTGGCACCTTGTTGCCACTTGGCGTCTTCTTCCGCCTCGGCTGCAGCCGCAGCCTCGGCCGCCTTGCGCTCAGCCGCTTCCGCCTTGCGGGCGCGGCCAGCCACTGCCTTTGCATTCACTACGCGTTAGGCTGAGTACCACGTACTTTTGGCCGGCATGATAGAATGGAATGGAGTAGGAACAAAACCGTCCGATCGCGAAGGTCATGCCACATCGATCGCCAGTGCGTAGCGCGTGACTTGTGGGGGACAAGCGCAATTTTTCAAGAGTGGCAAATCGATCTACTCAGCTTGATTGGTGCACAAGCCACGGCCATGGTGACGGACGGTCAACTCGCCGAGGCCGTCCAGCCCGACGTGGTAGTGGCGGCCCGGGCACTGCTGACGCGCCTTCGACGCTTGCATGCTCTCCAGGATGCGCCGTTCCCTTGGGATACGCATACGCTGCATGTGGACGATCGCACGGCCCTCGCCAACGCACATGCGCCCGGCGAGGCCCGGGCCGCTCTCGCAGCGCACCTCAATACACTCGAGAAGCAGATGGCCGAGTACAAGGCCCAGTTTGGTGCACAGCTACGTGAGGCGCATGCGGCGTCGTTGCGCAACGCGCTGAGTGGCAGCGCGGAGGCTGCCAGTCAAGACCCCGTGCTCAATGAGGAGGGTCTGCCATTTGTCGATCCGCTCGAGATGCTGCCCGACTCGCCCCCACAGACGCCGCAGCTAGACGCCAGTGCACCCCGACCCATGGGTAATGTGCTGGGGCGCACACCAGGACAGGTAGCGCCCTTTGATCCGACCAAGCATGGCGAAGAGCGCCAGCAGTGGATGGCATCGATTTTTGACGAGCTGCAGAAAGAAGAGGATGCCGAGCTTGCGAAAGAGCAAGAGGGCGCTGAGATGCCCAAGGTCGCCGGTCTGCGGCGTGGTTTTTTGCAGGGACAAAAGCAGCAGGAGCCACCAAAAAAGCAGGTCCGCATTGTCGAGCCTGACGTTTCGAGCGACGAGGAAGAGGCAAGTCCCGAACCTGTTAGTCCAGAGAAGGTGCACAAGGTTCCACTCGGCATGGACCCTGAAGACGCTGGCGTACAGGAAGAGGCCGCACGTATCGTCGACCTGTTGGGTCCCGAGGTCATCCGAGGGCATCCCAATGCCGAGCGCATCTTTGCGGAGATGGAAGCAGCGCAGCCTCAGATGGTACAGAAAGCTGCGCCTGCGCCGCGAGCGCCAGCAGAGCCTGAGAAGCCTGCGATTGGCGATGTGGTCGTCGAGCGTTCAGCAGATGCGGACACGCGACGCACCCCGAGCACCGGCCGCAAACTGAGTGCATTCAAGCAGCGACAGTTAGAGCGGCAGCGGTCCCAAGGCGCCGAGGACGAGGCACCAGTGCCGCCTGTGGGACCCAGCATCTCGCAAGGCCTCTCGGCCATTGAGCGTGCCGGTCGCGTGGACGATGCGCAGAGCGCATCGCGCATCCATGCCGGCCTGCCGCCTCAAGTTCCTCATGCACGGCCCACGAAGGCGTATGCAGCCAAACTGCAGCAACGAGCAGCCGCGACCAGCAAAGGACAAAATATGGACGAAGAGGAAGAGATTCAGGCCCCAGGTCGCCGCGTACGCTTTGGCGGCGAGGAAGTGCGCCACATGGACGTGGACGAGGACGAGGACAGCGATCCCGACACGTCAATGGATCACGTCGAAGGTGATATTGACGACGACGACGAGTTTCATCAGGAGCCCGACGATGATGATGACAGTATGCCCGATGATACATGGACCTCGGAAGACGAGATGCTGTGGGACAGCGAGGACGAGTATGGGCCGGAGGATCTGGAGGCACTCAAGCCGTCCATGGACGAGCATCCGCAGGACGCCTTCTGGAACGAAGATCTGGCGCGCGAGTATGCGGAGGCCAAGGCGCGTCTCGCCCTGCAGCCGCCGGCCGCCGCTCAAGCGCCGTCCAACGAGGCGGAGGACAACCAGGAGGCCTATGGCGTACGTACAAGACGACTGACCACAGATTGCGCCGCTCGACGCGACCGTAACTGACCCGGGGCGCCCGCGTGTGTCGCGCTTCAAGGCGGCGCGCCTTGCCGGTGAGCGTGTGCCGGACCCCAACGGCGAAACGCTGGACATGGAGCGCCCCTCGACGCAAGCTGCTGACGAGCGGGGCCATGACTTGGCGCATGAGCTGCACGAAGGCCGTACGCCCGTGATGGTGCTGCCTACACTGGCGCCTGTCCGGTTTCCGCGGTCGACGGACGGCGATACACGCGGCATCGACTTGGATGGCGAGAGCGACGAGGACGATGAGCGGTTGCACGCGTTGATGCGTGCTCGGCTCTCGATGGAGGGCGCTACGCCGGAGCAAGGCCAACAGCGAAGCGCTCAGCCGCCGCAGGTAGGCCGGGCTACATAGTGATAGTCACGAGCCAGATACCCTATGATACTAGGAGAGAGATGGGTGCATAGCCAAGGGCTCGTATCCCTGGCGCAAAAGTTCTTTTTCGCGTGCCAGCGCATTCAGATCCACCTTGTCAAACAGGCGTGAGCGGGGCTGGCTAGGGGGCCGGGGGAGTTTCTCGTCGCGGTGAAGCACCACCCCGACGTAGCGGCGCTCACGCTTGTTCGACGAGGGGTGAGGGCGCACCGACTCGGGCGCCAGCGCATGCACTGTGTGGCGCGGTAAGGGGCGGAGGGGCAGGTTGCCCATTGACGCCGGGGGGGTCTTTTGGACGCCGTCCGACTCTGAATGCGGCTTGTAGAAGCGCACGTAGCCGGGCGCTGTAGCATACAGCGTGTGGTCGCGTCCCATGCGGACGTGCTCGCCAGGGTGCCAGGAGGTGCCGCGCTGGCGCACGATGATGTTGCCTGGGACGACGGCCGTGGAGCCGGCCTTCTTCACACCGAGGCGACGACCCACACTGTTTCGGTTGTTCTTCGTCGTACCACCGCCGCGCTTGGCCGAGTTACGCGTCTGCACCGAGGCGCCGAAGCCAAAGGACGGCAGGGGCGAATCCCCGAGCGGCAGACTCGCGCGGGCGAGCGCTACAGATGGCAGCAGAGCCGTCGGCATAGCTGCGGCAATGCGCAAGGACGGCGTGCGCATGGCGCTGCCCAAGGCAGCGCCTACAAGCCCAGGACGCAAGGCCATTCCGTGGCGGCTGAGGACGACGGAGCGGCGGACGACGTTGGTGCTTCACGTGACAAGATGCACGTCGTCTTCGTGCGCTCTTCCACGCTTCGCCACTACGATGGTTTGGCCGTTTTCGTCGCAGCCGAAACTCACCGCGCCTGCCGCGACGGATGTGAGTGAGCCGCAGGACGTGAATGCAAGTCCGGCAGAGTACCTGCGCTCGCACTCGTTCGACAAGGGCAGCACGGAGGCCGCACAGGAGGCCCCGACGGCGGCGGGTCTGCTGCGCAACACGGCGCTGGACCCCGCGAAGCTGCACCCGTTTGCGGACATCAAGGATGACCTTGAGTACCTAGACATTGAAGAGGACAGGCCGAACACGATTGAGGGTGCCCGCACAGCGCTGCCCTCGCGTGGCTGGAGCGACGACCTGTGCTACGGTACCGGCACCACATACCTGGGCGGCCTCGTCGTCGGTGGGCTGCTTGGCCTGCGGGAGGGCATGACGCGCCCGCTTGGCATCGATTCGCCGACGTTCCGCCTGCGCATGAACGCCGTGCTCAACCAGGTTTCGCGCCGCGGCACCTTCATTGGCAACAGCGCCGGTGTGATTGCTCTGACGTACAATATCTTTGATGCCTCTATTGACGCGGCGCGCGGTAAGCACGATATCTATGGCAGTGTGGCAAGTGGTGCACTCAGTGGTGCCTTGTTCCGTTGCACATGTACGTAACGATAGTACTGACTCCAGCCGGTCCCCGCGCCATGCTCGTGTCTAGCACCCTGATGATGGGTGCCGCTGCCACCTGGACCCTGGGCAAGCAGGCTTTCTTGTAGCTTAGTGCGACATGCTCAACTTGGAGAACAGCTGGAACAGACTGGCGCTTGACTTGGGGTACTGGCCGTGCGCCAAGTTTTCCACGATCGGCACAAAGTCGGGGCGCGTCTTGACCTCCTCCCAGTGGCGCGTGATGTAGTCAAGGTGCACGCGCTGCACATCGCTGAAGCGGTCACCAAACGGCGACAGCAGATCGGCAAGCACCGAGCGCGTCGACAGGTTCAGTGAGATGTGCTCGAACGCACGGAGCATCAGGTCCGGCAGGTCGAGCTGCTTGCCCAGGCAGTACGCCGACTTGTTCGAGAATGCGGGCGGCCACAGCGCGGGGTTCTGCTTCGAGCCGTTGCCCAAGTGCTCGAGCGCCTCGTCGTGCAGCTCGTTCAGCTGACCGTGCGGCGGAATGTGCGGAATCGACACAAAATGCACCTGGTTCGTGTATAGGTAGAACAGCAGCGCCTGCATCGTACGGGGAGAAACACCTCGGATGATGACGCGACGCATGCCGCGCGGCAACGAAGACGAGTGCCGCTTCGAGCGCCGCGAAGAGGCATTTGACGGCGCAACTCGCGGCACCAGTGACGTGCTGCCCGCACCTCCGAGGCGCGGCGCCGATTCGACGCCGCCACCAGGGGGACCGCGCGCTCGCGGCGTGGGAGGACTCGGCGGCGCACCCGGTCGTCCAACGATGGGGTTCGAGATCGGTGCCTCGGAGTAGCGGCGCAGCCGCCCATCGCCCACGGCACTAACATCCGCATCAGGCGACCGGGGCGACGTTACCGCTCCTCCCGAAGCGCTCGGTGGGTCGTCCTTCTTCTTGCGAAGGTTCTTGAAGAACGAGGCGCCGCCGAAACGAGATGGCTCCAAGCCGCCGCGCCGCGCGGGTGTGGAAGACGCCTGGTGGCCGTCCGTTGAGTACTGGCTCATCGTTGATAGGGAGAGGCTGCTTCCGAGGGGTGCCGCAGCCGGGCCCGTCGCAGGCGTCAAAGGCGTAGTCGCAGTCGCTGGAGGTGCTGGACTGCTGGGTGACGCGGCGGGCGCCGGCTCGCGCGCGCTGTTCGTCGGCATAGCCACGACAGACTCTTCCTCAATCGTGTCATCGTCCAGAGTGTCCGTGTCTTCCAGATCGTCTGAATCCATCGCGCTAGGTGCCAGGCTGCTCGTCACTGATACGGCATCCGAGAACGTGTTCTGCTTGAGGACCTGCAAGTTCTCCATTGAGTCGAGGCGAACAGCACCACCACGCTGAATGACTGGAGTAAGTCTTTGTCACGCACGCTTAAACAGGACAGGGCATGAGTGCTTGATGACCGACGAGTGGCCATACAACATCTCGTCCTTGCCAAGATGGTTCACCACAAACTCGGTGTCGAAGAAGGGCGCACCACAGATGCTATTGGCAATTGCATCAAGAGCATTGTGACTCACAGTAGCCAGCTTCACATCGGGCGCGCGAGGGACAGACATGGCCGGCTTAGCACGGGCTCCTCGGGGTTGCATGGGCGTGGCACGAAAACGCCGGTGGCTGCCCCAACGCGAGGCGGCGTCGGCACCTCCACTGGATCTAGCCGCGACGCGCCGCGCGATCTCGCCTGTGATTCGCGGTGCGCAGCCCCTCGCAGGCGCGGCACTTTACCTCCACCTGCCAGTCGCTGCGTCTGACGCTGGCGCTATGGTCGCTGGCTTTGCGCACACGCCGCTCACCAAACGTGCGTGCAGCCGTCTAACAGCAGTCGCTCTTGTGAGCACAGCTCTTTTCACGCTCTGTGAATCGCTAGCGAATGCCAAGGCGTTCCTACCGTTTCAGTGGGATCCCCATATCCGCGAGTACCACCAGGTACGTGCGATCCCTCACACCAGCTATGGCAGGCTTGTGTGTACCACCTCGCATTCACAAACAGCTCTGAGCTGTTCCTTGGTATCTTAATGTGGCACCATGCCGGCCGCCAAGTCGAGCGCGCGCTGGGCTCGCGCAAGTATGCCGTGGCTCTTGTTGTCTTAGGCGCACTGCACTCGCTCGGCTCGCTCGCGTGGGGCGCTGCGACCAGCTATGTGGCGCCCAGTCTGCCGACCTCTATGGCTACGCAGCGCCTGCAGAGCGGCTACCTCCCCGCGGGGCCGATCGGTATCCTCACGGCCCTCAGCGTGCTGTACTTTGCCTATACCCCCCCGCTCTGGTCGATCCTGTTCGGAGACTGGGAGTGCACGGACCGCATTCTCGTCATGATTCCGACCGTGCTGGTACGTTGGATCTTCTAATGGCAGCTCGCGAGCTCACAGCCACCGTACTCGATGGTATCGGCGCTCCTGGGCGTCGCAGCCGCCTACTTGTACATGGCGCGTACGCCTTTTGGCTCGTTCAGCGCACTCCAGATGCCACAAAGCATCTCCGTGCATATTCAGCGTACACTCGGCCCCCTCGTCGGCTCGACTCGCCTGCCCGCCCGCCCCTCGCACGCGCAGTACCATCGCCAGGCGATCTGATCACGTGCGGTGCATGGGCCAGGGATGCGAGAACTACGTGCCTGCCATATACCCGTAGCCGACGCCGTCGATGGATGGGTGGCGCGCGCGCCTGTGGCGCGCCGGCTCCAGTACGACGTCTGAAGCCCACTACGAGCCTGCGCATGTGCAGTATCTTGTGCTTTTTTCGCCCAGGCTCACGGAGCATCTCGACGCCGAGGACCCTGAACGCCTCGCTGGCCAGGTCCTCTACTACACCGACATTGAGCAGGCCGTGTCGCAGGTTCAGACGATGCGCCAGGTCGCGCTTGCGAATGCGCTTATCGATTTTGCCACGTCAATGCACCCTGCTGAGGACGCAAGCGGCGCAGAGCTGCGCACTCTCGCGGTGGGAACCACCGCACGCCGCCTGTACCTCCTCGAAGTCGTGCCGGACCTGTGGCTCCATGCGGTACGTATACAGTGCTAACAAAAGTGCGTGGCACTCGCACATGTGCACCAAGGCGACACGGTCGAGCACAAGCCCTGGTGCGACGATACTTGGATGCAGCAGCAGCTCCGGGACGCCTGGCAAGCGTGGCGTGTACGTGGCCGCTACTCACCAGCAGCTGGAGCATGGCGCACCACATATTCTCTGGCGTGAGCGGGGGCGCGAAGCTTTGGAACAGAGCCTTGAGCGCTTCTTCTCCAAGTGGGTGTGGCAGTGGGATGTTGAGCGCCAGTGGGCGCCGGTGCTCCAGGCCTCGCGGCCCGCGAGCGTGCCAAGTGGCCTGCTCGCCGAGACATGCGCGACACTCGATGCGTGCCCGGACATGAGCGAAGATGATCTCGTGCAAGCGCTCGCGTGGTTCGCGCGCACGAGTCAGCAGAGGTCGACGGAAGCGCCTGCCGAGATGCTCCTTCTGTACGATGACAGGGTGCTCTGGCCGCAGCCCCACGTGGCGCGCGAGGCGGGCCTGGATGCACAGGCTCGGCGTCAAGTTGCGCGGTATGTGCTGCGGCGCCTCGTGGGCCTTGAGACAGCTCGCCGCGAGGCAGCCACCGCGTTCGCCGCGCGCCCTCCGAGCGCGAAACCTCGGCCGCCGCCGCCCACCGAGAGCGAGCAGGCCGCACCCCATGCGTGGATCGACCTGCCATTCATGGGCGACGCGACGAGCAGCGCGCCTATGTGGCTCGGTCTTGACGCTCTATGGCCCAAGAGCCGGGCAGCGCGCGACGAGACGCGCGTCGCAGAGCCAGACGCGTCCTTGGCACCTGCACAGGGCACATCGCGTGCGGCCCATGCATTCCACGCTCGGCTGGAGCACGCGCTGGGCGACGAGTCGGCGAGTCGCTCCGAGTCTCCCGGTCGGGAGACGGCGGAGTCGCAGCTGCACGAGATTACGCACGCCTATGCAACGATGCAGGCTGCTGTGAGCGGGGGGCGTCGGCGTCGGCCAGCGCGGGAGGCAGCGGCAGCGCCTGCGCCCAAGGCGGAGCGCACGGAGCAGCGCGGCACGGCGTGGTACACGGCGATGGACGCGGCGGATCCGGTCCCACACGATGTGCGCCTCGATGGCTGGGGCGCCGAGACGCCCGTGCCGTGGCACCACGCGCAGCTGTACGTCGGGGGGCCGGATAGGGTGCCGCTGACGGACGACGGCGCGAGTGACTGCGACGATGCGGTGGATGTGGTGTACACGACTCGGCAGCTGCTCACGGTGGTGCTAGTGTGGCCGCGTGGCGCCACGGACGCCACGGCGCGTGCCTCGTGGCTAGGGTCCAGCTGGGAGCTGCTGCGCCGTGTGCAGCGGTGCCTAAACGACAAGCAGCGCAAGGCGCAGGCGACACAGGCGCCCGAGACGGAGCCCGCTTCGTTTGTGCACATCGATACCCCCTCGGCGCTGTGCTGGCGGCAGCTGCCGGGCCCCAAGCTGTCGCCAGGCATGGAAGCACAGCTACTTACATCACAGGCGTGGCTCGCGCAGCATGGTCTGACCGAAACGCTCGCGCGCGCTGAGAATCGGTCGTTCTGGGTCGCGGCGCGCGCGGCGCGTAACAATTCATCGCACACGTTTTTGGTGCTACGGGGTGCGGCACAGCGAGTGTATGGCATAGCCGAGTGTGATCACCAGATGCGGCGCTTGGCCGCGCGATATAGCTCATTTGGACTTTAGGACGACGCAAGTTGCTTGCGGATGCTATCGAGCCAGTGGCGGGGAAGCTGCATGGGCCCCTCGGGCTTGACGCAGAAGCGGTACGTGTCGTTGCGCTCGTACGTCGAGGCGTCCAGTTTGCCTTCCGAAAAGGCCACGCTGCCAAAGATGTCGTCGGGCGATGCGACGCGACCAGGCGCAGCCTCGTTTCGCGCATCGCACATGTGCGCCCACCCGTTGCCGCGGTTCATCGCCTCGACTTGGAGCGGCTCGTCGTCCGGCACCTGCGCCTGCAGGACACGGTGCAGCACGTCCCAGAACGCATCGTTGCGGCGCATTTCGTCAGGGTTCTTGCGCAGGTACTCTGCAGGCTCTTCACCATCGCGTGTGCGAAGGATGCCAAGCACGCTCGCCGCCGACGCCGAGGCGGGGGGCGTCGATAGGAGCGAGAGCGCCCAGACGCCCTCCTCACCAGGGAGCGCGTGGTAGTACAGACCCGTCGCTTCTTCAGGGTCCTTGCGCACGCTAGCAAAGCCACGGAGACGGAGGAGACCAGGCATCCTGGGCGACGCAAGACGCATGACAGGGCCGGTGCGGCCTGCCGCAGTGCGTGCGAGTCCGAGCATGGTGGTCCGTGTGTAGTGGCGGCCCGATCTCGGGGACTCTTATGTGCTGAGTCATCATCATGAAAACCACGCCTCGCGTGCCGGCCCTGAGCAGCGGCGCCACGATGGCGACAGCCGAGGAGCAGGCGCGGCTACATGTCGGCATCATCGGCATGGGCGATATGGGGCGCCTTTACGCACTGCGCATGCGTGCCGCCGGATGGCAGCATGTGCACGTGTGTGACCGCGAGGAGCGCTACGAGGCGCTGCGCGCCGAGCTGGCGCCGCGAGGCCTCGATGTGATGCGCAATGGCCACCAGGTCGCGCGCGTGAGCGACTTTCTCATGTACTCGGTCGAGGCTGGCAATATGGAGAAAGTTGTCGCCGAGTACGGCCCGTCAACCAAGGTCGGAGCGATTGTCGCGGCGCAGACGAGTGTCAAGGCGCCGGAACGCGCCGCGTTCGAGACGCACCTGCCCAGCGACGTGTATATTGTATCGTGCCACTCGCTGCACGGGCCGCACGTCGACCCAAAGGGCCAGCCGCTCGTGCTCATCCAGCACCGCGCGCCGGACGAGAAGGTGCGCGTCGTGGAGCGCGTGCTCGCGTGCCTCGAGTCGCGGTACGTGTACCTGAGCTACGAGGAACACGACACGGTCACGGCGAACACACAGGCCGTCACGCACGCAGCCTTCCTCACGATGGGCACCGCCTGGAGCCAGGCAAAGGCGTATCCGTGGGAGACGGGCAAGCACCCGGGCGGGATCGAGACGGTCAAGATGTATTTGTGCCTGCGCATTTACGGCGCCAAGTGGCATGTATATGCGGGCCTCGCCCTGCTGAACCCCCAGGCGAGCAAGCAGGTGACGCAGTATGCGGCGAGTGCCACGGCGCTGTTCAAGCTCATGCTCGCTTCTGATTACGACGGGCTCCTGCAGCGCGTCATGGCGGCACGCCGCAGCGTCTTTGGGTGGCAGGACCACGAGACGGGCAGTGAGACGCCGGGGCACGCGCCGATCCTAATGAGCGATGACATGCTGAACGAGTTCTATGTGATTGCCGAGCGCGTGAACAAGGGCGAACAGAGTGCCCAGGAGGCGCAGCACGCCGTGCAGGTCGTGCCGCCGCCTGCCAACTCACACCTCTCGCTGCTCGCCATCGTCGACTGCTGGCACGTGCTGGGAATCGACCCGTACCGGCACCTCGAGCTGGCCGCCACGCCCGTGTTCCGCATGTGGATTGGTGTGACGCAGTACCTGTTCCGCTCCCCGGAGCGCGTGCGCGAGGCGTGCCGCGCTGCGACACACGATCCGTCGTTCCGCTCAGACGACCTCGAATTCGTCATTGGCGCACGTGGCTGGGCTCAGGCCGTCCAGTTCGGCGACTTTGATGCGTACCGCCGCCGCTTTGATATGACGCGCCAGTTCTTTGAGCCGCGCCTCGCGCAGGCGAACAAGGTCGGCGCCGAGATGCTCAGGGTGCTGTCGACGCGACACTAGTGGGCCAGCACCCACGCAGCGAGCGCTGCGCTGCTGCCCCATGGGCCCTGTACTACCGTAGCGTCCAACCACGCTTGCAATGCGCGCCGCCGCCCCTCCAAGAAGGCAGGATGGTACCGATGCCACAGCCCCACGTGCCGCGGCGGCAGCGGCGGTAGCGCTGCCGCTTGCTGCGGGAACTCGCGCGCGAGTGCCTCGGCCAGCTCCAGGAACGCGCGGTAGCGTTTGTGCGTCTGTAGCTCGTGCCCCTGCAGTCAGATGCGTATACGTACCGACGGCGTCTTCACGTGGACGTCGTACACGACCCAGCCGTGCGTCGGCGTACCGACCCGGCGCCAGCCCCGGATATCGATGCGCGCCGCGACGCGCCGTGCCGTGTCGCGCGCTTCAGGCGCAGGCGGTGACTCGCACTCAGGCGAAAGGCTACGCAGCGAGGCCGGCGAGGCCGGAGCTGGCGCATGCTCGGCGACCGGAGACGCGGGTCGCGGCACAGCGGCCGTGGGGTGAGCCGGTGGCATGGCCCTGGACGCCTCGTGCCAGCGCGGTCGCGCCCGCTCCGGGAACATGTCCGAGAAAAAGGACGGTGGCGAGGCATCCGCCTGCGCCGGACTCGTAGGGAACTGCGTAGGTGGCTCGCCGCGCGTGCGCTGCTTGTGCCAGTGAGAGCGCGATTCATACGCGCTCAGAACGAGGTCATGCTGGGAAAAATGCCGCGCATTCTGTGGGGTATAGGCGCGGGAATCTGTATCGAGGGGTGGGGGCGTCGGCGGATCCGTGGACACGCACTCCGCCGCGGGAGGGGCCGCAGGCGCCGGCGGATCTCGCAGAACGATGAGCCGCGAGGTGGTGGAAAAGGCAGGGTTTCGCTGCGGCCGCCGCCGCGCTATAGTGGGCTGTGTGTCTGGCTCCGTGCTGGCCAGTGCTGCCTGGAGGGCCTCCTCGACTACCATCTCTCCGCCAGTGTGGCCCGATCGCGAGGCGAAAATACGGCACATTTAGGCATGCTCCACATGCACGTGTCGCCTTGACCAACCACCGGGTCTATGAGCGGGTGGACCTGGCTCGGCGCGGCGGTCCTCGCGCTACTGGCATGGTGGGCCGTACAGGGACAGCGCTGGACCCAGCGACTTGCGCGGCCAGCGCGTCCGCTGTGCACGATGGCCGTGCTAGGCTCAGGGGGACACACGGCCGAAATGCTCGCGATACTACAGGCCCTGCCGCGCAGCGACTATACGCCGCGTCTCTACGTGGTCTCGTCCGGCGACACACACAGCCTGACCAAGGCCCGTGAGATGGAGGGCGGGATCCTGGCCCCGCATCCCCTCCAGGCCCTGGAGATCCCCCGCGCCCGACGCGTGCAGCAGAGCTGGGCCTCGACGCCCTTTACCGTAGCATGGAGCGTCCTATTCAGTGTATGGCACCTGGGCATCAAGCCACTCTGGCGTACACGAGGGCGGCGTCCATGCGCCGACGTGCTGCTGATGAATGGGCCGGCTACGTGCGTGTCGGTCGTCGGGGCCGTGTGGCCTATGCGTCTGCTCGGTCTGCCCACGCCTCGGATGCTCTATATTGAATCGGTGGCGCGCGTTCACTCCCTATCGCTATCTGCGAAGGTGCTTCGTCATTGTGTGGACCAGTTTATCGTACAGTGGCCCGATGCGGACCGCACAGCGGCCTGTTATGGCGTCCTGGTATAGCTCCTACTGTCTGATCGGCAGTTCGGTGACCACAGGCTCGGTCGATGCGCCGGTGTCCGGGTTCTTGATGGCCGAAGTAGTCGGGTCGGCCGTCTGCGTGCGGGGCACCTCCATAGTGGGCGCCTCTGGGTAAGGGTCACTATGTCCGGCGCCCGTTCCGGCTTCAAGATCCTGGCTCTGCAGACCCCGCTGCATGCGGCGCTCCTCGGCCTCCCGACGGTAGTCATCCATTGGCAGGCCTACGTCGTCCTGCCACTGGGACTGGAAGCAGTGGCATTGGTCCAAGCACGAGCAGCAATCGCAGGCCCAATGGCCTACCTGTTAGTCCTGTTCACACGTACATGGCCAGTTCAACCACGCTACGACACAGATTTCTTCACACATGGCAGCCCAACCCTGGCGCGATGGTGCAGGCTACTGCCGCAGGTACGACGAATGCGTACCTCTCACGTGTGCGGCAATAAACACCCGACCTCGACCACGAGGGTGCGTCACATGATATACGATTGGCGTCTATGGGCCGGTGTGCATCTAGAAGGCCCAGAGATTTTCAGGGCTCTGGGATGCACCCGCCGACCCAGCCAGCCACACGAGCCATCTCCTAACATTACCAAACCCATTCAATTACATGTGTATCTACTCCATCGATACGGCGGAGCGTGCTTAGTTGTTATCGCTCGAGCATACACCAGAGCCACAAACAGCGCCAACCACAACCACAATAACAATAATAATTAGGATGACCAACAGCCAGAAGCAGATCCACCTGCGCTTGCGCGCACGGCGCGCCGCATTGACGGCCTTGTCGGTCTGTTGGCGACCCGCGTGGACCTCCTGTTCCGTGTGGTGCGCGTGGTCCTTGATCACATTCAGCTGCTCGTCCTGCTGCTCCACGAGGATCGACATCTCCTGGAAGAGCGCGGCCAGCTCCATGATCGTGCGCTCAATGCGCTGAATATCCGTGTTGCGCTCCTGGACCTCGCGCAGGGCACCGCTAGCTTCGCCCTGGCGGTTCGAGTTTAGCAGCGCCTGCGAGAAGATCTGCTGGCCACCCGACTCGCCGTCCAGCGCACTCTGGATCTCAGCCTGCGTCGCATCTGGCTTCACAATGCGCAGCTGGCGCTCCGTGCGCTGGCGGTATTTAGTGCGGTATGCCTTTTCCACTTCCTGGTAGCGCAGAATCGTCTCCTTGAAGCGGTTCTTGGCCGCGCCAATCTGCGTCAGGCGCACATTGCGGTCGATGCCCTCGGGCGCCGGGCCACTGGCCGGGATCTTGTTCGCCTCGACCTCGAGCGCCTTGATCATGTTTTTCACGCGGTTCGTCAGACCGCTCGTCTGCTGGGCCACGCCCATAAGCTCCTGCTCGGCCGCCTGCTGCATCGCCTCGCCCACATTGTTCAGCGAGCGCGAGTGCAGCTCGGAAATGCGGTTCACGTTCAGGTCGATCTGGCGAATAAAGTCCTGGATCTCACTGATCTGACCGAAGAAGGTCGAGCTGCCGCCCTGCGTCGACGCGGCCGGCATGTTGATCGCATAGCTGCCGTCACCAGCGGCGCCGGCACCCGTCGGCATCGCCGTCATCTCATGCGACTCCGCCTGGATACCAGTCGTGGGCTGTGGGTCGTAGGCCGTAGTGATAGGCTCTGTGTTCTGCGGCGCATACGGGTCCATCGGTGCGCTCATCGACGGGGCCTGGTACGGCACACCTGTCGCCTGCTGTGTCGGGAACATATGGTCCCCGTACCCATTGTTCCCGACGCCTGCACCCGGACTGGTGTAGCCACCAGCCGAGGAGGCCTGCTGGGCCCTCATCGCAGCCAGTCTATCGCGCGCCATGGATCGATGGGAGAACGACGTGCGAAGCGGTGAAAACGCGTGACGCTTGGCCCGTTGGCACGTAGTGAATAATTGCAATTCTACACCCATCACCTCCGCCCATTAGTCATGGGCACGCAACGTCTACGACGGCGGCGCCTCGGCCTCGGGCGCGCTCGCGCGGGCCTGGCGATCGCGCAGCGCAAGGTATCCGCGGTTGTTGATCGATGAGTACCACAGGAGGTCGCGGTGGCTCACAGGGTCCGCAAAGTGGGGCAGGGGCTCGTTCTTCGCGAGCCACTTGTGCGGCTTCACCAGCGCACGCAGACTCAGTGCATTGTAGTAGCGGCAGACAATCGAGCCGCCCGCCTTTTCGATGGCCTCAATGGCCGAGTGGGAAGCACGCGAGACAACCACATGGACAGGCGTGCGCAGGTGCTCGCTGCCGTCGCCCAGCAGCTTGACACCGTCGCGCAGGCGGTGGATGCAGCGGCTCTCGTAGAGTTCACGCGCCGTGATCGGCTTGCTCGGGTCCAGGCGTCCCTGGTCAATCCAGAACTGCAGCCGGTCCAGGTTGAGCGGCGCAAAGTGCTGCTTGTGCGGGTTCGTGAATCCACGCTTGGGGATGAGCCGCGTCAGCGGCGTCTGCCCACCCTCGAATCCGAGCTTGGGCTTGCCGTTACCAGCGCGAGCCTTTTGGCCCTTGTGGCCACGCGTAGACGTGCCGCCGCGGTCCGAGCCGCTGCCGCGACCCAGTCGCTTGTTCTGCGTGTCAGCCACGGCAAGCACATACATGTTTCTTCGGCTGCGCCGGCGTCAAGTTGCCAATGCGTATAGGGGACGTGGCATAGGAGGCCACAGGCACAGGCCTCGTCCGAATCGGCGAAACGACAGGGCGCAGCGCTCCTGTCAAGGCGCGGATGCGCGGCACCAGCGCCATGGCACCGAACATGGCGATGTCGAAGAAGCTGGACGGCGGCGCACGAGATTCTTATCACGTGAGCCCAACGCTGCACGTCTCTCGCGCGGCGGCGGCGGCGCGCCGCTGATGCCGCCGCTGTCGGTGCAGGAGCTGCTGGCGAAGCAGTCGGCGGGCGGAGACAGTCGGCCGCGCTTCGTCTCGAAGAAGGAGCGAGAGGCGCATCGCGCCGCCGAGCAGGAGGCGACGACGCGGGCCGAGGCTGACAGGATCGCGCGGCTCAAGCGCGCGCGTGCTGCATGGGAGCAGGCCGGCCCGTCGTTGGAGGCGACGCCGGCTTCCGCGAGCGATCCGGAGCTGAGCCGAATCAAGCAGCAGTACCTTGGCACACGCGACGACCGCGGCCCACGGCGGCCGAAGCGCGCGCGAGACGCGAGCAAAAAGTTCCATTTCGAGTGGGATGCGGACGATGACACGAGCGACCCCAGTTTGGCGCCGGTGCCAGCTGCGACCGTGCTGCAGGGCCGCGCCGGACTGGACGGCTCGGAGCGGACGGGCTCCGGCAAGAGCACCATGAAGTCGACGCTCGACGAGAAGCCGTGGTCCGAGAAGAGCCTGGACGAGATGAAGGCGCGCGACTGGCGCATTTTCCGCGAGGACTTCCAGATCCAGGCACGCGGCGGCGACCTGCCGCACCCCCTGCGGTCGTGGCGCGAGTCGACGATCCCTGTGCCTGTGCTGGAGGCCATCGAGGCGATGGGCTACCGGGAACCGACGCCGATCCAGCGGCAGGCGATCCCCATCGGCCTGGAGCCGCGGGATCTGATCGGCCTTGCCGAGACGGGCTCCGGTAAGACGGCGTCGTTCGTGGTGCCGATGCTTGCGCACGTGCAGCGGCAGCCGCGGCTGAGCGAGGATACCAAGCACCTCGGCCCGTACGCGCTCATCCTCGCGCCGACGCGCGAGCTCGCGCAGCAGATCGAGACGGAGACGCGCAAATTCGCGTCGCGCCTGGGCTTCCGTGTCGTGTCTCTCGTGGGCGGGCGGGACCTGAACGAGCAGGCATTCTACCTGAACGATGGCGCAGAGATTGTCATTGCGACGCCCGGTCGTCTGCAGGACTGCTTGGAGCGCCACATCCTCGTGCTGGGGCAGTGCCACTTTCTCGTGATGGACGAGGCGGACCGCATGGTCGACATGAACTACGAGGAGGCACTGCACTACATCCTCGCGAGCCTGCCCAGCGCCGACGAGGGCGGGCGCATCACGATGCTGTACTCGGCGACGATGCCGCCGAGCGTCGCATCGATCGCGCACACGTACCTGCGCCGGCCTGCGACGGTGGTCATTGGCCAGGCGGGCCAGGCGGTCGGCACGGTCGAGCAGCGCGTCGAGTTTGTGGACGACGAGGCGCAGCGCCAGCGCCGCCTGCTCGAGGTGCTGGACAGCGGCTTTGCCGCGCCGATGATCGTGTTCGTCAACCAAAAGGCGAACGCGGACCTGGTCGGCCGGGACCTGCGCCGCGCCGGCTGGCATGTCGCGGTCCTGCACTCGGGCCTGTCGCAGCCGCAGCGCGAGGCGGCCATCGCTTCGCTGCGCGACGGGCGCAACGAGGTGCTGTGCTGCACGGACATTGGCGCGCGCGGCATCGACCTGCCGGATGTGTCGCTCGTGGTCAACTACCAGTTCCCGACGCAGTTCCCCTCGTACATCCACCGCATTGGCCGCACAGGTCGTGCAGGCAAGAAGGGATGCGCCGTGTCGTTTGTCAATGACGACGATGCCGAGCACTTCTACGAGCTGCGCCTCGCGCTGTCCAAGTCGCCGGTGTCGACGGTGCCCGCCGACCTCGCGCAGCATCCGGCCGCGCTCCAGCGCCCCGCGCCGTAGGACTCCGTAATGTCTATCTCGTTCACCCTAACTCCTGTGCAGCAGCCTGTCGCGCACCGCCGGCGACAGCTGCGCGAGCTGCGCGGCCAGGGCATCGACGTGCGCGTCCTCCACGGCCTGCTCGAGTGCTACCGCATGCGCCTCCAGCAGCTCCGCCACGCGCTGATCGGCGTCCGAGGCCTGGTACTGCGCGGCGGCCCGCACACGCGCACGGCACTCGGCGGGCACGAGCGCCGGATGCGCGGCCGCGATGCGACGCTCGTAGCGCACCTCGAGGAGGCGGCGGCGGCAGCGCCAGTAAAAGTACGCGCGCGTCTCTTTCCACGGGACCGCGCGGTGCAGGACGCCCGTCGCGAGCATGCGGCCTGCGCGGTCGTGCGCGTCGGCGTACTCGACGGCGACGGCGTGGAAGAAGGGCGCGATCTGCATCTCGCGCGCCTGCAGCCGCTGCTTCGCCTCGGCGCGGTCGCCTGGCGCGGCCGCCGCACGCACCTCGCGGGCGAGTGCGGCGTACGTCGGATCGAGGCGCTCCATCGTCGCGCGCTGCCGGTCCGCGCGGTACTTGATCTCGACGAGGCCGGCCGCCTCGAGCACACCGCCACGCGCGCTGTCGGCGTCGGCGGTCATCTCGATCATGCCCTGCGCGTTGACCTTGGAGTCGACGACGACCCACGAGCCGCCGCGCAGCTCGCCCGCCGGGGGGATGTGCACGAACACCGGCTGGCGGTACGTGGCGAGGCCATCGACGATCTTGCTGCCCTGCTTGAGGATCTCGTCGTACATGTCCTGCTGGCCCCCACTGAACCCGCGCCAGTTGGCGAGCATCAGGAGCGGCAGGCCCTCGCGGTCAAAGTCGACGATGGCCTGCGCCGTCTTGTACGCCGAGTTGGGGTACCACACCTGCCCGGCCTCCATGATGCGGTGCTCCGTCGAGTTCGGGTTCGCGGGGTCGGCCGGCACGACCCGCTCGAGCGTGCGTGTTTCCACGGCAATCACGCCGAACGGAATGCCGCCCAGGCGCGCGCGCCCGACCACGACCGAGGTCGCCCAGCCCGCGAGCGTCTCCTGGAACGAGCCGCGGTCAAAGAGGCCCGGCTGGAACGTGCCGTCCGGCCCGTACGCGCCCTCGATCATCGCGCGCGGGTCGTACGGCGTGGTCGTAGGCGTAAAGGCCACCTCGCGGTCGACGGGGTCGCTCGGCGCCACGAGGCGCAGCGGCTCGCCGGCGCGCTCCGGCACAAACGCGAGCCACCGCAGGAACGCGCACATGGCGTCCAGGTCGCTGGGCACGGTGAGGTGCGTGACGCCATTCGCATGCATGATGTTGGGGCCGCCCAGCTGCAGGTTCGACGTGTACACTTCGCGGCCCAGGAGCTTGTTGAGCGCCTGGAAGCCGGTGAGGATCATGGGCGACGACTCGACCTGGATCACGCGGCCACCGAGGCGCGCGAGGTACGCGCCAATGCCCACGCTGCGGCCCGTCACAATCGTCGTGGTAAAGGTGGCCTGCCTGGCGCGGCTCATCTCGCCGGCGATGAGGCCGCTGCCTGACAGGCACTCGACGCCCAGCCCCCCGTTCGGCGCGCCGATCACGTCCGTCAGCACATGGTGGACGGTGCCGTCGGCCAGCGAGAGCGCGCGCGTCTGGACGGAGCCCGGCGGGAGGCGCGCGAGGCCTTCGGCATCCACATAGAGGTACTCGAGCCCCTTGGTCGCGTCGTCGTCGACGAACTTGGCGCGGAAGAGGTCCATCGGCTCGGTCGCGAGGCCGAGGCGCGCGCCGCTGTTGGCCGACACGTACAGCAGCGGGATGCGTTCCGTGCGCGCATAGCGGCACACGCGCGCGAAGAACGCGTCTTCCAGCGGCCCGAACGAGCCGGCCTGCCAGGTGACGTCGTTCGCGAGGACAACGAGGGGGCGTCCCTCCGGGAACTCGGGCGTCTCGAGGCGCAGCTGCCAGGCGACCATACCGATCGTGTTTTGCGCGGGGGGGCGCTCCTCGGCGCGGATGTCGTCGCCGTCTAGCACGAGCTCGCGCACCTCGAGCAGCGGGTTCTCCGGCACGGGCTGCGTCGTCTGCGCATAGAGGGCGCGGAGCGCCTGGCGCAGTGCGTCGGGCAGGTCGTACACAAACGTCGTGCCGAGGCGCTCCGCCTTGACGCGGCGCGTCTGCAGCGGCGCACGGTTGGGGTATGCGCGATGCGCACTCTTGCGGTGCAGCAGCGACTGCCGGGGCGGGTGGCTCAGCGCGCGGAGCACCGCGGCGCCGTTCACGTCGATCACCTCGTCGTACGCGGTGAACGATACGGTGAACGCCGTCTCCGTCGTCACAAAGATGCGCAGCGGGCGCTGCAGGCCCTGGTTAATGAGGATGAGGCGGATCTCTGCGTCGTCAATGCGCAGGCGGCGGAAGTGGTCGGCGTACTGCGCCTCGAACTGACGGCACGTCTCCATGACACGCTCCAGCGGCACATCGAGCGGGTACAGCCACGACAGGAAGATGTGCGAGCCGTCGGCGCTGCTGTACTCCTTGCGGCCCTGCGCCACTTCGAGTGTGTTGAAGACTTCCGTGAGGACGCGCTCGCTCTCGGACAGCAGGTACAAGGGCACATCGCTCGGTGCGCGCTGCGGGCGGACCAATGCACGCACAAAGAAGCGAACGTCCGCGGGGTTGTCGAGGCCCCGAGCATGATACAGGTGCACGCTGGACGACGACATGGGCAACGGCGTAATCTCAAAGTGCGGCTGGATGCGGTCGAGCTCGAGCTGGTAGGAGAGCGCCGGCTCCACGTTGCGGATCGCGCGGTGCTCCTGCCACGAGCCGTCGCGCAGGCAGCGGTACGTCGCAAAGAGGGGGTACATGCCGTTCGTGCACAGCATGATCGATACGCGACGGAGACCTGCTTGGGCGAGGGCGGGCGCCAGCTCGGTGAGTACGTCTCCGATGTGCGTCGGAAAAGCGCCGTCATCGAGTGGCTTCTCGTGCGGCGTCGCGATCGTCAGCACATTGACCGGATCCGCATCCGTGTTGCCCTCGCCATAGTACTTGAGCACGCGGCGCAGCACCGTCGGCAGCTCGCTCAGCGAGGGGCACGTAGTCATAGCGCCGATGCGCAGCTTGGGGCGCGTGCGGCGCCTCATGTGATGCGCCAGGTCTGTGGACGAGGCCTGGCGCTCCTTCTCCTTCGCGCGGTTCGACAGCACCTCGGCGGACATTTGGAAGTACCATGTGATGAGCGCGCGCTCGCGGTCGAGCTGCTCGGTGGCAAAGTTGATCCCGACAATGTCGTACGCGCGGTACACGCGCAGGATGTACGTGACGAGCGCGGCATAGGCGACGGGCATCTGCGCGTGCGCAAAGAACGAGTGCAACACGTCCGACACATTGTACGGCAGATCACTCAGCTCGCGCAGCACCTCAAGCGAGGGTGTCACGACGCCCTCCTCGCTGCGCACCGTGCTGCGTCGCAGCACCTCCTCCATCTGCGCCTGCCGCTCCGACAGGGAGGGCATCGCGGCCTGGATCAGGATCTCGCGTGCCTTGAGTGCCACAGGCGCCGTGTCCGCGCCACGCAGCTGCGAGAGCGCGCGCAGCACGGCAACCATGCGCTGCGCATGCTCCGTCTTGGACGCCATGTCCGAGTGCTGGACGTACTGCGTGAGCAGGGTCAGCAGGAGCGCATTCTTGCGTACGACGCCTTCGTGCGATACCTGCAGGCTCAGCACCTCGTCCAGGTTGCCGTCCGAGGCCGTGCGCAGGTGCAGCACGGCCTCAGGACCACGCTGGAACTGCGACTCAACCGCGTCGTAGCGCTCCAACAGCGCGCTGAGCGTCTGAATCTCATTGTACCACAGCCCAAGCGCATGCGCATCCAGCAGCACATACAGCGGCGCCAGTGCCGTCGAGAGCGCCAGGTGCGCGGCCGTATCGGTCACCGAGGCTAGCGCGCCATCGACGCGGCGGCGCATCGCCTGTGCAGGGAACGGCGTGCCCGCGGCCTCGGCACGCTCCATCTCCGCGCGCAGCTCCGCCTCGGTATTGCCCGGCAGACGGCCACTCAGCGTCGACAGCACCGCGCCGGCCTGCGCGTACGGCAGCGACGGCATGCGCAGGCACTCGATGAACGTGCACACGGCCTCGTCCTGCGCGTCCGACTGGTCGTAGCCATCCAGGATATGATGCAGCGTGTCGAGCGCAGCCTGGAAGCGCTGGTGCGCCTTGGTGCCCTGCACCTCGGGCAGGCCATAATCGGGCAGGCATCCGACAAACGGCTCGGCGCGCGTGATCTTGGTCGGGTCGTCGACGGCCAGCACACCAAGCAAGTCGCCCGGGTTCAGTGAGACGCCTGGCGACTTGACAAACGTCAGCGTACCGCTCTCCTGCGCCACGAGCGGCAGGTACATTTTCATGACCTCGATCTCCGCGATCGTCTGGCCAGCGACGACATGCGCGCCCGAGGCGACGAGCAGGCGCACGAGCTTGCCGGGCGACGGCGAGCAGATCTGCGTGGGGTCGCTCTCCTCCTCGATGATGCAGGTCTGCTGGTCAATCGTCAGGCGCGTTTGCCCGACCTCGTCGAGCGCATACACGGCATGCGACTGGCCGCCGAGACTAACGAGCAGGCCGCCATCGCTCAGCTCACGCAATGCGACGCGTGTGCTCTTACCATTGAGGTACAACGTCCAGCCTGTCGGCGCATTTTGCACTGCGACTATGCTGTAGCGGACCTGCTCGTAGATGAACTCGACGCGGAAGCTCGTGCGGATCGTCGAGCGCTGCGGCACCTGGCCACGATGGAGGATGCGCTTGAACTCGGCGCGACACTCCTGCGCCAGTCCGTGTGCGCGGACCGTGGCGCCACACACGACGGCCAGGTCGGTCGGCGGCTTGCGCGCAGTCAGCTGGCGCGCGATGAGCCCGTCGAGCCAGCCGGTCGTGATGTCATTGCGCACAAAGTCCTCCATCTCGAGAAGCATGATCAGGTACTCGACTGTCGTACGAAACTCGCTGCGGATCGACAGCTCTTTCAGCGAGAACACCATGTTCTTACGGGCCTCGTCGCGGTTCGCGCCCAGCGCGAACACATGGCCGAACTGTGAGTCCGCGTACTGGTGCAGTGCACCGCTGTGGCTCACACTAAAGTAGCCCCACGTCGACGTCGAGGAGCGGAAGTTCAGCTCGGATAGCGCGCCAATGCCGGGCTTGAAGCCCGTGTCGGGGTTCTCCGCTGTGATGCGACACGCCACGACATGGCCCTGCGGCTGCGGCCGCGTAGCGAGGGAGCGGTCCACCGTGTCAAAGTCGATGCGCGTCGCGCCGTCGCGCGGCGCCCCGTACAGCTCGCGGATATCGCCAATGCGGTCGAGCGGCACGCCCATGGCAATCTGCAGCTGCACCGCCGGGATATTGACCGAGGAGACCATCTCGGTCGTCGGGTGCTCGACCTGCAGGCGGGGGTTGAGCTCGAGGAATGCCAAGTCGCCAGTGTCGGGCGAGTAGAGCCACTCGACCGTGCCGGCCGACACGTAGCCGACCAGCTTGGCGAGACGCACGGCCGCCTGCTCCATGCGCATGCGTGCCTCGGGGGGCGCAATGGTCACGGGCGCCTCCTCAATGATCTTCTGGTGCCGCCGTTGCACGGAGCAGTCGCGGCCAAACACGCTGATTGCCTGGCCATACTGGTCAGCGAGCAGCTGCACCTCCAGGTGCCGCGCCTGTCCTGCGAGCTTCATGATAAAGATCGGCGAGCCGGGCACTTCGCCCACAGCCGCGTGGTACAGTTGCGAGAACGACTCGGCAGACGGGCACATGCGGATACCTTTGCCGCCACCGCCTTCTGATGCCTTGATCATCACCGGAAAGCCAATGCGCAGCGCGGTTTCGAGACCCTCCTCCGGGGAATGCACACACGCTCGGCGGTACACGTCGTCGGGCACAGTGAGGAAGCCCTGCTCGCTTACAATGGTCTCAGTGAGCCCAGTGCCCGACCACGGGAGGCATGGCACATCTGCATGCTGCGCAACGATCGTGGACGAGATCTTGTCGCCGAGCGAACGCATCGCCGAGCCGGGCGGGCCGATAAAGAGGATCCGTGGCTCGAGCCGCGCGAGCATCTCGGGCAGCCGGGGGTTCTCGGACGCATGGCCCCATCCCGCCCACACGGCATGCACGCCCAAGCGCTCGGCAATATCGACAATAAGCTCGACGTTCGCGTAGTTGTTTGCGTTTGAGCCGCCTGGCACTTCCACATATTGGTCCGCCATGCGGATGTACTCGGCATTGATTTGAAGGTCCTCGGGCGTTGCCATCACGGTGAATTGAACGGCTCGCTCGTCGCCTAGAGTCTCATACGCCCACTTCCGCACAGACCGGATCTCCTTGACAGCGGCGATGCCATTGTTGCAAATCAACACTTTAGAGATGACGCTGTGCCCGCCCGCTTCCCGCACAAAGTCAGCCAGAGGCCCTGTTGGTGCATTGTGCGCCGCCACACCTCCATAAAAGTGCTCCTGGACCCTGGGCAACGGATCCATCGCTCCAGGCATATGGATGCTTCTGTTTTAGGCTATGTTGCGAAGACACAAGCTCGTGCAGCTTCAGTCTGCGTCGGGCCATGCGACAGCGTTAGTCAGCACGAATAGACAGGGCCCGATGGCCGGGCGGGCGCATGCACATCCCGCCCGATGCCGACGCGGCGCTTGGCCGCTCGCCAGGGTTTGCTACGCAGAGCTTCCGCGTCCTCTCGGTGGCATCTATGACGTTCTCCCTTAGTGGTGGCCCTTCGGCGGGTCGTACACAATCTTGCGGGCTGCTGTCAGGCACCTCGCTATACGTACTCATGATTGGAGCCCACTTGAAACGCTTGGCCCACACCGACAGGGCGAACAGCGAAGAGAGAAGGATCAGGGCCTTGAAGCCAGCGCGCTTCCGCTGGTCGTGCTCCGGCTCGGCGGTGAATTGCCTGCATGGTTAGTAGTAGCACGTACAGGAAGGCGACAACGTCCTTGGCCATCTGGCTCGTCGTGGCCGGCGTGCCATCCTCGTACTCCACGAGGCCGTCGAACAGCACACGCGCCATGGCAATCTGCGTGCCAGGGAAGAAGGGGTTGTAGTTCAAACCCTCCTGCACCGTCACACCCGCAGGCGGGTCGCAGTAGCCGGTCAGCAGCGAGAAGATGTAGTCGGCACCGCCGTGGCGTGCCTTCACGATCAGCGTCAGGTCCGGCGGCAGAGCACCAGCGTTACCAGCACGGGCAGCTTCCTCGTTGGGGTAGGGGCTGGGCATGTAGTCCGCCAGCTTACCCGGGCGCTGGAACATCTCACCGTCGTCGTTCGGGCCGTCCTCGTACTCGATCTCCTGGGCCATCTCCTTCACCTCGTCGACAGTGTGCGAGACACCGACCAGATTACGCCAGGCAATGCGCTCCAGCGAGTGGCAGGTACTGCACACCTCGCGGTAGACCTGGAAACCACGGCGGATGGCCGAGTGGTCAAAGGTGCTGAACCAGCCGTTGTTCGTCCAGGGGTACGCGGGCGGGTGCAGGCCATCGTCGGCCAGGCTGCTCGCGCTCGCCGACTCGAGGAACGGCAGCTCGCCGTACATCTGCTGGTACCACACGATCGAACCGACAGCCACAGCCGTCGCGGCCACGGCCGACGTACGCGAGGTCAGCATAGACTGGTATAAGTCCCTGTACACATCCACATACCGGCATGGAAGGCGTCGCACGCGTCGAAGCAGAGCGGATCTGCCTGGTCAGGGTGTCAACACATACCGACTGCGAGAGGCCCGACTTGGCCGCCGTGCGCGAGGCAACGGCACGAGTGCACGAGGAGATCAGCTGCGCCATTACACTAGTAGGGACGGAGAGAGACTACTCTGCCAAATCACCTCAAGAGAATGGGAGTAGTTCAAACACGGGCCTGCCAATTTTCGGCCGCTTCCCCCGCGGCTGCCTGGCCCTCTTCGCCAGCCAGCCAGTCCTGTTCCCACGTATTTCCCATCGGCCCGACCTCCCTGGCCAATCGGCGCGGGCCCATTGCTAGTCCTGCGCTGCACCGGAAGCACCCGGAATCACACGTGGCTCACACGTGCCCACCACCATGCATGCTCCGACGGAGGCCTTGTCCAGCCTGCGGTGCTACCGCGACGCGTCCGTGCGCCATGCATCTCTCGCGGCCCTGCTCCCCTCTTGGCTCGCACCGCATGCCAAGGCCACTGACGCTCTAGAGCACCCGCTCGCCGCGCATATTCCCCTCTTTTCGGCGCACATTCACCGCCTGCGCGACGCAGCAGCAGCCCTGGGCGAACTATTCCCCGGCACTTGGACGTACCGCTGGTCGGTCGAGGCCCTCTTGCACTCTGAGGCTGTGGCCCAATTGCAAGACTATTTGGACCGCATTCAGCACTCTGACATATTTGTGTTGCGCGCGAGCCTCCGGATCAAGGCGGACGGCACGTCCTATGCGGTCATTGCGCCGCTCTCTCCGGCACCTAGCGCGCCCCCAGTGGTGCGCCTGGATACCCAGCCGGTCTTGCTGGATACCGCCACGACACCGTACAAGACTGATCTGCGTGCCGCCTACGATGATGCGCGCCACCGCGTACATGGTACGCTCGGCGTCGCGCCTATTACGCCGGATCCGAGTGCCTGTTTCGACGTGCTCCTCTGGCACGACGAGCAGGGCGAGCAGGTACTGACCGAGTCCAGTATTGCTAATGTGGTCATCGAGGTCCCTGGCCCGCATCCCATGCTCGTCACACCGTCGTTTTCGCACCTGCTTCCAGGCCTCGTTGTTCAGGCACTGGTCCACGATGGACTCGTGCAGCAGCGGCGCATTACTGTGCGCGAGTTGCAGGCATGGGTATCTCAGTCTGCGCGACTATGGCTGTGCAATGCTGTGCGTGGCATGTTCGAGGTGCGCCTCGCTACGCCCGCATGACCTGCCAGATTCGCTCACTCAGTTTGGGACCGATCTGCCGGCGTGCCACCGGTGTCTGGGGATCAATGGTGCGTGACAGCAAGAGACGCGCCTCCTCGTCGGACGAACACGCTCTGTACGCCTGCACGAGATGCTGCGGCGTAGGCCAGCGGTGCACAATCTCCAAGACCTTGTCCTCTGATGTGCCTCGAATGTACAGCAGCATTCGGGCCCACGTGTCCTGCAGGGTCCCCGAGCTGCTGCTCTTGCCGTTCAGCTGCTGGTACGTGTGGAATGAGACATGAAATAGCGTGCTGGGGTGGTCCGCGCGCAGCCTCTGCTGTAGCTCATGGTAGTGATCACGGTCAATGGTGTGCTCTTTGAGCACGTGCAAAGGCTGATCGCGGTACATGTCCTCCAGTGTCTGGTGCACCGTGGCTAAAAAGTCGACCGTGGCCTGCCCATCGGCCGTGCGCTGTACGAAGAAGCCATCAATTAACTGCGTGCTGCTGATCGCCGTTTGGATCTGCTTACCGTAGCGCTGCATCAGCTCCGTCACATCAAAGTCCTCGATCAGGAAAATGACTTGGCCGGCCCCTGATTCATGCAAGCGCTTCTTTTGGTTGTGCCAGCGGCCGTCGACAAGGCTATGGGCCAAGTCATCCAGGCGCTTCCGCTCCACAATCGTATCGAGCACCACCTCCTGTGCGAACGACCACATCCGAGCGAGCGATGGCTCCAGGTCCGGCTTTGGCCGCGCGATCCAGACAATATCGCCTAGCTCTAGTGCACGCAGCTCACAGGAAACTCCACGCTGCTGTAGTGCCTCTTCGAAAGTGACGCGGCGCGACGGTCCGCCTCCTGCCATCGACAAAGAGCGCGCGCGCACTTCTCGAAAGTCCATGACCATGTGAATGGTATACGAGGAAGGTGGAAAGGTATAACATGGTGGCATGGACGGTGTGGCAGGCTCGCACAGGGGACTGCTTCGTGGCGCAGGCGGTCGCGTTGCCGCCATCGGCTCTCTCGGCTCGTGGGGGGTCATTGAGCTGGAACTGATCACGATAGGTGACGAATCAATCAAGGAGATGCTGATACTCTTCGGTCCCTGGCACGGGGTCCCAATAGGAAGCGGCTGGGTCGGAGGCCCCACTTCATAGACATCGTCAGAGGAGGACGGCACCAGGTTGATGAGGAGATGCAGATTCGCGTCGGCACCTTCCTGGGCAGCTGTCTCCTCGTCAATAACGTCCACAGGATCCTGGTCAGCTAGAACGTGCTGTGACCGTGGTGGCAGGTAGAGTTGGGGCAAAATGTCACCCGGCGGCGAGGAGGGGGGCAATGGCTCCGACTGAGCCTCCGTGGGCTCGGCGGCGGGGTCCTGTGTGGCGTCCTGGCTGGGCGGTTTTGCGACGCCCTCGGCCGTGGCCAGGGCCTGCGCTACTTGCCAGCCTTGAGAACTCAGAGAGAAGAGCGGGGGGTTACCTTGGCGGTATACGTAGCCCTTGTCGATCAGTGTTTTCATGCCAGCCCATGCCGTAGTAAACGCACGACGCGACAGCCCAGCAGACTGACTCGCGGACGACGTGCCATGAAGACGCAAGGAGCGTGGTCCTACATGGTTGCCACCGCTGCTGGGAACATTGTAGTCTTTGTCGCAGAAGGGCTGTGCGCGTGCGATCAGCTCGGCTTTGCCGACCTGGGCCTCCTCGTCTCTCTCATCCACGACCTTGGTATAGAGCCCGACCAAAATCCCATGCGCTCCTGAGCGAAGGGCGGGAATGTACTCCTTCGTTCTCCGCTGCTTTCGCGCACGCACTGGGGCCGGTGTGGATGTATCGTTCGTGTTGCCGGCAGAGGCTGAGTCAGTTGTTAGTACATACGCCGTTGGGGTGGCTCTCGGTCGTTTTCTCGACACCATTGCTCGTACTCGACCTCCAAGCGGCGAGCGATCGAATCGCCAATGCCTTTCAGACGCACGGTTTCGCATGGATGTGTGAGAGTGTCCGTGCACTCGGACAGCGCGCGTTGTGCTTTGAAGTAGGCTGTAGCCGACTTGGCTCCGCGGGCGCGCGCATCCTCAGTCCATTTATCGAGGAGCATGATCCATACTCGGCACGGCTCAGCGTGCGCAGCATCCATGCTGCGCAAAAGGCGCGCCGCCGGCCGTGACGCGTCAACAACGCGGTGCGTCGCTGCCATAGCCTCCTCAACTACACGTGACCTACACCCCACCAGACGTCGGTCCCACTATGATCGAGCAAGTTCGTCAAGCAAGGCTTTGCATTTTTAGCGCCATAGAGGCAGTACCCCGATGGGGAGGATCTATGCTATCAGGAGCAGTATACAGAGCTCATGGTATGCGTATGCATGGACCAGGGTCCCTCGCTTAGTACAGAGGGATGAAGCGGCTCCTGTTGGGTTAGCGGAGATCGGGTGTTCGTACGTACGCATCCTTGCCCAGGCTACCCTTACCGTGGCGGGTAGGGATGTAGCTGATAGCGAACTCGCCGAGGTAGTGACCCGTCATCTCGGGCTTGATCTCCACTGTCGTAAAGACCTGAAAGTCAGAGGGATGCAACGCACCTTGCCGTTGTAGATACCAATGACTGAGCCGATCATTTCCGGCACCACGATCATGTCACGCATGTGAGTGCGCACGACCGCGGGCTTCTCGTTCGGCGGAGCCTCCTTCTTGGCCTTGCGGAGCTTCTTGATGAGGGCCATGGGCTTGCGCTTCAGGCCACGAGAGAAGCGCCTGCGGGCACGGGCGTGGACCAGCTTGACAAAGTCCTCATTCGAGAGGTCAAGGAGGTCGTCGAGGTCGACACCACGGTACGAGAACTTGCGGAAGGTGCGCTTGCGCTTCAGCTCAGCGGCAGCGGCAGCGTCGTAGTCATCCCTGCTCTGTGTCAGCATACTATTCTTTGTTACACAGGGCACACATGCGCCGTAGAGACGGTATGTGTGCCCCGGCGAGGCCTACGCACATCTTCGACGAGCTTGTGTGGGTGAGAAGAGAGTGCACGTCAGCCCACGCAAAGAGTGCGGTGCCTCACGTGCGCTACAGTTTTCCAGTTTATCACGTGATCTAAACGAAGACGTTCCTTGCCTGCCGCGCGCGCCGCTGGGTCTCCTTATCCTCAAGTCTTCCGGACCGGACCAAAGCGTACAACGCGGATTTGTGGTACCTGATCTATCAAAAGTAACTAAGAATGAAGCACATCGCCGCTTTTCTGCTGCTTTCTCTCGCCAAGGAGTCGGCTCCTACTGCTGACGACGTCAAGGGCCTGCTGAGCACTGTCGGTATTGAGGCCGACGCTGAGCGCCTCGACAAGCTCGTCGCTGAGCTCGACGGCAAGAACGTTGCCGATGTGATCGCCGAGGGCAAGGAGAAGCTTGCCTCGGTGCCCTCGGGTGGTGCCGTCGCTGCCGCCCCGGCCGCCGGTGGTGCCGCGGCTGGCGGTGACGAGGCTCCTGCCGCTGAGGAGAAGAAGGAGGAGGAGAAGGAGGAGTCGGACGACGACATGGGCTTCGGTCTCTTCGACTAAGCGTATTCCGTCCCCTCTCCCGGCGAGTCTGTGGCTCGTCTGCGCTCCCCCATCCACATATAACTTTCACTGTTTGTAGATGAACGTGCTATGTGGACACTACTCCTCGTCGGCCTCGACAAAGATATCGCGGTACTTGTCGAGGATCGTCTCGATGGCGACGCACTGGTAGGTCATTTCCTGCAGGTATGCCGGGTTGCCGCCACTCGCCCCGGCCACTTGCGCCTCGTTGGGCGAGCGCAGGAGCGTCGGGCCAAACACAATCGCAAGGTTGTGTGCAGTCATCTGGTTCTCCGACTCGTGGGCGCGGATCCGGTCAAGATGCGCCATGAGGAAGCGCAGTGTCGCGTAGTTGGCGTCCGGCAGCTCATTCACTTGCTCGTGCAGGCGGACCTGCCGCAGGTATTCGTTTTCAATCTTCGAGGCCTCGATAAAGGCCGGGTATAGCTGGTACGTGAGCAGCGGCTCGGGCAGCTCGCGGAACCACAGCTTGAGACAGCCCGCTACAATGTTGATATCCTGGATTGCCTCGTCACTCAGGAGATCCACCGTCGACCAGTCGTGGTCGAACTTGGCCTTGAGCTTCTGCACGCGCGACGTGGTACCCGACAGGCGATAGATGCCCATGTTCTGGATCCCGACGCGCTCAATGGCATCTGCACAAATCTCCAGTACCGGCGGGACCTCGACGCCATCGCGCAGGAGCTGTGTCTCCAAATCCACACCGAACACGGCCCTCGAATGCGCAGGATCGTCGGCAGGCCGCCCGGCCAATGTGCTCTGGTGCATAATCTGCCCGAGTGTCGCCTCGTCGTAAGGGTTGTGGCGGTGCGGCCCGCGTATGTCCTTGCCCCGACGCGCAAGTTCGTAGTTTTGCATAAAGTCCTTAAAGTCCGCGGCATTATTGATCGACGCCACGCCGTCGCGCAGCCCCGGCAAGCTCGACTTGCTCCCGAGCGGGTTCACCAGGAGGCCGTCGCTCAGCACGATGCTCTCGTACAGGAATGCATACCGCATGAGCTGGAACTGCAGGCCGGTATCAATTTCATCGAGGGATTCCTTGAACGCCCGCAGAATCTGAGGCAGCTGCTGCTGGAAATATTCCTGCCGCACACTCTCGGTCGACTGCGACTCGCCGCGCAGCGTCTCGTGTGCATTGTTCTTCTTCAGGCGGAACTCTTCCTCGTGCCGCAAGATTTGCTGGGGGTTCTTGTTCTTGAACAGGCTGCCCTTGGCAAACGGCATAGGCAGCGTGCGCTTGTTGCCCAACGTGCCCAGCGTCATGTCCGCGGCGCGCGCCGCGTCGCCCTGCTTCACGAGCATGACCCGCTCGAGCTCCTCGGCAGCCGTGTCAAAGCGCGCGCGCGCCTTGTCGACATTTGCTTCCGCATCGAGCAGCGCCTTCTCGTACCGGAAGCCCTGGTCGCGGTGCTGGCGGCGCGCCTGCTCCGCGTCCCGCACCAGCATGGCAATATCGTCACTGATCGCCGTGAGCTTGGTCGCGAAGCGGAAATGGTTCTCGCTCACGGCGTCCTGGTTTTTGAGCATGTTGGTCCAGCTGGTCCCGTAGGTGCTGTGTGAGTGGGGACAACGCACCCTGCGCGGTTCTCGTTGCTCGAGTACTCGGACAGCGATGCCCGCGTGAGCTTTTTTATGCCGTGGCCATACTCCTCCTCGAGCGCCGCACGCTTCTTGAGGAACGCCATGGCCTCGCGCGCCGAATCGATACTTTGCTTGAGGCGCTCGTCCATGAGCGGCAGGCCACACTGCGGTCAATAGAGGCCACGTACATCCATGGCCGTCAGCGCGCGCATCGATGCTTCATCGATGGCCGACGACTTGATCGTGTCCGTTTTGGGCCCCGCGCCTGCGGACGACACGCCGGTATTCGACTCGGAGATCTTGCCCGCCGGGTTCGACGAGCTCATGGCATCCGCTGTTGTCTGCACGGTCAGACGCAATCACATACAGAAAGGTAGGATGTATCAGCCATTGTAGCCCAGTATGGGTATAGTGAAGTATACACGAATCGTGCCTATGATCACACAGCGCAGCACCGACGTCGGCGGCCCTCGCTCGGTGGTGGTGGTGGGCCCGGCGTGGAGGAGCCACGCGGTCCATGCGTGACAAGTGCCAACCGCTCCACGTGCGAGTCACATGTGGAGCAACGGCCGGCGCTAGGACGACGGCACCGGGCGCGGCGCCGGCTCGGGGGACCACATGAGCTGGAAAAGGGGCACGCAGGGATCGCGGCGTAGGCCAAGGTCGGCGATCCAACTAAAGAGGCGGCGCTCCATCCACGTCTCCCATATGTAGCTCCATGGCTGCACGACGTACCATTTGAGAATGTGATGGTACAAGTAGTAAGCCGGGTAGTCGTACATGACCTTGACGCCTGGATGGACATAGATGCGAGGGCGCTTAGGGTGGGCCAGCCGGTGCATGTCGAGGCTAATGAGGAGCGACTCGGATGCATTGCACTGTGAGCACGGTCGGAACCGGAGCGGCAGCTTCGCTGCGACATCGTAACCATCGTCGCGCTCCAGCGGCGGGGGAGGCAGCGTCGCGACCACAGGTCCGTTTGTCACATACTCAGATGCAGGCGCCCGGGAACCACTTGTGAACCAGCGTGCATCCATCACGGTAAGCCCGTTCCAACAGGCGTTTACGGGGAGCGGCCGCTGGGCCTGTACGTCGTCGCGGTCATTTTTCGAGCGGAAGTAGGGGTACAGTGGGCGCACTGTCTTGCCTTGCGTGTCCCGCAAGACCCATGTGTCGTAGAATCCGAGCCAGAAGTAGTCAAGCCCACACACTTGGTCGAATTGCCCGTTCGCCGTGTGCAAGAGGGTATGAACGGCGTCTGTGTCAGCAGCGTGCACATACCCGGCTTGAACAGGATATCGTTGATCCATATGACCTTGTCAAAAGGGCGCCCGTGCAGACCACTACGCACTTCTCCGTACAAGGGGTCCATGGCTCGATTGCGTATGTACGACAGACGTTCGATACGCTCAGCGCGACGCACTTCCTTGGGCAGCGTCGTGGTAGTGATATTGAAGCGTACGCCGCGCGCACGAAGCTCCGTGCGCAGTTGGTCTAGAAGGAAAGGGGAGCGATCTTTCGAGTCGTTCTCAAAGATGGATACAAACACAGCGTCATGTCCCAGCTCGTCGGTAAGACGCAACAGGGCATCGCTGTAGTGAGGAAGGATGCGCTCCGAGTTGTACAGAAGCGACGCGATATAGTACGTGTCCCCTGACGGTCGGTGCCACTCAGCAGGCACGTTTGGCGTGGGCGACCAGCCCCGCACTACGCATAGTGCGACAAAGAGCAAAACCATGCCAGGCACAAGGGCGTAATGCGACGACGTCGCATGGCTGGACGGCCAACCAAGGCGGCACACCACGAGGAATGGGCATGTGAAGCAGACTAAAACCAGGTATAAATATAACGTCGACGGCACGTAAAAGTACCAGCTGAGCGCGCCAAAGAGGACGAGCGAGGCAAGAGCATTGACCTGCAGCAAATTTAATTGTGGCCGCAGATACAACCCAAACGACCGGTTTTGTACGTCGCGGGTCCAGGGACGCAGGAACGCCTGCGACTCTGCCTCGCCCAGATGTGTCATGTCAATTACTTCGGCAGGACGATGCGGCATGGGGCACGGCCTCGATGGGAGCAGTCGTAAATGCGGCTATAAAGGGGCACGTGGCACCGCGTCCGAGGCGTTGGAGTCGGCGCGTGTCGTATCGGCACGGCGGCTCGCGGCCGCCGACGCTCTTGACTCGACGGCGCCAGAAACCGCCGACATGGCCTGGAGCGCGTGCATGACTTTGACCGCCGGGAGCTGCACGCGCGTACAAATCCACACAAGCGTGAGCAGGAGCGATAGAAGCATGTGCCGCAACAAATGTGCGTTGGCATGCCACTGTGTAAGCCAGCGGTACGTACGTGCTGCCAGATGCCCTGCACGGGCACATCCGTGGCCCATAGGATGCGCGCAATGTCGATCGCACTGAGCGCGGCGAGTGCAGCGAGTGCAACGACGCGCATGTGCGCGCGCGTGCGCACAGGACGCAATTCGTCCGCCGGCGCGACGTGGCCGCGCTGTAGTACATAGTCCATGAGCGTAGCAAGCGTTCCGAAGGCCGGCATGGTGAGGAGCGCAAGCACCCATGCGTGTGCCAGGTAGACACTGAGCACCCGGTAGATTGCATACGCCTTGTACTCGGCGTCCGACGCGCAAAAGGCACACGCCATGAGCGGCTCGGCGCCCAGAACGAGGTAGAGTTTCTGCATAAGTAGACACCACGTACACGGCCGTCCACACTCGAGAGGCGCCACAGCAGGTTCTCGATGGCCTGCGCCCCGTAGTTTGCGCGCCACAGCCGCACGATCGATGCGCTGGCCAGCCAGCCCTCCGGTGCGAGTGCCTCACGCAGCTCGCGCGTCGGCGTCGTCGTTGCGAGGCGCGCAAGCCGGAAGAGATCGCTCGGATAGCCCAGTACGCGCGCGACCGACGACGGCAGCGCAGCGACAGGTACGAGCTGCAGTGTGTTGTACACACAAGCTGTGAATAATATCGGGAGCGCGATCCACGTCTCGAACGGCGACAGGGGCGGCGGGCCCTGGCCGGGCCCTGGCGGGGCAGGCCGCCGACGGAGCATGGCGCGTGCGTCGCAGCAGGCAGCGGCGGCGCGAGGACGCGGCATATTTCCTATACAAACGCAGAGGACCTACGGGGCGGGCCGCTCAGGGTAGGCGTCCAGAGGGTACGCATCGTGCGCAGCGTCGGCCTCGTCTAGGACGAAGGGCGCCGGCGCTTCGTGGCCGTGGCTCGGTGGCCCACCGCGGAGCTCGAGGGAGCGCGGTAGTGCCTCGTACGCGCCGTGGTGCTGGTCAGGCGCATAGTCGCCCTTGATGTTGAGGAGGTATACACCGACGAATGTGACGATAAAGCCGCCGATCAGTGAGACGGCTGCCGGGGCACTCGTATCGAATCCCTGGAAGAGTAGCACGGATGCAGTGATGGTCGACGTGGTGAACATGACATAGTAGATGGGGTTGACCACGTTCGTGGAGAACTGATCGAGCGCGCGGTTGAAGTAGTTCATCTGGATCATGATGCACAGGGCGACCATGAGACCAAATGCATACGTCGAAATGTGCGTGAACTGGTTGCTGCCGTTTAGCGTGAGCCGCAGGGCCACGCCGAACGCCTTGACGCTCATGACGGAAATGGAGCCGACGAGCGAGCAGACAGACAGGTAAACGACCGGCGTCGTACGCCCATACCGCGGGACGATGCGCAGCACCATGTACGTCGAGAAGATGGCGACAAAAGCACAGTACGTGAGGAAGGGCGCGCGCATCGCGAACGCGAGAATCTCGTCGACCGTCTGGATCTCGCGGTCCTCGGGCGCGTTGACGACGATCACGACGGTGCCAGTGAGGCACAGCGCACACCCAATGATGCCAAGCTTGCCAAGCCGCTCATGCAGGAGGAACGACGCGAGCACGGCACCGACCAGCACGCTGAGTGCGCCCAGCGGCGTCACTAGGATGGGCGGCGCAAACGTGTACGCCACAAAGTTCGCGACTGCGTCAGAAACAAAAACACACCTTCACCCACAACCACTGCGGTCAGCCATGCATACGTACTCGTTGCCATGCCGGCCCACCACACAGGATTCGCCAGGTACGCCAGCCGATCCGAGGCGAGGCCATCGGCATGCGAGGCGGCCATCAGACCCTGGCATCAGGGATGCGCACACACCTTCTTTGTAATGATAAAACTCGTGCCAATCGCTGCACTCGAGCTCATGGCCAGCATGAGCCCGATCCATTTGTCCTGGCTGAGCGACGTCATCGCCCGTCGTCATCTTCGCTGCGACCGCCGCTCCACTTCAGCCTCCACACGTGGCCCGCCGCCCACGCTGCACCACGACGCACCATGGCGGACGAGACGGCCGGCGCTCCGCGGCCGGCGCGCATCACGCAGGGTAGGTTGCGCCTCTTACGCCAGACCAACGCGATACGGTCCGTGCATGGGCCGCTGGCGATCTCGACCACGCGTGCGCTGCGTCCAGTCTCAGCAGGGGGACTCCGTGGCCCGAGCTGCGGGACGCGCTCAAGACGTGGATCCGCGAGGTACGTTCGCGGCACTAACGGCCTGAACGTCGATGCATTTGACGCGCACGCCGCACCGATTCTGCACCGCGCCGCGCCCCTAGCCCCTCTGCTGCGCGAGCAGCCCGAGGCGCGCGGCGCCGCATGGGACCTGCTCGTAACGGAGCACGAAATCCATGAGAAGGACTGGCAGGACTTTTTCCCCGCACTCGCCGCACCACCAAATGAAGATGCGCCGACTTGGGATACTGTGCTGGAGGGCTCCTCCCTGGAGCGCGTCTGTGGCGATGTGTGTGCGATGCTGGACGAGTTTGACGAGCCGCCCTTTACCATGCAGCGCCTCGCTGAGCTGCTTATCGAGCCACAGGCACATTACCACACGCGGTCCAAGTACCTCGCAGCGCTCTCGCGCGTGCTCGCTGTATCGCCTGTGCCCCATGCGCCCAGTGGGCCGGACACACCCGGCTCCCCTGCCTTTCGCGTGCGCGCGAGCTCGGAGACCACACCCATGTATGCACCCATTCCTTTCCTGGCAACGCCGACCGTGCACGCGAGCGGCGCTGGCGGCGCGGGCGCCGCCCCTGTGTCGGAAGGGCTCGGCGTCCCATCTGGCCCCATCGACGAGCTCGACTCGACCGAAGCGCGCGGCGCCGTTACAGATGTGGTGCAGCCACTGAGTGCGGCGACGCACGTCGATGTACCAGATAAGCGAGCACGCACACAAGTATAGAATCTACGGAATGTAAGGTGTGCATGCCAGACCCTCTCCTCTATGACCAGATTAGATTTTGTTTTCCAGCGTCGGCACGCCGGTATCCGCGGCGTGCTCGTGCTCTTCTGCTTCCTCCCACGTGTCTTTCTTCGCCGGCATGTCCAGCTCGGCGTCGTCTGCACTGTCGGAATGGCCCCACAGGCGCGAGAGAAAAGTGCGTGGCTGCGACGAGTGCAGCGCTGAGACGAACTCGTTGCTTTCGTTCGTGGTAGAATCGAGGCGGTGGCCGTCCTCGGGGTTCGTGAACTTGTGCGCGAAGCCCACGGGGCGGTCCTCGTCGAGCACGTACTTATCCATGCGGTACTCCTCACGCTTTTGTAGCATGGTGAATGGCTGGTTCGTGTAGCGCGCATATGCCCAGCCGACCAGGATGCGCAGGCCACACGAGGCGAGCGCAAAGCAAAGGTCGCCAACCGGCGCGGCAAGGAATGCACCAATCACACTGTAATCACTCGCATCCGCATCGACACCGTAGAGCCCATCTGGGAGACCAATCAGCTGGCCGCCACGAATCGCATCGCCATGGTAGTAAATCGTGCCAAAGACGAACACGGTCAGGAAGCCGCCACAGCCACCCACAACGACGTCGAAACCATTGAATACGTCAAAGCCGGGGATCAGACCCATGAACACGGCGGGGATGACCGCAAGACCCGCCAGATCGGCAATGAGAAATACTTGCAGGATATCGATCTGGATGAGCGCCAGGACGACACATGGCACATTCAGCAGGAGCAGGAGCACGCGGCACCACCAAATGTTCAGGCGGCCCAAAAACAAGTCACTTTGTATCACACTGATCTGTGCCGACTGGAACGTGTCGTACGCGCTCGACGAGAGCACTCCCGTGAGCACCAACACCAAGCCATGCACCCACTTGGGCATGTACAGCAGCGCGTTGAAGAGGGCATTTGAGCCGTCATCCTCGTCGTTCGGCAGCTCCTGGACGTGCGCCCAGTATGCAAGCGGTCCTGCCATACCCACTAGGAAACAGATGGCAAATAGCGGGATCGACGCGAGCGCCACAGACACGTACAGGCCCATATTCGTCTTGGACGCGAACGCACGCTGCCAAAACCCCTGGTTGAACATCTGCGCAAAGACGATCGACACAGTCAGAATGTACCACAGCTCACCGCCAAAAGCATGTGCACCGAGCAACCGCGGGTCGTGCACGCGCTCCGAGTCCAGATCAAGCTTCACGGAGAACATGACGGCGCCGATGATGATGAACACGACGACGACGACGGCATTAAAGTTGTCCGTCCATAGCGATGCCTTAAAACCGCCGTACATGGTGTAGATGGTCGTCGTGATAGCAATGATCAGCGGCGGGATAATCTTGCTCATGCTCGGCACAATCGTCTGCACGATGAGGCCATACGTATTCAGCTCCACGATCATGAAGCAGAACATGAAGCCAATGAACACAAGCGCACTAAACACCCCGACCGGCCAGCCAAAGCGCCGGCGGATGTACTCGGACAGCGTAAACCCGTCGGGGCACACGCGGCGGATCAGCGGGCCGAGTAGTCCAAACGCCCACACCGGCGCAATCGTCGCAAATGCGTACGCCGCGAGACCAAAGAGACCAGCGCCAGGAATCAATGCCATCTGTGGGTAACTCTCCAGGAGCGACGACGACATATCTGAATGTTAGTACTGTCACGCCATTGGTGCAACACAGATTCCCTTCGCGAGCATGACCTCGATCAGGTACTAGCCGGGCCCGAGGGCGCGCGGCAGAACGGTATTATCTCAGCCATAGTCCCCGGCTCGGGCTGCTGTGCATGCCTGAGCCGCAAGGCAGAGCAAGACTAGGCACCCGTATCTGCATCACCTAGCGCCATGCGGCGCTCGTCCCGAATCGGGACGACCTCTGTGTCTTACCATCCACACGCACTCGACGCAATCCAGTTCAGCGCCAGCGGCCCCGCTGCGGTAAGCGTCGTTCACATACCTGACTGTGTTCGCACACCACTAATAAAATCGCGCTTGCTGCGCGTGTTGTAGCCAGCCCAAAGACCAATCAGCATGAAACCACATAGCGTGCTGTACACGAGCGCATTGCCCTGCGACGGGTCCAAGTAGCCGTTTGGCGCGCCCGGCTCTGCCATGGTGAAGGGAGACCCGGCCGTACGGCGCCGGTAAAGGAAGATAAGAACACGTGATGCCTTCACGTGCTGCTCACGGCCGCCGCGCGTCGTCGTCCAGCGACGATGCCGGCCGCTGGCGTGCCGGCGACGTTCCGGAGCAGCGCCGTGCCTGTGTGGCGCAAGTATGTGGGCGCGGCGGGGACGACTGCAGGGACCATTCCCTCGGTTGACGAGCTGAGCGTGCTCGCGCAGCACCTGCATGCTCTTCAGCAGGATGCAGAGGCTCGGGCACAGACGCTCGCGTGCGAACGCCCTGGGAAGGCGAGCGAAATGCGCGCGAGGGGCCGCGATATCAAGTCAGAGGATGATGCACGCGTGCCGGAGACGTCATCGCCGACCAAGTCGGAGAGTGGCTCGGACACCGAGTGGGCGCCGGACGATGCGCGGCGGCGCGGGAGTGTGGGCCGCACGTATGGCCGCGGCAAGGCACGGCGGAAGGCCAACGGGCCAGAGAGTGTGCCAGCTAGTGTATCTGAAAGTGCAGAGATTCTCTCTGACGCCGACAGCGAAGTGGCGCTCAGTGTGCAGCGTAGCAAGATGCAGCGGCCGCCCCTGGGCGTGAAGCTGCGCCTCACACAGCCCAGCGACACGCGCGGCGCCCGCACAGAGCTGCGGCCTGTACCTGCGCCGCCGGCTACGGGCATTGACCTGCATGGCGATACCTTTTTTGACAGCACGACCTTCAGCTGGGACGTGCCGCCAGAGCCGGAGGGGTCAGTCTTGCCCAAGTGCGAGCCGATTCGCCTACCCAAGCCGTACCCTACTCACCCGAATGACGTCCACGAAGACTTTTCTCAGTGCGACTGGCGCGACCGCGAGTCGGTGTACTCGGTGGGCGAGGCAGTGCCTGAGGCGCCGAGCGCGCCCAAAGACACAGCGCGCGCGCGGCCGGCCAAGGAGGCGGCGCAGGTGCCTGCGACGACCTTCTTCAACTTTGCCGACGCGTACTTTAAGCCGGTGACTGAAGACGATCTCGCGTGGCTCTCGAGTCGCGCAGATGATCCGGCGCCGTTCCAATTCCCTGAGCTGGGTCCTCACTACCGCACTGTGTGGGAGAAAGAGGATGCGGAACTGCTCGGTGTGCTGCGTGCTATGGACGGCGGCCATGCGAGCACCGTGCCTCCTCCGCCTGCGCCGCGCGCGGCTCCCGAGCCGCTGCTACCCAGCTCCGCGTCGCTCGATGCACTGACGGATGCGGATATGTACAGTCGCACGCTGTGCGGGGGCCCACTGATGGAACGCCTCGCCTCGTCGCTGCTGCTACCAGAGGACGGCGCGAGCGCGGCGAGCGCGCCTGCTTCGCTGGCCATGCAGAGTACACACAGCGGCAGCAGCTACACGAGCTGCGCGAGCGACGATAAGGTGCCGCTGCTGCCCCCGCCGGACGCGCACAAGTCGCTCGCGGATATGGAGGCCCAGGCGCGGCAGGCGTGTGAGGCTGTGGGGCTGCTCGAGCCCGGCGCATCGACGCACTTTGACGAGCATGCTGACGGCCCCATCGCAAGTGCGCTGCGCCTCGCGCAGGAGAAGCTGCGGCACCAGATCCGCTCGAACGAGCAGCGCAAGGCGCGGCTCTTCCAGGTCGCCAAAGACTATATGGCGTACCAGGACTACCTCGCATGCCTACAGGCCGCGGAGCGCGAGATTGAAGCGTCATGGACGAAGCGCACGCGCCAACTTAAAGCCAGTGCTGGCAAGAAGCGCAAGAACGAGCCGGACGCCGGACCCAGCCGGCCGACTCAGCCAGACGCGCTACCTGAGGCTTTGCAGCGGCGCAGGAAGCTCAAGGCCGCCTTCGAGCCATTGTTTGCCAAGATACCGCATGCCTGCGCCCCCCCTACGCAGAGTATATACCACGGCATCGATTAGGCGGCTGCGGACCGCACCAGAAGACTTGCCCCTCCGCAGACTACGTCGACGGCGCCTGCCGCGGCCGCCACGCGTCGCGGCCGCTGTACGCGCCGGTCAGCGAGGGAGCCTTGCGCGAGGCGTCCCTCCGGCGTATCGAGACCCCATGTATACAGGTGACCGTCCTCGGTAATGGCTGCTGCATAGTGCAGCCCTGCATGTACGCGCACGATGCGCTCGCCAAGGGGGAGCGGCACAGGCGTGTGTGCCGTGCCCGGGTGCCCAGTGGCGCCATAGCCAGCGGCATGGAGTGTGCCATCATCTGCGGTTAGCTTGTCCACACTTGGCCGCTCAGAGAGGACACGGCCTGGGCAGGCCACAGCACGCGCCGTAGACTCCCACGCCGCTAGCATGGGGTATCGTCCTTGGTCGGTCGGTCCCTCGTTACATCCTTGCGGCCTTGTCGCACGTACCGTCGAGTAGCAGCACAAAGCTGCCGCCTAGCTGCACATCGCAGATGCGCGGCGGTAGCGCTGTGGCCAGCACGGGTACCGCCTCCTGCTCGGCCGGGCTCGTGGGCTGCAGCGCCTGGCCATACTCGGTGTTGCCCCACACGAAGAGGCGCCCATGGTCCGTGAGCGCCGCAGACGTATCGCCACCGGCTGCGACACGCACGAGGCGCTCCTTAGGCCCGAGTGGTATCGCAGCGCGCCGCAGCACCGGGGTCCATGCGCCTGCGCTCGGGTCGCCAAGCTGTCCGTCTGTGTTGAGGCCCCATGCATAGACGCTTTGGACCCCGGCCGCATCGCGTGTGAGCACGAGCGCGTGATCGAGGCCGGCTGCGACGCCCTCAATGGCTGCATCGCGAGGCCACGGAAGTCGCACGAGGGTGCTGTGCTCCAGGGCGGTGCCGCCTCCTAGCTGGCCCCGCACATTCGTGCCACACGCATACAGCGCACGCGGGGCGCCTAGCACGGTAAAGCCCATGCCCGCCGCCGCATACTGGATCGGCTCCGGTGCCTGCCACGCAGCAACGTGCCAGTGCTCGGAGCAGGTGGTCTGCGTGCCGAGCTGCCCCGCGCCGTTCTGCCCGGCGGCCAGCACCTGGTCGCCGTCCACGAGGACGGTATGCGACACGGAGGCTGCAGCCACGGTGCCGCGCCACGGTGTCGGCAGCGCGCACAGCTGCCCGTGTGTCGAGCGCGCGCCCCAGCGGCCAGCTACGGTCCACGCACGCGCTGCCGGCGCCATGGCGCACCTTCGCAAGGGCATGGCGGATGCTTATGTAACAGGTGGGGGGCCGCCCGTCTTCGCGAGGCAGTGGGTTGTCTCCACCATGGTGCTGGCTGAACTGATCGCGAACCACCTGCCTGCGTGCATTTTGCAGTGGACGGCTCCGATCCACTCCTGGCAGGAGGGCGTAACGCCCATGTCATCGCTGGCGTCTGTGGTCGCGGCATCGGTCTCGTATGTGGTGATGGTGCTTGGCGGCCAGGCGATCATGCGCTCTTTCTCGCCGGTGCCCGCGAGCCTGGTCAAGTGGCCCTTCTTCTTCCACAATATGCTGCTTTCATTAGCGAGCCTGGTGCTCCTAGTGCTGTATCTCGAGAAGGAGTTTGACTTTATTGGGAAGTATGGCATGCACGAAGCCCTCTGCTACGGCCCCCATTTCCACGACGTTGAGATGTATCACATCCTCAACTACTACTTCAAGTACTGGGAGTTTGTCGACACTTTTTTCCTCGTGATTAAGAAAAAGAAGCTCATGTTCCTGCATGTGTACCACCACATGGCGACGGCCGCGCTGTGCTACTCGCAGATTGTCAACGAGACTACGCTGTCGTGGGTGATCATCTCGCTGAACCTGGCCGTGCATGTGATCATGTACGGCTACTATGCCATGGCCAGCGTCGGTATCCGCTGCCCGTGGAAGAAGTGGATCACCACCGGCCAGATCATCCAGTTTGTCATTGATGTCGCTGTGTGCGTGTACGGAAGTACGTGCTTGGCTGCTGACCCAGTCTACAACCACTACATAGCCAAGTACGCAAGCTGGCTCCCGCACGTGCGCTACTGCCACGGACGGCCGGGGGCGGCCTTCTCAGGCTTGGCAATCTTGGCAAGCTACCTATTCTTGTTTATTATTTGTACGTATGCATATCTCACACCAGTCTATAAGGACACCTACAAGAGATCTCCAGCGGCCAAGACCAAGGTCCAGTAAAGTTCGACCGACGACTGCGCATCGCGGCGGAGACTACATAGGCACGTGACTTCATTCATTTGGTTGGCATGATTCCAAGTCTATTTTCCTGGGCCAATCGTAGCACCTCTCGCCGATTACCGATGCATGAAAGATTCCTGGGCCAATCAGCAATATTTCTTCACATCCCTTAAGAACGTCGACTCCCCTGAGCCGCACGTCTGTGGTAACGGCTCTTCATGATCGATTCATACCTGCTCGCGCTCGTCCCCGCGTCTGTTAGAGAGGCGACACGTCCCATCCAAAGCTGGCAGCCGGGCGTGACGCCTTTTTCGACGCCTACGGAGGTCGTCCTGGCCGCTGCAGGCTACCTGTTGGTCGTCCTGGGTGGGCAGCAGGTAATGCGCCATTTCCCGGCGGTGCCGGCGCACTGGCTGCGTCTGCCTTTCCTGCTGCACAACCTGCTTCTCTCGTTGGGCAGTCTGATCCTCCTAGTGCTCTACCTGGAGCGCACGATCCCGTTCCTTATGTCGCACGGCGTGCATCCCACGCTGTGCTCGTTTAAGGTTTACTACCTTGTCGAAATGTACCACATCATCAACTACTACTTCAAGTACTGGGAGTTCATCGACACGTTTTTCCTCGTGATCAAGAAAAAGAAGCTCATGTTCCTGCATGTGTATCACCACATGGCTACGGCTGCGCTGTGCTACTCGCAAATTAAGTACGAGACACCTGTGTCGTGGGTCGTTATCACCATGAACCTGGCTGTGCATGTGATCATGTACGGCTACTATGCCATGGCCACTCTGGGCATCCGCTGCCCGTGGAAGAAGTGGATCACCACAGGCCAAATCCTCCAGTTTATAATCGACCTCGTGTTCTGCTTCTACGCTTGGTACAACCACGCGGTCTCGAAACTGTCACTCAACTTGCCCTCCGTGGGCCCATGTGACGGCTCGCCTCTTGCGGCGGGCTTGGGCGTAGCCGTCCTAACCAGCTACCTGTTCTTGTTTATTCTGTGTACGTCCCCCTACTAACCTCGACAGTTTACCGCGGCACATACAAGGGTACTAAGGCTAGCACGCGCAAGACGCAGTAACTATGCTACTAGGATATCCCAAGCACATGCCATAGTGCGCATGAACGACTCGTTCGTCTACTGACACTATCTCAATGGTCCTACATAGCGTACCTAGGGTTAGCATGTACAAGGCGGGATACTTACTTCCTGGTCCACTCGCGGGCTGTGTTTTCGTACGCCGCACGGTCCGTCTTGTACAGGTGCGCAATGTCCGGCACGAGCGGGTCATCCGGGTTGGGGTCTAGGCGTGAGCAGGCGCCCAACATACCAGTAAGCATCGAGCAGATCGACAGCAGGACTGCGTAAGCATGTGACGCGTACCCTTAGAAATGGTCAGCGCCGGGCTCCATTGGTCCCTCAGGATATCCAGGCAAATACTGCCATTGGCATTGATGTTCGGGTGGTAGATTTTGGTCGAGAAGGACACCTTCGGGGGCTTGAAGGGGTAGTCCGTAGGGAAGGTGATCGACAGGAAGAATACACCGCCCGAGTACGGCGAGTCGCTCTGAATGTTAGTCAAGAAATACACACGGGGCCCATGATCGTAGCTTGCCACTGCGTGTCAGTACAGCCGTCGCACTTACCTGGAACATGTTGTCGCCAGTGGGACCGGCACTGCAGCTGGACGGTGGGTCGCGACCGAGGTCGGCCAGCTCCTGCACAATAAGCATTCCCAACAAACCTTGCTAATACGCTTCATCGCCATTTTGGAAGTAAGAGGGAGGCTCACTCTTCGCCGACCATACGCCACTTGTTCGCTGCGGCTGGGCCCATTGCTTCGGCCGAGACACGGGCGTGGGCGCCTCGGTTTTCGTCGCGTGGCCCTCCGCCCTGTCGCGTACGTCGGGCGCACGATGGCGGCGCCGCCTCCTGAGCCGGGCAACAAGGACGCAGGTGCGCATAACGGCGACACACCATCTCTGGATCATGCTGCGCACATGTCCGATGTGCAGGACGCAGCAATGCCCGAGCTCGGCAGCGCCTCAGAGCTCGATGGATCGGACGCCCCTCATGGCCCAGGTCGCTGGCGGCCACGTCATGATCGGAACCGCGGGCGTGGGCGCGATGGGATGCGGGAGAAGCGCAGCCGCTCGTTCAAGCCGCTGCGTGACCACCCCTACTACGACCACGACCGTGCGGGCCTCGACCAGTTGCGCGTGCATCGACCTTATGCCGACCCTGCCCCCTGCATACCCGAGCACATGTATGGACAGCCTGAGGATGTGAGACCTACAGTGAAGGCCGAGCCTAGCCGATCTCCTGCTCTGCCAGCGTCGGCGCTGCAGCCTGAGGCTAACGTAACAGCGCCCCACGACTCAATGCCGCCGGCGGCTGAGGCCGAGCCCTTCGTGCCTGCCAAGGCCACGAGCCCAAACGCGATGCAGATCGACCTACCGAACGAAGTCGTCGCCCCCCTCTCTGCACCCCATACCGAGTTTCTCGCGGATCTCGCTATGCCGGACGATACCCCGAAGCAGGCTTCGGCGCCTGAGACCAGTGAGGATGCATCGAGTAGCGCATCCAACGGTGGCCCACCTTCGCGGACGCCTCCGCACACCGAGGCGCCACGGCGTGTCCCCCATCCGCCTCCGGAGGTGCCGCTCGCCTCATCGCCCACACCGATGGTGCCCAAGACGCCTCAGCCGGTGGCGCTATCGGTCGAGGTGCCTGCGCCACCCCCGGCGACCGCGCTGCCCACCCAGTCAGTGGAGCCCGCATCTGCGAGCGTGGTATCGAGCCACGAGTCACTTGAGAAGCCTGTCGAGACGCACGATGTCGATGAGCTGCGCAAGGCGACTCAGGTGCTGGCGCAGCAGATGCTGCTCCGGTACCCGCTGACCGAGCAACATGTGCAGCAGCTTATGCGAGAGAACCGTGACATTGTTCAGTCGCTGCGTGAGCCGGCGTCGCTCGCCGAGACCAAGGCGGCGGCTGCGCCTATCCAGGCAGACCCCGACGCGGTGCACGACCACATTCATGCGCAAGTCCAGGCGAGAGAGCGCGCATACCAGGCCAAGCTGCAGGCACTGCGAGCCGAGTACCGCGCCAAACACAAGGCCTGGACCGAGTACTGCCATAAGCTCGACCAAATGTATGAGCAGCGTGCGCAACGAGGTGCGTCGGCCGCCGAAGAGGGGCCCATGGCGGGCTCGTCCGTACTCGCGACGCCTGCGTCGCGCTCCTTCCGGCGTGGCGGTGTGGGAGGCGGCTTCGGCGATGTGGTGCGCTCCGAGGCTGAGTTCCAAGAGATTTTGGCCTCGCTCGAGAATGCCGAGATGCAGGACCCAGCTGTGCGTGCTGCCCGGACGTCTGCGACGGTGCCTGATATGGATCTGCGCGAGCCGCGTGTGCTGGACAACGACAATGGCTATGTGGCCGACCCGGTGCACTTCTACTTCCACAGCTTCGACCCCGATGTGTGGAGCGAGGAAGAAAAGGCCATCTTTGCGCGGCGCTATGTGCTATACCCCAAGCAGTTTGGGCGGATTGCCGAGAAGCTGCCTCACAAGACCGCCAAGCAGTGTGTGGCGTTCTACTACCTGCACAAGCACCTGGAAGGGTACAAGGCGCTTCTGCACGCGCGCCATCGCGAGCGGCGGAAAAAGTCCAAGTCGCGCCCGAGCAAGTCGAAAGGCAGCGCGCTCATGGCCGATATTGCTGCGACGGATCCCGAGCTGGCGGACGACGACAAGCATGCCACGCCGAAGCGGCGCCCTGATGAGGCGCCGCCCAAGCCGAAACGAGCCAAAGCACCCCCCAAGCCGAAACGCGAGTCAGAAAGTGAGCGGCCAGCGGCCGAGACCGAGACGGCCTCGGAGCGAGACCTGGCAGCCGCCGAGGCGCTCGAGGCACTCGCAGGTCTCGCGGCGCCGGCACGCCCCGAGTCCAAGAAGCGCAAGGCACGCAGCAAGGACGGCGAGGAGCCCAAGAGCCGCTCGCGCGGCCCGCACTGGTCCATGACAGAGCGTGCCGAGTTCTTGCGGCTACTGGCCACATACGGCAAGGACTGGCACGCGCTCTCGGCATCGTTCCCTGCCAAGACGCCCGCGCAGACACGCAACTTTTTCGCGCGGCATGCCAGTGAGAGCGAGCACTTCCAAGAAGCAGCGGCTCTCGCGCAGAAACACGCGCAAATGTCTTGGGACGACAAGGCGCAGGCAGCCTTGGCGTTCGTGCAGCAGTGGTACGAGTCTCTGCCCGACGGAGCAGTGAAAGCCAGCATCACGGGGTGGCCGGCACCAGGCCACCCGCCGCCGCCGCCGCCCAAGGAGCCAGGGTCGCCCGTCCAGGAGCCCGTGCCTGCAGACGACGACGAAACGGACGAGGAGGACCGCTCAGCGGGCCCGCCGAGTGCGACGCCCGTGCCACCTACACCGAGCACTAGCACGCCCGTGGCTCCAGCGCCGCCGCCGCGGTCCACGCCCACCGAGCCGAGCTGGACCCCGATGCGCTCGCCTGTGCCGCCCATGATGTACGGCAACCCACCGTATGGGACTATGCCGCAGGGCTCCGTGCCGATATACTATCGCGAGCCGTCGACCTATACGCCGCCGGTGCCGCCCAGGGGACTGTACAACTATCCCGTGCCCAAGTATGGCCTCCCAGCCGATCCTCACGCACGCTATGCGCCGGAAGTCCCGTACGCTACTACCTCGCCGTTGGCGCGCATGCCCATGCGCCCGGCCCCCAACATGGGCTACTTCCACGCACGGCCCGAGCGGTGGCCCGGGAGCGACGGCCGATACCCCCCGTCGTAGCTGCCGTAGCGGAGGTCCGCGGAGTTGTACCCACTCCTCCACAGGCTGGGCCAGGGCAGGGCGGCCCAAGCGGCCCTTGCCTCATGACCTCCGCTGTGACAACGTTGGATGCCCCGCTTGCGCTGCCATGCGGCGCCTCACTGCGCAACCGCCTCGTCAAAGCGCCCTTGGAAGAAATGCTCTCGACGTTTGGCGGTGGCAACCCGAACGACGACGTGTATCGCCTGTATCGTGCGTGGGCCGATGGTGGCTGGGGCATGATCATTACGGGCAACATTGGCGTGGACCGCCGGCACATTGGCATCATGTTCGATATGGTCATCCCCGATCCAGGCCAGACCGACGCAGAAGCGCGCGCGCTTGCGGCCTACACCAAGTATGCACGGGCCACCAAGGGCTTTGACGTGGACGACGAGCGCGCTGACCACGCCCCTGCGGACGGCCAGCGCCCTTTGGCGGTGGCCCAGCTTGTCCACTGTGGCCGCCAGTCGATGCGCGGCAGCGTCCGCCCGCCGTGGGTCCCGTCCGTGGCGCCCTCGGCGGTGCCTATGCAGGTCGGCAAGGAGCCGAGCTGGCTCGACTGGCTCATGTTCGGTGTGCCGCACGCCCTCACCGTGGAGGAGATTCATGGCATTATCGAACGATTTGTGCATGCGTCGATGCTGCTCGAGCGCGCCGGCTTTGACGGCGTGGAGCTGCATGGCGCGCATGGCTACCTGCTCTCGAGCTTCCTCAACCCGCGCACGAACCTGCGCACGGACGAGTACGGTGGCGATGCCGCTGGCCGCTTCCGTATCATCCGCGAGATTATCGACGGCGTGCGCAAGAATGTGAGCAAGTCGTTTGCCGTCGGCATCAAGCTCAACTCGAGCGACTTTATGAAGGGCGGCCAGACCGAGGACGACGCCCTGCAGAACGTGCGCTGGCTCGCGGAGATGGGCACGGTGGACTTTGTCGAGGTAAGCGGCGGATCGTATGAGGCACCGGCGTTTGCACAGCCGCTCTCGGAGCGCACGCAGCAGCGTGAAGGCTACTTTACCGGCTTTGCGCACCGCGCGCGCCTCTCACTGCCGCAGGACTCGAAGATGCGCGTCATTGTCACCGGCGGCTTCCGCACGCGCACCGGCATGGCCGGCGCAGTCAATGCGGGCCATGCAGATGCGATCGGCCTCGGCCGCCCATCGTGTCTGGAGCCCGCGCTGCCCCACAAGATGCTCGACACATCGTTGCCGGACAGCGAGGCCGAGGCGGTGGCATGGAAGATGCCCGTCAAGCCGCGCTTGCTGCCCAACGTCGCTTTCGTCGGCATTGGATGGACAACCATCTGGCACTCGGCGCAGATGCATCTTACCGCTCGCGGCCAGCCCACGGACCCTAACCTGTCGATGGGCCATTTCTTCCGTAACCTCCATTTCTGGTAGCCCTCCACCTGTCGCGGCCTGTGCCTTGCGACGATGCCTGACAACGCCGTGCCGTGTGCCGTGGGCGCCTGGCGCGAGAGCATACACACCCTGGAGCAGCTCATAGGAAGTGTACGTCATCTCATCTAACGTTAGTGGGACCAGCCTAGCCCGCCGTCCGTGCTCATTCACGCACCCAACAGCCCCCAACACGCGTCTCGTCTCGTTCGACATACGCTGCAGACACAGGCAAGCGCGGATTCCCATATCCGAGTAGCCCACGTCACGCCGCTGGTCTCGTGCACCTCACGCCTGCTCTTTGCACATGTGCTGCGGCAGCTCGGCGACCACGGCGATGCCTGCACGGATGCCGGCACCTTTGTCAAGCGCCTCCGGTCCCTGGTGGCGCAGCGGACCAAGCTTCTGTTCGCCGTGTACGACGCAGAACGTACCCGCGATGTATGGCCAGAGCATATCTGGGAGATGTGGCCCCTGCTGCCCGAGCTGGCCCGTTGTCAGGGACGCATGATGGTCGTCTACGTGTCCCTGCTGCCTTGGTCGGCCTTCCGGACCATCTCCGGACATACTATCTCTGCGGCACCCATCTGCCTTCGGATCGCACGTCTCTCGCGGGACGATATGCTTGCCTTGCTCGAGTCCGATGCGCCGGCCGCCTTGCAAGATGTGCCTCCCGGCGTCGATACCACATTGTACAACAACGTATGTGCTGTGCTCTATGATACCATGAAAATGAATGTGCGCGATGAGCATGAGATGCGCCTCCTGTGTAGGAGCGTATGGCGCGCGCTTATGGCGTACGTCCGCGATGGCATGCGGCCTAGCGTGCACGCTCTGATGCCGGCCATGGGCGAGCTGTGCCGTGACGCCCTAGCCAGAGTGGTAACCCGCACCACAGGTCCCGATACGTGGGCCTCTGAAAAGAGCACCAAGGCCGCCCAAAAGGAACCCGCGGACCTTGACATGAGAGCGCGCCAAGGCATGCCGCCCCGAACCGGGTACGGCGCTCTACAGGCGTTCTTGCTGGTTTCGGCGTTTATCGCCTCGTACAATCACACCAAGACAGATGTCAAGTACTTTGTGCATGAACTGGGCACCTCGCGCAAGCGACGGCGCTCTGGCGCCCAGAAGGCAGCCGATGCCGCTCTCCTCGAACTGGACGGCGAGACGGACATTTGGAACCACCCGCAATTTTGGGGGCCACGAACTTTCACGCTTGAGCGTCTCCTGGCCATCTTCCATGCAATTATGGCCGACTTCAAACAGGACATGAATGAAGATGCGCTCCTGGTGCCAGCCGAGCGCGCCGAACGCGTCGGCGACAAGGCAGTGATGCATCTCGAGCATGTCGCCGGCGAGTTTTGGAGCCGATCGGCGACAGCCCTCGCTGAGCTCAACGAGCTCGTACGCAAGCAGATGATTGTGCGAATGTCGCCCGCCAGCAAACTCAGCGCCATGCAGTACCGCGTCAATGTCCCGGTAGAGTATGTGCGCCAAGTGGCGCATGCGGTGGGCTTTCCCCTGACTCAGTACTTGTCGGATACATATACCTAGCGACTCAGCGAGAGCTCCCTCCATAGTGTATAGGGGCCTTTTTGCTGCGACGTCTTGTACATGATTTGGATTTGGCGGATCGAAACACGGAGGCCCTCGTCAAGCTGCGCAGGCTCCGAAGGTAGACGACATGCAAGCCACCTCCGGGCTTCTTCCTGGATGTGCGCCGTATCCTCAGGCGAGTACGACTGCCCAAGACTTGCATGCGGCACGAAACCCTCGCGTCGGCGCGCTGAACGCGGTATGTGGGAGGATGCAGCGACACTAAGCTCGCGCTGAAGGGTTACAAGGGGCGCTCCTGACGCACGTGTCGGGCGTAGATGTATGTTGTGATAGCGGCGCAGGCGGAATGAGTGCAGCTCGCTGAGATTCAGCTCGTGTGCCATATGTTTCGCACACACAGGCATGAGCGCCTGGGCGAGGGCATCGAGAGAACGCGACACCGTGGCAAGTGGCTCCGGGTCTTCGTCGGGGACATGCAATTGATACGGGGGAATCAGTGTCAAGTGTGGGAGCCAGCGCGTGTATGCCGCATCATGAGCATGTCTGATTTGTTGCAGCGCTTGGTACCGGCGCTCTGCCGTGGCGCCCAGCGGCTCCAGCAGCACCACAACCAGGGCCGTGTAGGCTCGCATATGTGGAGGATGACAGCCCTTCTTCGCCGCCACGACCACTTCCATGGCGCCGACTCGTTCTAGCGACTCGGCCCTTTCTAGGCCTGCGAGAAAGCAAATATCCTATGCAGAGCTCGAAGAGATCCGCCATAGCGCTGAGCGCATGGTCGGTGAGGGCATGATCTACAATGTGTGGTACAATAAGATGTCAGGAGGTGACACTGGCCATGGGTTCGAGTCTAAGACCAAGTCAAAGACCCGGTGTGATATCGCGCGCGATTCCGGATATACACGCGCAGATATGCGGATCCGTGCAAGCGCGGGTGGTGTATCGGATACCACGTACGTGTGCTTGTTTTTTGCACGCGGATGTTGTCCAAAGGGGTATGTGTGCTATGCTGACACACAGCGAGGAATGCAACTATCTCCACCGCTTGCCGCGGCCTTACGAGGTAGCTGACCAAGGTACAGATGTGTTTGGACGCGAGAAGCACGGCCAGTACCGCGACGATATGGGCGGTGTAGGCTCAATGCTGCGAGTCAACAAGACGCTCTATGTCGGGCGCATCAACGAGGAGACGTCCCTGAGCTTCCGGCGTGCATCCGCCAATCCAAAAGACAACCAGGACGATACTGGAAAGACACCCATGTCAAGGATTGTGCGGCGCCATTTTAGCGAGTGGGGCGAAATTGAACATGGTAAGTACCAGCATGACTGACGGATCAGTGCGTGCCATGACCGGCCGAGGTACCGCCTTTGTCACGTACAAGTACGAGGCAAATGCTCAGTTTGCGAAGGAAGCCATGATGCACCAGTCGCTGGACCATGATGAAATCCTTAATGTGCGATGGGCGGCTGAAGACCCTCGCTCCGACGGCGAGGAGCGCGACGAGTTGGAGCGGCGGAAGCTGGCCGAAAAGCGCATTGCAGACCATGAAAATGAGCGCCAGGAACTAGAGAAAGACTATGAGGACCTGAAAAACGATCCAAGCATTGACTGGGAAGAGTATGCACGGGCCAAGCGGCAACGGCTCGCCCTCTCGGACGAGGAAGCGAGGCGGCTTGACGAGGAAAACCAGCGTGGATGGGATGCATACTATGCCGAACAAAAGAAGGCAAGCACGGACAAGCCAGCGACGCTCCTCAAGTCGTCCCTCCTAAATAACGAGGCGATCACTTCCTTGCAACAGCTTCGCACGCAACCCACTACACCCAAGTCATCGTCGGCCCTAGGCGGACTGGCAGCATATGCGAGCGATAGCGACTAGCGAAGAAGCTCTGTCGGCATTTCACCGGAAGGACCGTCTGGACGCAGGCCCAGAGCAGCGAGTGCATTCTGTGCAGTAAGCAGAGCCATACCCTCACGCGCTTCCTGCGTGGCGCTCGCCATGTGAGGCAGGATCATGACCTTGTTGACAAGTTCAGGCGCCAACAGTGGGTGGTCCGCCGCAATTTGCGGCTCGCCCTCGAGTACGTCTAAGCCAGCCCCAGCAATCTCGTTCGCGTGCAGGGCTTGCACGAGTGCGTTTGTATCAACAAGGCCACCTCGCCCCACGTTGATTAGGTACGCCGTAGTTCTAATGTGAGTAGCCAAGACCTACTTCATGTTCCGCAAAAAGTCCGCATCGACCACATGGTGGGTAGAAGCATTCAAATTGCAAATCAGGCTGTGGTCAGTAGTTGCAGGCATACAATATCACATCGCAACGTTGGGCAAAGGCCGTCACGTCATGCTCGTTGACCAGAGGGAACGGCAACCGATGGTGGTAGTTGGTGTACGCCTGGAATAGGTCGTTGTTGGCCAGAAAGCGGAAGTGCGGGTCTTTCAGGTCGAATTCCCGTGGCTGCGATACCTTGTAAACAATCTCCTTGGGTTTGAAGGGGAGTAGTTTGCTCACAAGTGTCTGAGAAATACTACCAAGACCCAAGAATCCGACCGACTTGCCCTCCATGGCAGGACCGCAGAAGCTCACAGGCGTCCATGGAGCTTTCGACCACATGCCATTCTTGACAATATGGTAGCCTTCCATAGTGTTGCGCATGAGATTAAGCGCAAGAACGAGAGACAGGTCAGCGACGGCACTCGAAAGCACATCTGGTGTGTATCCCACGCGAATGCCACGCTTCTTTGCTGCCTCCATATCAATATGCTCGAAGCCCACACTCATAGTTGAGACAACCTTAAGCGATGAACCTGCTGCATCCATGAGCTCTTCATCGACTTTGGTCATGGGGATACATATGATCGCACTTGCTCCGGGAACATGCTCCATCAGCCACTCCCGTGGTGCCGATTTAGCCTGCGGGTTCTGCGGCGAGGGTCGCCACACACGTAGATCCACTAGGCCCGATGCCTCCGCCTGCTTGGAGAGCGTCTCAGGTAATTCACACACAATCACCACCACTGGTTTGGACATGACTCGTAGAAATGCGCCTACGTTGCCGCGCAGTTTCACATAGCGTCACGCACGTGCCACACCCGTATTGATCAGAATCGATGTGGATTCACAACCCTATATAGTGCTTACAGGAGCTCGTCCGCGTAGGGGAGCTGCTTCACGTCACCGAGGGCCACCGAAGTAGGCTTGCTCTTCAGAAGGGCCTGCGCCGCAGAGGCGACATCATCAGCCTTCACAGCATCCAGGTGCGACAGCACAGCCGAGAGCGACGTCTCAGAGCCGTTCAGAAGACCCGCAGCCACCGATTCATGGCTCGAAACACGCGAGCCCTCGTAGTTCTGGGCAGCAACAAACTTGGCCTTGGCGACGGCCTTGGTGATATCCTCCGACGAGACACCGTTGGCCACCTTGGTAAGCTCCTGGGCAGCAGCCTTGGCCGCCTCGGCGATCTTGGCCGAAGGAGCACTCACATGAATACCGAACAGGCCAGTGTCCTGGAGCGAAGCGTTGAACGCGTGGGCCTTGGCACCGTTGATCTGAGCCAGAGGGCTAAGACCGGTCGACCACTTCACAGAAGCCTCGCCACCAAGCAGTGACTCGAGGACAAACAGAGGCGCAGCCTTCAGAAGCGGAGCACCCTCGAAAGCGAGGAAGAAGTGATCCACAGGCAGGGCGTGGCCGTGCGAGTCAGTAATAGCGCCACGGTAATCACCGCCAAAGTACTTCGAAGGCACGGCCTCGGCAGCCGAACCAGCTGGAACACCAGCAAAGCTCTTGGACACCAGCGAGCCAAGAACATCCTGTGACAGACCAGAGCTGACCACAGCCAGGTTGTTGCTGTTCATGACCTGTGCGGCGTACGAGCGCACCTGCTCCACGGTAACAGGCGACGAGGGGCTAGCAAACAGCGAGCTACCCACACCACGGTTGCGGTAGGCGTAGGAAAAGAGTGTGTCAATGCCAGTAGCCACCGGATCCTGAGCAGCCTGCTCACAGTCGGCCACAATCGAGGGAATCACATCCTCGTTGAATTCGTGGCGGCAGTACTTGGCATTGCCAACAACCTCAGCCAGGAGATCGGCAAAGTGTTTCTCATCGCCCTTCAGGAATTCAGCCGTAAGAAGAAGGTGTTCGCGGTTCAGCGAGGCCGAGAGAACACCACCGTTCAGCTCAGCCTCACGAACAATGCGCAGAGCCGAGCGCTCTTTGGTCGACTTGAAGGCAAAGTTCTTCAGAGCATGGGCAACACCAGCCTGCGACTCAAAGCGCGGACCAGCGCGGACAGCCACAGTGATCGATGCGACAGGCGCCGTCTCATTCTGCTTGTAAGTTTCCTGGGACCAGACCACATACCAGAGCAGCCTGAGGAATCGACGAGGCACCCGTAGAGAGCGAGCGCGAACCAGCAGCACGGAGCTGAGCGGGCACAGAGCGCAGCACGCCAGTCGAAGACCTAGACACGAACATGGGAAGGGTAGGGCTCCTGCACGCTACGAGGAGGGAGGTAGTGATATAGCCCGTGCCTCACTGGCGCGAAGAAGCCTGCCGTCTGCACCCACTCCAAGCCTAGTAGGCCCCTACCGGTGCACTCGGCCCTTTCCTAACTGTCCACCCGTGTTGTTCCGGGGATTGTTCACGTGATTATGAGAGTCAGGTGTCTACCGAGTCCTGTCTTACAAATGCAACGAAACTGCGCACGGCCGTGGCATGTAGAGTCATTAAAAGCGCGAGCGTTTGATGCCAGGCTGCATGACTGGGCCTGCCTTGCCTTTGCGTGCCTGCTCTTCCATAATAATTCGCTCTGCTGCACCCAAATGAGTAGGTGGGCGCTTCTTGTTCGTAGTAACAGTCGGATTCGAAGTTGATTCAACGGCCTTAGCAGAGGCTTTAGAGGCCGCCTTGAGAGGATTAACGCGAGTAGAAAATACAGAAGGGGTAGGGGTTTGTGGGGTGACGGTAGGCTTCGCCGCAATGGTGGCAGTGGGTGCTTCAGTCGATTCTTTCTTTGAATCAGCAGGCTTTGACATAGATAGATTTAATTTTACAGACACCTTGTCGTTAGTTTGTAATAGACCCTCTTTGGGAGGCAGGGGTGTAGGCTTAATATCAGGTGCCGCGTTAGCCTGTTCATGAGCGCGTCTGATTTGCTCGTCCAATTCCCTACGAGCTCGTTGTTCATCATCCATCTTGGCGCGGTCCATCTTTTTAATTGCATCTTGACGAGCACGGGCAGTGGCTGAATTATCGATCCATGAAATAAACCAGCCCAGCTCACTGCCTTCAACTTTGACGATACCTGCTCTCCCTAGGAACTTGACAAATTCAGATAGAGACACCCAGCGCGTAGCATTCATATGCACATGATGACGATCCTGAATGTACTCTTGGTATACTTGGTTCGCGAGCACGCGCCGCGTGCCAAACCGCTGGCTTAGAAGCGCAACGAACTCGCGCTGGAACTGAGAACTGTAATCATGAACAACTTTGCCTGCTCGCTGTCCTCCATCTCCCGTTGCTGCGGCAAGTTGTCGCATGTGCGCTTCTGACTCAATATGGCATTTGTAACCGTTTGCATCACGACACGCCTTCGAACATATTTGGCAGTACCATCGAAGACGCGTCAGCCCTCTCGCTTTCATCGCATTACTCAACGCTTTCCTAGATCATGAGACATCAATGATACGTACGGTGTGCCTGCTTCGGCACGCCCCATATTGACAGCCAGTGGCGCTCAAGTGGAGGCAGGAGGATCGGCGCTCACAAGTCCTTCTATAAAGGGCATGAATTTCGGCCGAATCAATCACAATGCTGCCAGCGGATAGGAGATACTCCTCCGCCCCTTCCCCAACCGTATGTTCGCTCTTCCTCGGTCCGCCCGGGTTCAAGTACTAATTCGACCTTTACTTTCGCAGGCTTCTCGCAGGTTTTCTCCAAGTGTTCGGCTCTTCTCTTGCACACCCAACATTATGAACTCTGTCCCCGTGCCCAACGACTTTGTACGTGGACTATCGATGGGAACTAACGGTGCAGAACAACGTTCTCTACAAGCCCCTGGCTGAGGCTGACCCCGAGATTCAGCAGATTATTGACAACGAGACTTACCGTCAGTTCACTGGTCTTGAGTTGATTGCTTCGGAGAACCTGACTTCGCTGGCCACCATGGAGGCGAACGGTTCGATTCTCACCAATAAGTACTCGGAGGGTCTCCCTGGTTCTCGTTACTACGGTGGTAATGAATACATCGACCAGCTCGAAGAGTTGTGCCGCAAGCGTGCTTTGGAGGCCTTCGACCTCGACCCCAATGTCTGGGGCGTCAACGTTCAGCCCTACTCTGGTTCGACGGCGAACTTTGCTGCCTTCACTGCCCTGATTCAGCCCCAGGACCGTATCATGGGTCTTGGACTGCCTGATGGTGGCCACCTGACCCACGGATACTACACTGCCAAGAAGAAGATCACCGCCTCGTCGATCTACTTCCAGTCGTTCCCTTATCAGGTGAAGCGCGACGACGGTTTCATTGACTACGAGCGCCTCCGCATTAATGCCAACCTGTTCAAGCCCCGTCTGATTGTCTGTGGTGGCTCGGCGTACCCTCGTGACTGGGAATACGACACTATTGCCTCGATCGCCAAAGAGCACGGAGCGTACCTTATGTGCGACATGGCCCACATTTCGGGTCTCATTGCTGGTAAGGAGCAGAGGAGCCCCTTCGAATACTGTGACGTGGTTACTACGACGACTCACAAGACTCTTCGTGGTCCTCGTGCAGGTCTAATTTTCTTCCGCAAGGACCGTGAGTCTGACCTCGAGGCCCGCGTAAACGCAGCTGTATTCCCTGCTTGCCAGGGTGGTCCTCACAACAACACCATTGCCGGTATTGCCGTGGCTCTTAAGCAGGCTGCCGACCCTGCCTTCAAGGCTTACGCCAAGCAGGTTCGCGCGAATGCCAAGGCCATTGGTGAGAAGCTGGTCTCGTACGGCTACAAGCTCCAGACCGAAGGTACTGACAACCACCTTGTGCTGTGGGACCTTCGTCCTATTGGCCTCACTGGCTCCAAGATTGAGAAGCTTTGTGACCTGGTGCACATCACGCTTAACAAAAACGCTGTTGCCGGTGACACTTCGGCCGTCGTGCCCGGCGGTATCCGTATTGGTGCCAACGCGCTGACCTCGCGTAGCATGACTGAGAAGGACATGGATGTCGTGTGCGAGTTCCTCCACCGCACTGTCCAGATTGCGCAGGTGCTGCAGAAGGAGGCCGGCTCCAAACTTCTGAAGGACTTTATCGCCAAGGCTACCACCGGTGACGGTGAAGGTCGCAAGATGATCCTTCAACTCGCTGATGATGTGAAGGCCTTTGCCACACAGTTCCCTCTGCCTGGTGTTCCGGACACGAGCGTCATTAAGAAGCCTGCTGATGCCCACTAAATTTTCACCTCCCTTTTATGATCACTCAACCTGACCATATAGCCTTGCCCTGTAGCGTTCAACCGTAGTCACATGACCATGCCAAAAAGTGCCCCTGCAACGCGCTAAATGACCTACGCGTTTAGGCGTCATAGCGGACGTTATGAAGTTGGCGCGCGAGTGGCGCCAAGGAACGTCACTATGGAATTTGCGCTTGCTTCACACAAGCAGATTGTTAGCCAGACACGATCTGAAGGCGGAACAGCAACAGCTTGAAAACTTGGTGAAGAATGTCCTTGACACCACGCATGGTAACAATAAGGCAATCGCATCCAGAGATCGAAGGAATAGGGGTTATGTCAAGTTGGAAGATACTTGGAACAAGCTAAGTCCCTTGAAAAGAAATGTTGATGAGGAGATTCACCCAGATCATGCACAACACTATGTGCTTCCTGACAAGTATGGAATCAAAAACTTTGACGTGCAAGCTGGCGACTTTGTTGAAGCACGGAAATCAACGATGACCTATCTTGGCGTAATATTGCCGATTCCTGAAGACAGAGAAGTTTTGGGTGCCGGACAAGGGACATCGCATATTATGGTTCTTGCTACTGGCGAACTGGAACAGATTCGTGCTACCGATATCATGTTGCAGATGCCAGGTTTTGTCGATTCAAAAACAGCCACATTGGCTGCACCACTTAAATGGGACCATGTTCTGGCTTCAGCATCTCGTCCAGCGTCATTATCGACAAATCTGGACACGGATCTGTCCGGTGATGCGACTTTGGATGCGGGAGAGCCTTTTGACTATATGCGCTTTTCTACGCGAGCCAAAATATGCCGCAAGATTCGTGAAATGCAACGAGAACTGGATCGAGAGATTCGACGCATATACCCAGCATTTCGAACGCTATTTCTCGAAGAAGAGGAGGCCAAGGCTTTGATGGATCAGTTGGCTTTTTCCAAAAAGGATCACAAAATTCGAAAAAATTCTTTGGATCTCTTGCAGTCAGGACAAGTGCCTACATCTACAGCAGCTCTCTATATGGAGCAGTACTTGTCCAACAGTGGAAAAAAATTGACCGTGAAGGCATCGACGTTGTTGGCCACACATTCATTATTGATGAGCCATCCGACCCAATTTCTAGCCGACTCTATTTCTCATCGACGAAGTCAATCTTTTGTATACCGCTCACAGAGAGAGCAACAAACATTAAAGAAAGTCTCTGAATGGGTTCATCATTTCATTTCAGAAACAGATGATGAGATGTCGATCAGCGCAAAATCAATAATCCATGGCTTTTGTGACCGGGCCCGATATGTGTTGAAATGGAGGCAGTCCCGGAAATGTCTAGAAACTGAAGAGCTTTGCGAAGACGACCCAGTGCCGAGCGTTGATGGCAAAGGCTTGTTTCGATGGACCCAGGAAGATAAAGATATCTTGACGTTCTTTAAAATAAGCCTCGGTAACCGAAGAGAGCTTCAAGACAATAACACAGGAAGTGTTGCTATGACAATAATCAAACAAGCAGGTGTAAATGTACGACTCTGGCCACTCCACCATGACGGGAGCGAATATCACAAACAGGATCTGCCGACAAAGGATGATGTGAAAGAATTGGAAACGGACATTACGCAAGCGGGATTCGATTTACAACACTCTCAGATGTTCAATTTCCTGGTTAATCTGGGTGTGTTAGCACCATGGGAGAACCCCAATGCATTGGATACACAATTAAAGAATCTTCAATATACTTCAGATCTGTTGGAACGGTCAGGAGCATTGAAAGAGGAGCAAGAAGATCGCCATTCATTTGGAAATTTGCCCGTCTATGTTATTGATTCTGAAGACGCGCATGAACTGGATGACGGCATTTCTGTTGAGAGTACCGAGGAAAAATCGAAGGTTTGGGTTCATATTCATATTGCCGATCCTACGGCATGGATCGATATGGAGCATCCTCTGGCAAAATTGGCAGAACATCGATATGCTAGTATCTACTTGCCCGAAATTATGTGGCCAATGCTTCCAGAAACCGTTACTAGAGGGCGTATGAGTTTAAATGATACGCATAAAGGGGGAATGAATGTACTTTCTTTTAGTGCACTGGTGGATCTTGATTCTGGTAAGGTCGTTGAATACAATGTTCGTCGTGGAAAGGTACACAACATGAAGATCATAACTTATAAAGCTGTGAATACAATCTTGCTAGGAAAAGATTGGCATTCGCAGTCTGAAAAAAATCTGAGTTTACTAGCTGAGGCAGCTTCGGTCATTTTCAAACGTCGTGTTCGAATTGGAGGCGCAGTCAATGCTGGAGATCCTGACACTGAGCTAAAGATTAGTCCGCTTCCACCGCCCGCACTCTCAAACTCAAGTCATGATACCCCAAAGTTCTTCCGGGGCTTTCCCAAGATCCAAATGATCACTCAAGGCAATAGTGAACGACGTGGCTCGTATGACAATCTGCCAGGTGGTATAAGTGCCGAATCAATGGTGAGTGAACTAATGATCCTTGCAGGACGTATCGCTGCAAGTTTCGGGATGGATCATAAAATTCCTCTCCCTCATCGTACACAAGCAGCTCCAGAGGAAGGTGATATTGAAGTTATTCAGAATATGAAACATCCGGTCACAGGCGCTTTGTCAATGTCGGAGTTGGTTTCAAGAGGGATTTTTCTTCCAATGGGGTCGTCATCAATACTTCCTGGGGACCATTTTGCATTAGGGATACATCCAATGTTGAAAAACGACCCTCTTGCGGATGCCCTATACAAGGGCGGCTATGTTCGTGTCACAAGCCCCTTGAGACGTTACTCAGACATGCTTTGCCATTGGCAGATCAAAGCGGTATTATCAGGAAAGAGTCCACTTCTAGATGCTAACCTGTTATCTCAACGTCTTATTCAATGTGATCGAATGGAAACTTGGGTTAGACAATTAGAACGGTCATCGGTACGCTTTTGGATATGGACGTTTGTGGATTCTTTCTTTAAGAAAAAGGCCAACCTTCTGGAAAAGAAGGAGGCAATTACACCGGATTTGTTTAGTCCAAGTGAAAGAATTTTGCTGGCCCCATTAGAAGCCCTACAAGGAATTATGGACGTGCGTTTCAACGCCGATACACTGGAGTCAAGAATTAGGGTTTCGCTACCACAGCTAGGTGGAATACCTGTGGATTGCACGTGGCCAACTGGAAAACCACCTCCAGAAAGGTCGACAATAAAAAGTGTTGAAATAATCAAAACAATAAGTGCAGGAGCAAAAAGAACGATTCTTTGTCAACCAGTAACATAGGAATTTGAATAAGTAAAAATATGCGTTATTGAAAAATCAATAATAAAAAATAAAATTTAAAATTACCGACCAGAATTGAATATTAAATAAACAGTTTATTAATGATAAAAGAAATAATATTTGCAAGATGAATCAAATTATTAATTTAATTATTTAAGTATTTTTGAATAATTGATTAACATGATGAGAGCGGACACAGATAGTGTACATTTATTTTATATCTTAAAGCTATTTTTAATTGAATAAATATAAAAATCTAGTTTTGAAAATAAAAACTTGCTGCTAAATCAATATTCCCTTTAAATTGATTTAATAATTTTTGTGCTTGGTTAGACGGTATTCCCAGATTTATTAACGTTTTAATTTTTGGTTCGCAATTTTTTTCGTTATTATTTTCGTTCGTACTTGATTGTGGAGCTTTCGTAGGTTGTGGGGGCCCGTTTGATGATAGATTTGACCCCGGGCTTGTTTGTGTTGTGAAGTTACTCTTGGATGAGGAAGACGGCGGCATTATATTTTCATTGTTTAGATGAGCTTCATGGAAGCTCTTAGGGATTTCACGCTCGGGAAGGAATTCAATTTCCCGTTCTTGGATGACTAGTGCATTTCTTTTCAGATCAATGGATGCTTGATAGCGCTTTAGCATGTCAAGACCAAAAAGTAAATCAACTCCACGTCCTTCTAGCACGGTGAAAGAGCACGGTAAGAAAAGGTCAGGGCCAAGCTGGATTTGTGCACTGTGAATTCGACCAAGAATTTTGGCCGTACCGACACCCATTGCAATCCCTGCGAACCGCGTGTCAAGAAGCCTCATGATACCACATTTTTCAGCACATTCAGGGCTGATAATAGTTGCCTGAGCACCACTGTCAACAAATGCCTTCACAGGGTGCCCATTCACTTTCATGCTGACATACAGCATGGAGACATTTCCAAAGCTTTCAGGGCTGTACTCCATGGCATGTTCAAGATTCTCGGCCACACGCTCCTGGCGGATAGCTTCTTCGATTTTCTTTTGAGCTTCGACGTCAAAAGGGTCAGAGTTTTGTAGTGCGAGATGCTCGTTTAAGAATCCCATTTGACTTTGTTGCTGTTCCTGAACGATTCGTAAGAATTCAGTCGGCGAGTGTAATGCAGATGCCAAAGCTGGGTTATTCTAGAGTTAGTACACTAGAGTGAACATACTCGCTGTAGTTTCTGTAGACTTTGAGGTGAACGTAGTAGTTGCATCCTGACAAGCTCTGCAAAAGAAGAGTCACTCGCAGATGCCTCCAGAGATGGCACAGTGTTTGATGGCTTGGGCGAAGTCTTATTTAATACCACTAAAAGATCGCCCTCCTTCACTCCGTAAGATTCCAGGGTGTCTTGTCCGTTCATTAGTTCTCTTCCTTGAAAGTGGACTGCTTGTTGCTCCGGCGGTAGACTAAGGTCTACCTCAATAAGAGCCTTCAAGTTTTCAAGTTCGATGGACACATCTACATCCAAAGGCACAGTATTTCCCTCGGCATCAATAATGCTCAGCATTGTGTGCACGACTTAACGAAGACAACGCGTTAGCAGCTCTACGTTAAATAGCCCTCCACAGTACGCGTCATTGTAGCTGCACGTGGAGAGGACAATAGGGTAGGTGGAGATCCAATTCCACCTTGCCCGCTAGGAAATGGCAACCCCATTTCTTGGATACGGTGATGAAACTGTTAGGAAGGCACAAGGGCGTGAAGACGATGACGATGGAGCTTCTGTAGCTGATCGTCAGTGGGAGGATGAGGAAGAAGTAGAGGTTGACCGCGAATGGTATCTCCAGGACGATGAGGGCGGTGTTGCAGGAGACGCTGACCATAATCCATTTGCCCAATATGAGGATGCACATGGGCAAGTTAACCAAAAACTAGCTAAGCGCCAGCAGAGATTGACAGCACGCCAGGCTCAATATAACGTTGATCTTGATTCATGGGAAAACAGCCGACTTCAATCAGGGGGCGTGGGCGGCCGCCAAGCTGTTCGAGATGATATTGATGATCATGAAGAAGGGCGTGTACATCTGCTTGTTCACAACCTTCGACCACCATTCCTGGATGGTAAAACTGTCTATACAAAACAGATTAACCCTGTGAGTCCTGTACGTGATCCAACGTCCGATCTGGCTATGTTCGCCTTAAAGGGAAGTCGGCTGGTCAAGGAACATCGCGAGCGTGCAGAGAGAGCCAAAGCTGCAGGAAGGGTAGCCTCTTTGAAAGGTACTCAGCTTGGAAATATTATGGGTGTCAAGGATGATGACGATGAGGATCCCCAACAGAAGAGCAGTATTGATCCATCTCGAGATGATGGTAAAGGCGACTCAAAATACGCGTCACATATAAAGAAAGGCCAGGGTGCTTCTGCTTTTAGCAGAAACAAATCTTTGCGCGAGCAACGTCAATACTTGCCTGCCTTTGCCTGTCGGGAAGACCTGTTGAAGGTCGTGCGAGAAAATCAAGTGGTTGTAATTATCGGTGAGACCGGCAGTGGCAAAACTACGCAGCTCTGCCAATTCCTCCATGAGGATGGCTATACTGACTACGGTATGGTAGGGTGCACCCAGCCTCGTCGTGTTGCCGCTATGAGTGTTGCGAAACGTGTAAGTGAGGAGATGGAATGTCCTCTCGGAAGCACTGTCGGTTATTCGATTCGTTTTGAGGATTGTACATCCAAGGAGACCAAGATCAAATACATGACCGATGGTGTTATGCTTCGTGAATCGCTTACCGAAAAGGATCTTGATCGGTATTCAGCTATTATTTTGGATGAAGCCCACGAGCGTAGTCTGAGCACGGATGTACTGATGGGTCTGCTGAAGAAAGGTATGCATTTTCTTTACTTACCACAGTCTTGACACGTCGCCGCGACCTGAAGTTGATTGTGACTTCAGCCACCATGAATGCGGAAGGGTTTTCGAAGTTCTATGGAAGAGCTCCTATCTTCACTATCCCTGGCCGTACTTTCCCAGTCGATGTCATGTTCAGCAAAACTCCTTGTGAAGATTATGTCGAAAGCACAGTTAAGCAAATCTTGACGATACACTTATCACAAGGCAAAGGTGATATCCTGGCTTTCATGACGGGTCAAGAAGATATTGAGGTGACCTGCGAAGTGGCAGTGGATCGACTAAAGCAACTGGAAGGCGCCGCGCCCCTGTTGATGCTTCCGATCTACTCACAAATGCCAGCAGATTTACAAGCACGTATTTTCGAGCCTTCGGCGAACGGCGAACGGAAGTGCATTGTGGCCACCAACATTGCAGAAACATCGCTCACAGTGGATGGCATCATGTTTGTCGTGGATTGCGGGTATAGCAAACTCAAGCTGTACAACCCTCGGGTAGGTATGGATTCCCTTCAGATTACCCCAATCAGTCAAGCCAATGCATCCCAGCGATCGGGGCGAGCGGGGCGAACGGGTAAAGGCATGGCCTATCGACTGTACACCGAGGTGGCTTTCCATAATGAGATGTTCCAGAGCACTATTCCCGAGATCCAGCGAACCAATTTGGCCAACACTGTCCTGTTGCTCAAGTCGTTGGGGGTGAAGAACCTGTTGGAGTTTGATTTCATGGACCCACCTCCCCAAGACAATCTTTTGACAAGTATGTATCAGCTTTGGGTACTCGGTGCCTTGGACAATATGGGAAACCTTACGCCTCTGGGCCAGAAAATGAGCGAGTTTCCTATGGAACCAAGCTTGGCCAAGATATTGATTATGAGCGTGGAGTACCGGTGCTCGGAAGAGATGCTCACCATCGTGAGTATGCTGAGCGTTCCGACTGTATTTTACCGTCCAAAAGAGCGGCAGGAGGAGAGCGATGCTGCTCGGGAGCGGTTCTATGTTGCAGAAAGTGACCATTTGACCCTCTTGCATGTGTACTCTCAGTGGCGAAACAATGGCTTTAAGGACAGCTGGTGCAACCGCCATTTCTTGCATGCGAAGCTGCTTCGTAAGGCTCGCGAGGTGCGTGCACAGCTGGAAGATATCCTCAAGAGCCAGAAGCTTGCTTTGGTGAGCTGTGGGACCGACTGGGATGTGATACGCAAGTGTATTACGTCCGGCTACTTTCACCAGGCCGCACGCGTTAAAGGCATTGGCGAATACCGAAACTGTCGCACAGGTGTTCCCATGCATTTGCATCCGACAAGTGCGCTCTATGGTCTTGGCTACACGCCTGACTTTGTCGTGTATCACGAGCTGACGCTCACCTCCAAAGAGTACATGGGCACAGTGACGGCTGTGGACCCGCATTGGCTTGCCGAACTTGGCGCGTATGTATAAGTTACTGACAGCAGCGTTTTCTACTCGATCCGCGAGAGCGGCTCCCTAACTTCGACAGCTCGCCATGGCCGCGACACGCAGCACAATCGTATTGTGGAGATTGAGGCACAGTTCGAACGGGACCGAGAGCGTGCAGCGGATGAGGAGCAGTCGGCTTTGAAACGCCTTAGGCGCTCAGAAGGTCGTGTAGCGCGTGGTTCGACGAACCAGAGCGGTATTGCCATGCCTGGTATTGGTCCGCCGCGTCGGGGTCGTCGCCCTGGGTTTCGGTGAAAATAGGCCCAAATAGGACTGCAGCCACGCCGTTTCTTCCTCCACCCCGCTCACCAACATGGCTGTTCCCCTGCAGGCTCGCAACGGGCCCTGGCAGCCCGCTGTCGAGCTAGCTGAGCCCATTACCCTGGTGCGATGCTGTACATCGCCTCTAGCCAAGAATCTCGTCTTGATGGGTATGTCGACGTTCAGCTCACGCAGCCACTGGCATGTCTCTCCAGGTGTTCGAGATCCGGGGCCAGCAGGAACCGCCGGCGTTGACGTTGAAGCCTGTGACGTCCTTTTTTGTGGGAAGCCGTGTGCAGAGTGCCGCATGGAGCCCGAGCACCACCTACGATACCGACGAGGAAGAGAAGGAGTGGCGCTTGGACATTGTTGTGGCTACAGATCTTATGGAACTGCGCCTTCTTGAAGCGTATGGTCCCGAGGGTATCTCGACGCAGCGCAAACTGGGCGACACCCACGCACGTATCAACGACCTGGCGTGGTGTCCTGCTTCCGGCTACGAATCTTATGTGGTGGCAGGCACAGCGTCAGGCGTGGTGCAGGTGTGGAATCTAGAGCCGGAGGACGCCGCTGAAGCCGACGGGGCCGCCTCGTGCAAACTGCTGTACCTGGACAGCTCGGTGCTAAGTGTTGGTTTCCATCGGCGCGTGCCCAAGCTGCTATTTACGCTGGAAAGCAGCGGTGTAGGCCGCATGATCGACTGGCTTGCTTCGGGCGAGGAGCTGCACACGACGGCAACCTTTTATGAGCCATCGGCGCTGGGTGCACACACGTCCCAGCTCACAGAGGCGCAAGGCGCGGGCGCCTGGCAGTCTCAGGATAGCGACATTGTTGGGGCGCTACTGGGCGCCCGATGGTGCGTGTGGAATGTGAGCGAGAGCACGGCTATGACGGTGGCCGCGGGTACTCTGCACGGTGGCGGCGCCAGTGCTCAGGAGGCGGGTGGCCTGCGCTTCTGTGCGACGAATTCGCGTCTCTTTGCCGTGTATACAAGCGCGGTCCCGAGCCAAGTGCTCTCGCGGACGGGCTTTCCTGTCGCCAACAGCCGGCTGACGAGTGACTCGGCAGCTGTGTATGTGGTGGACTCGGCTTTCCCTACGAGCCCACGTCCTGTCCATGTGCATTCTCAAACGCCTGTGCACGGCGGGCCCGTGCAGCTGGACGGCACAGGATGCCAAGGTCAAGGCACGCTGCCGTGCGCCTATGGAGCATCGAGTATGGACTGGGTGGCCCACCGGATAGGTGCGTACGATGTGCTACTTGTGGCGGTCGGGCGACGAGTGATCCCGGTGCCGGTGGCCTAGGATAGATGGAAGCTTGTGAGGCCCTCGTACATGGCCGTGTGAAGACGTGCCTTCATAGTCTCACGATCCGAGTAGCAAGGCAGCTTGAGATAATTCACGCACGTCATGACACTTGGCAAATAGTCGTTGGGCTGCAGGGGCGGCTCATGCTGGCGGCGCACCACCGTGAGAGGCGGCTGCAGTGCGGCAAAGCCGCCCACTGGGAGTCGCGGGGCGCCAGTGAGCCACTGCAGGAACGTGCGCCGCTCCTCCAAGGAGAAGGCCGCGAGGATGCCGAGCAGGTCCTGGAAGTGCGCGCTTTCACTCGTAAAGCCGTGGTCCGCAACGACGGTGCGCTGCAGCGTCGCCAGGTCCCAGTCTTCTTGGCTCTGACCAAAGAGCGTGGCCAGCTCCTTGGACTGGAACACGTCGAGGACCTCTAGTGGCAGGACCGCATCAAAGCCGTCACGGAAGGCGTCGAGCTGCTGAGCAATGCCGTCGGCTAGGCACATGTCAACGATGGCCTGCACATACTCGTGCACACGGCTCTGGGTGACAGGCTCGTCGGCCCGCCAGCCGGGGAGCACGAGGTCCGTGCCTGGGAGCGTGCCCTCGAGGTGGAGCGCTTCGACCTCGTCGGCGCTCATCCGCTCCATTGCCTCGAGTGACTGGGCCAAGCTCGCATCCACCTGGCGCAGCGTCGAGAGCGTGCGTGGGACGCGACGACGAAGGACGGCGCGCCAGAACAAGGGGTGGAAGGGGACATCCACAATGCGCCCATCCAGGAGCGCCTTGGCAATCAGCTGGCCCAGGGCCCGGAAGAGCGTGCGCACGCGCTCGGTCGCGTCGCTGCTGGCCGGCGCGGGGAAGAGCGCTGGTGCTTGCACATACTCGCTTTGGGCGGCCGAGTCGTGGCGCCACAGGCCCAGCTCGGTCCGCTGCAGCTCGTGCGAGACCAGGGCGTAGAACTCGAGCGTAGGCCCCAGGCCCGAGCCGACTTCGTCAAAGTACTCGACCTCCAGAACCGTCTGCGCGTTGGCATACAAGTTCAGCACTTTGACGGCCGAGGCCAGCAGTGTCGAGCGCGCAATGCGCACCTTTTGGCGCGGCAGCTGAGCAAGGGCGGCCAGCGTTTCGTCGGCCCCGGTCTTGTTCCACTGGCCCAGCAGCCGGGCGTAGCCCAGTGATGTGAGCTGCAGGTACTTCCAGCGCGTCTCCAGCGGAAAGAGGAACGAGTGTGTGCGCGGCAGTTCCCTAGCCCACAACGGCAGACACTGGCTCGCCAGGACGAGCGGCTCCTGCAGCTGCTGCGCCAGTTTTGCGGTGAGTTTGGTATTGACAAAACTGGCGGCGGGCACCACGTCCTCCCACAGATCATGCAGCAAGCCCATCAGCCGCAGGGTGGGAGCGGACGGCGCATCGGCCGGCAGGCTGGGCGGCAACGTCACTTCATATCCAGGGGCGCGCGGGAGCGGCGGCGTCTTGGCGGGCGGCGCAGGCGCGGGGATCTGTCCTGGCACCATCGTGTAGGTAATCACGGGCAGCGCCTCCTTGTCCTGCGCCGAATGCGCGTGCAGACACTGATAGAGCGTCGCATCCAGGGGCATGGCCTCGCCATCCAGCTCGAACGCCAAATGCCACGCGTTCTTGGACGACTGGGCAGCGCTCGCGTAGCTCGAGGGTGCCTCGTCGTCTGCCTGGCCAGTGAGAGCCGCCAACGTGCTCGAGAGGTCCGAGGCACGCAGAGTGCCCATCAGCAGCTCGAGTTTTGGCTGGAGAAAGTCATGCAGCGTGCGCACCGCGACAATCGCATGGATGGAGAGCACCATGTCGCGGTAGTTGCGGGGCACACGCTCCGCGCTCTCCCCGCCTGCCACGAGGCGCACGCGCCGCTGCTGCGTCACCGACGAGCTACCGCCGGCACTCTCGACTGCCAGCGTCTCGGCGCGCGTCAGGCTCGCGTGCAAGGCCGTCAGAAGGGCCTCGGCGCCTGGCTGGAGGCGCTCGCGCAGCTGCGTGCGCCGCGCATCGACGCCCACAGGCCCATCGCTGTGCGTGCCAAAGTCATACAGCGTATCGATGAGCTGTGCACATTCCAGCTCGAAGCTCGTGAGCGAGGGCAGCAGCTCACCCAGCCTCGTAAGCGCCTCGACGGTATCGTCGCCGTTTTTGAGTTGTGCGGCGAGACGCGCGAGTGTCGTGGCTGTTTCGCGCGCTCGTGCCATTGCCGCGTCCTCTGGCGCAGCACACATGCGCGCCCACAGCAGTTTGGCGCGGAAATTCGGCGTATCCGCCTCGGCGAGGCGCTGCACCTGCTGTAGGGTGCCGTGGCGCAAAAAGTGTACCTGGTACGGCTGCCGCGTGAGCAAGAGCTCGATGCCCTGCAGCGCCGCCTCCACGCACGCGGGGTTGTCGTGCGTCGAGAGAATGCCCGTGTAGAAGCTAGCCAGGGGCAGCTGCACGAGCGCGGGCGCCAGAGTCGCAAGATCCGCGTACCACAGTGCGCGCAGCATGGCCTGCAGGACGGCCTTGCGCACCTCGAGTGAGACACTGGCCGTGTACACGACCAGGAATACGGGCAGCAGGAGCGTGGCGTAGCGCTCAAAGAACGCCGGCCATGCGCGTTGTGCTTCGGCGCGCGCCTCTGTTTCGCGCTGCTGCCGCATCGCCGAGGCACTGAGCCGACGCGCGGGTGTGTCGTCAAGTGCGTCGTCTAGCTCGCCGATCGAGCACCCTGCGCGCTCGGCGCGTCGCTTTTTCTGGAGGTAGGCCTTCTCGCCGTACAGACGCGCATCAAAGAGGCCATCGCACGGCAGGGGGGGCAGCAGGTCGACCAGGAGGCCTAGCGCCGCGTCAATTTCGGCAGGCAGGCGATGTGCGAGCTGCTGGAGCACTGCCGGCTGTGGGACGGAGCCCTGCTCAGGGAGCGCGCCGGTGAGCAGCACGTACATGGTGTCCAGGATGCCATGCTCGTACAATGCCTCTGCCACCTGCGTATGAGTGTGCGCAGCGCGTGCCAGGACCTGGAGTACATCAGCGATCAGCGGGCCGGGCAGCAGGGGCAGCGCATTCGTGTCGCGGCCCACGCCGCGGGCGAGCAGTGCACACAGCGGAGCGACCCAGGGGGTAAGGAGCGGCACGAGCGCCTTGTCATCGAGGAACGCCTCGGTGATGGAGCACACGGAGCGGCATGCCGACTCGACGATGCGCCCGTCCGAGTACGTGAGGACTTGCGCGAGGATCGGCGCGATTTCCACGACGCGCTCCGTCATGGCGCCGGGCGCGACGCGGCGCGCACATTGCGCGACGGTATGCAGGGCCGTGCGCTGCACATAGATGCTGAAAAAGTCCAGGTACTGCACGGCCGCGAGCATGCCGCCTTCGCGCACGACGACTGTGGGGTGCGTCGCGGCGAGCTTTTCTAGGGTCTGCTGGACCTGCTCGGCCAGATCGATAAAGGTGATTTCGCGCAGCTTCTGGACGAGGAGCGGCACCACACCGCGGCGCACCATGCAGTTCGACGACTCGGGCAGGGCCTCGATCATATAGGCAAGGGAGCGGCAGGCGTACATCTGCGCCTCGCCGTCATCGCCGCTGGCCGCGAGTGCGGCCGCCAGCTCGTCGCCGTCCATGTCCGAGAGGGTGTGGCCCTCGGGCTCCGGCCCGCCGAGCGTCCACAGGAGCTCACGCACGAGTGCATCGAGGGGAAATGCGCCCATGAATACGTCTTCTGTCGCGACACTCAGGGCGTCCGCGAGCTCCTGGAGCGCCACGAGGCGCATGGCCGGCTCATGCGCCGCGGCGCGGAGCTGGCGCAGCTTGTCCTGGAAGGGGCGCGAGGCGCCGCCGAGCAGGGAGTGCAGACTCTGTAGGTTGAGGCCGAGGTGGCCATGGAGCGCGTCCGTGTCGAAGTCGTCGTCGAGCATCGCAGCCTCGTCGGCGTCCAGCTCCTCGTCGTCGAGCCACTCCTCGGCCTCCTCCTCGTCGTCGGGCGGCGACTCGCGGCTAACGTTCTTGCACCGGGCGTGGTCTTTCGGCGACGACATGGCTGTGGATGAGCGGTCGCGGCGGCGTCCTCGCTTGCTAGTGCCTTCGCGCGTCGTGCTGTGGCGCTTGAGGCCCGCTCGTGTCTTGGCACGTGTGGGCGACCTGGTAGGACAAGCACTGCTAGACTCAGCAGTGCGATCAGCGGGCTCTGGTATCTGGGCTTCAGATGCTACAGGACGCCTCTCCATCAACTCCAGGCTGCGTCGTGAACCAGCCGCGTCCAGGAAGGTGCCCGTGCAAAAGAGGGGCGGCGGCCGCTCTGGCTGCGCCACGGATGGATGAGTAAACCTATGGGGCGGCCGGCTCCGCTGCATGTGATGCCGGTGTGACAGCGGCGCGCGGCAGGTAGTACTGCACCAGCCGCTCCTCGCTCGGCGTGAGCGAGGCGAACAGCGCTGTATCGCTGTGCGCCAGTGCCTCGGGGCCCTGCACCTCGGCCCAGCGGACATGCACCTGCACGAGCACAGCGACACTCGCGCGCCGCACGGGCGTGCTGCTGTGCCGCAGGCCCGTGTGGACCAACGGCACCATGGCACGCAGCTCCGCGCCCGGCTCTGCCATCGGCATGCGGGGCACGAGCTGCTCCATCGCGTAGAGCGCGAGCGCGAGGCGCGCGGCCTCCTGCGCTTCCGGCGCGCCAAGCGCATGCAAGAGGCCCTCGCACGCCGAGAGCGCGTCGGTGTTCTGCTCGAGCCACGCATCGACCATAGCGCGCCCCGCGCCCATCGCCAGCGTGCTGTGGGCGGCGTCGGCGTGCACGGCCCGCAGCATGTGCGTGAGCCACGCGCCTTCCTCGGGCGTACCACGCACGTGCGGCGCAAGACGGTACAGGACCAGCAGGGCCCAGAACCACACCTCGGTCTCAGCCTCGGCCACGGCCCCGTCGGGCAAGCACGGCGCGACCGCTCCCAGCGCCGCATGCACCTGGTCTACGCTCGGTGGTGTGTCGAGGGCCTGTGCCACCGCCTGCAGCACGCGTAGCGGCGTGGCATGCGCCAGGGCCTCGTCCCAGGTTGGCACCTCGGCGCCGACGCTCTGCATGCACCGCTCGTACCGCGTTAGGAACCACGATGCGGCGGTCTGTGGTAGCGCAGTCGGGGCCACTCCGCTCTTTCGCACGGGCGGCGCCGCGCTTGGCTGCCATGGCGCACGGAACGCGAACGACGACGACGGAACGGCCGGCGCGGACGCGGGCCCTGCACTCGCTCCGGCCTCCGGCGAGGCGCCGGGCCGCGCGGGGCCGGCGGACGTGGGTGGCCGGGAGACACGGCGTGGCAGCGCCGATGCGGGCGTCCTCGCTAGGGCCGGCGAGGCCGTCGGCGTCGCTGCGCCCGGCGACGGGCCCTCCGCCGGGGTGTCATGCGGCGCCACGGGCGTCGCCTCGGACGGCGTCGCCGCGTCTACGTGCGCATGGCGCACGGGTGTAGAAGGGTCGCGCGCGTCGGGGCTCGCCATGCTGTCTAGTCGGTCGGCGGCGTCCGCGTCGTTCTCGCGCCAGGGGCTGTCGGGCCCCAGCAGGTCGGTCGACGCATCGGGCCCATCCACGAGGCTCGGGTGCCACACGGATTCGCGGGGCATGCGCCGCGGCTCGCGCATGGGGCTCTGAGCGAGTGCTGCGCGCTTCGCCGCGAGGATCGCGCGCGACGGGCCCGCGCGCGACGGGGTCCGTCGAGGCGAAGGCCCGGGCCCCTGCTCGAGACTGGCCGCGACCTGCTTCCGCGTGGGCGCGGGGAGGCCCAGAAGGAGGTGCTCGCCGTCTTCTTTCCATACCGTGTAGAATGTGTGGAAGGTCTCGCGCGCGGCTGTGCGGACCTCCGCGTGAGGATCACACAGGGCCTTGGTGAGGCAGTGGGCTGCTGCCTCGCGGCCGCCGTGGTGCTCGAGCGCAGGCGGCGCATGCACGCTGAGGACGACCTGGATGTGCTTGCACATGTGCACACGGGTCGCGGCGCTCTTGTCCTGGAGGCCCGCCTGGAGCATGTGCCAGTACGCGTGCCGCATCGGGACACACGCCAGGATGGTCGACGCGCCAACCTGGCTGGCCGTCGCGACCATCTTTTTGGTAGTGCCGGCCATGCGCAGGAGCGCCGTGAGGAATGCGTCGATGGTCGTTGGCTCCATGTGTGTGCCGTAGGTCAGTGCCAGCTGGCGGATGAGCGCAATGGTATGCATCGAGAGCGTCGTGCGCAGGCTCGCGAGCTGGGTCAGTCGGTCGCACGTACCGTCTTCAGGAGGCCATCCTGGACCTGCCGCACATGCGCGAGGAAGGGCGCGACGAGCTCAGGGGGCACGCCGGCACGGATCATGCCGCGCATCGCCACGACGGCCTTCTCGCGCGGCTGCCAGTTGAGCTCGGTCTCCTTGCCCTCGAATGCCTGCGCGGCCTGCTGGAACGCATGGTCCACGTCGTAGCGTGAGAGGACGTACACGGGCTTGACGTCATCGGCAATCGCCGTGAGCTCGTCGGGCAACGGCGCCTTGGCGCCGCCCAGTCCGTGCGTGATCTCGTCGAGCACGCCACGGTGCACGTCGCGCACACTGAGCTCGTCGCGCAACTCGGACTTGAGCGCGGGCGGCGCGTCGTGCAGGAGGGCGAGGATCGCGGCCTTGGCGGCCTCGCGCACGTGTGCGTCGGCATGCTGCAGGTTGTCGGCGAGCTCCGTCAGGTACATGCGTACGGGCAGTCGCGCGCCGTCCTGCTGCAGGAGGGGCAGGAGGCGGAGCACCTGCATGCGGACATGCGGCGACGTGGCCGCGAGGCCGTGATCGCGCACGAGGCGCTCAAAGACTGTGTGTGGCGCGTCGTTCTCCCGCACAGGCAGGGCCTCCGCGCGCTCGCTGTACACGATTCGAGCCATGTGGCGCAGGAGTGTCTCGGCCCGGGGCGCGTCGTGCAGGCGCGCAAGCGCGGCCGGCACGCATGTGCGCACGAGCGTGAGCATATTGAGCGCGGTAAACGAGGCGTTGGCCAGCATCGTCTCGAGCGCCTGCAGCGCAGCGTCGCGCACACCCGCGTGGGGGCTCGCGATGTGGGGGTGCAGGGCCATCAGCGCTACATCCATGTCGTGCACGGCGCCGTCCTTGGCCCAAGACGCCTCCAGGGCCTCTAGGGACGCGGTGAGCGCCGCTGCATCTGGCGCGGTATCGACCGCGTGGACAAGCGCGAGCTCGGTGGGGCGACCGTCTGGCATCCACAACGTCGCACGCCAACCGACAGGTGTTGCGCTCGACGCGGCACGTGCGATCGGGTGAGTATCGGGCCTGACGCGCGCGCCGCGGACGGGGCCTGCGATGGACGCCCAGGGCAAGGGCAAGATGGCCGAGACGGCGACGGCGACGGCGGACTTGCTGCCATGGTGCGTGTTAGGAGGCTGATGGAAGGGTGGAAAAGTACCGACCGAGCTCGCTGGACGAGATTTTGGCGCACCAGCACATTACGGCCACACGTACGTTGTCCGGCTGACCGCAGTGGAAAAGTTCGTCGAGGCGAACCAGCTGCCGCACCTGCTGTTCTATGGGCCGCCTGGCACGGGAAAAACGTCTACCATTATGGCGCTGGCCGCGCGGCTGTATGGAAAGTCGTACCGCAATCATGTGCTAGAGCTGAACGCGTCGGACGACCGCGGTATCGACGTGGTGCGCGGTCAGATCAAGGCGTTTGCCAGCACGCGCAACATGTTCAGCATGCACGAGGACACGTTCAAGCTGATCATTCTCGATGAGGCTGACGCCATGACGCAGGCCGCCCAGGCTGCGCTGCGACGAAGTGCGTCCTTGCGACTAACGCAGTTATGGAGCAGTATACGCGGAATGTGCGGTTCTGTATCATCTGCAACTACGTGAACAAGATCATCCCTGCGATACAGAGTCGGTGCACGCGCTTCCGCTTTGCGCCGCTGGGCGCCGCGCAGGTCGAGCGGCGCATCGATAGCGTGATTGCCGCAGAAAAGTGCGTGGCCCATGCTGACCCAGGTGCCATGTCGAGCCCGCAGCGAAGCAGGCGATCCTCCAGCTGTGCCAAGGCGATATGCGGCGTGCCCTCAATATCCTGCAGGCGTGCCACGCCGCCAACGACATCATCGACGAGGACAGTGTGTACAACTGCACGGGCCATCCGCATCCCAAGGACTTGGAGACGGCGTTCCACGCCATGCTGCAGCAGGAGTTCACCACAGCCTACCAGAGTACGTGGCGCCCACTCACTCCAGCGATCCAGTCCCTCAAGGTCGACAAGGGCACCGCTCTCGCCGATCTGCTCACCGGCATGCATGCGCTGGTCATGTCGCTCGAGCTCCCAGCGAACGCGCGGGCGTACCTGCTCGACCAGATGGCGACGATCGAGTACCGTCTGAGCACGAATGCGTCCGAGCGCGTGCAGCTGTCAGCTCTGCTGGCATCGGTCAAGGTGGCCGTGGAACTGGCGCAAAAGTCATCATAGGCGGCCGCTGCGTTACGATAGGCTCGGCTTGGGCGTCTCCAGGCACGCGCGGAAGGCAGGCTCGTTCAGCAGGGGGCTCAGCCCCTCATGGACGTCGACATGCGCTGGGTGCCTGCGCAGCGCGGCATGCTCGTACTGGTCCAGCTCGTCTTGCCGCTCGTGGACGAGCGCCTCGAGCTGCCGCGCCTGCGCGCGGAGCTCGTCCATCGTAGCACCCCGCTCCCTGGCCTCTTCCCGAAGCGTGGCCAGCAGCGCCTCGAGTGGCTCGTCCGCGGCCGGGGCGCGGCTCGCGTCAATGCGTCCCAAGAACGCCGTGTTCAGCGAGGTGTCCATCTCCTCGCACAGCGCATCGCACTCGGCCAAGGTCGAGTCTATTTTGGCCGCAGCACCCAGGTCAACAGGCGCACCCGGCCCGCCCGGCGGCGCGCTCTCGGTGGCAGGCGGCCGGCTGCCTGGCCCTGCTGGGTCATGGTGGGTCATTGTGGAGGTGACAGCCGGGGCCTGCTAGGCCCAGCTAGACTCGCCGGGCGCGTGGCGTGGCGCTCAGCCCGCTGCGATGACGGAGCCTGGGTCGGCTTCAGGCGTAAAGTCCATGGCAACGACGCTTACACTGAACGAAAACGACGAATCGGCCGTGCATGGAAGTGCGCCGCATGGGGCCCTCACGCCCGCCGACGAGTCGAGTCCGATCCGCATTGTGGATGCGATCTCCTCGTCGGAGTTCTCCAAGACGTCGTACATTGTGTATGTGATTGTGTCGCCTGGGCACGAGTCCAAGCGGCGGTACTCGGACTTTGAAGCGCTGCGCGAGGCGCTTGTTGAGCTGCACCCGACGCTGATCCTCCCGCCGCTCCCGTCCAAGCACACCCTTGTGGACTATGCCACGAAGCAGGGGCGTGCCAAGTCGGACCCGGCGCTGCTGGCGAGGCGAAAGCGCATGCTCGAGCGGTTCCTGCGGCGCATTGACACGCACCCTGTGCTGCGTATCGATGTCGTGTTTCGCCGATTCCTGGACGCGCGCTACACCTGGCATGAAATTACGCGGCTCCCGCCGCTCTCTACGCTGCCCAAGAACAACCTGGCGGCGCCGCCGCAGAACCCCGCGGACCCAGATGCACCGGTGTGCTACTCGGTGCTGCCGCTGCCGCTGCACCCCGGCAAGTTGGCGGCGCCCCACAAGCGGTTCCAGGAATCCGAGGCCTTTACGGACCGCTTCCAAACGCACATGGGCCATACCATGGAGCCTGCGAACCGGCGGCTTATGCGTCGCTGGTACGATATCGCCGCCGACATGGCGGACATGGGCGCGCTCTTGAATGCGCAGAGTGTGGCGGAACACCACCGTGCGCTGGCCACGGCGTTCGAGCGAACGGGCCAGGCCGCCGATACAAACTACCTCTCTCTCACCGAGATGCTTGCCGGCTGGGAAGCGCAAATCGCCGAGCCGCTGTACGAGTATACCCAGTACGCATCGATTCTGCAGCGGATCATCAGGTGGCGCCATCTCAAGCACCAGCAGTTTGAGCTAGCGCAGGAGATGTTGGAAGACAAGCGCCGTCGTCTCCACGAGCTGGAGCGCATCGAAGCCAACTCGGCGCGCCTGATGCAGGCGCTCGAGAATGGAGGACACGGCCTCGTGCCGCGCGCCACGCCTGTCCGGGCCGCGGCGCCCACCGTGTCCGTGTACGGCCGGGCGGCCGAGGACGAGGAGGACGAGGAGGAGCCGCCCGCGGCTGCCGAGCCAGAGCCACCGGCGCCTGCGCCCAAGCCGCAGCCGGCCGCGCGGGCGGACGCGTCGGCGCCGGCGCCGGCGCCGGCCCCGTCCCCGGCCCGGCGGGGATTCCTCGGCTCGCTCAGCGACTCGCTAGCGCAAATGATGGACATGAACTCGGACAGCACGCGCCAGAGCTCTATCTCTCGTTTGCGCGAAGAGACAATCCTGCTACAGGAGGCGATGGATCTGACTGCAAAGGACCTGGATTTCTGCAACCGCACGATCCAAGCGTCGCTGGACCGGTTCCAGCGGCTCAAAGTCGCCGACTTTCGGCAGCTCATGCTCGACCTCGTGCGGCTCCACCGCGACATGTGCGCCAAGAACCTCGAGGCATGGCGCGCTGCGAAGGAGGCCGTAGATGAGGTGGGGCCCGATGCCTGGGCAGGGATGCCCGAGGCGCACCTGGCGCCGAAGCGGCGGGGGCCCCATGCGTGGAGGCCAGATGCATGAGGCGGCTCGATCACCGCTTGCGTGGCCTTGGCAAGCTTGCGCCACCTCCACATGTGGTAGGGATAAAATCGGCGGTCGAGACGGTGGCGGTTGTTTTCCGTTAGCTTGATCGCTCCAAGTACCTAGGCCATGCAGATTTTCGTAAAGACACTTACAGGGAAAACAATTACGCTGGAGTGTGAGAGCAGCGACTCGATCGAGCATGGTGTGTGATACGACGCTAACGACGCAGTCAAGACGAAGATCCAGGACAAGGAGGGCATTCCGCCGGACCAGCAGCGCCTGATCTTTGCGGGCAAGCAACTGGAGGATGGACGTACCCTGAGTGACTACAATATCCAGAAGGAGAGCACGCTGCACCTTGTCCTGCGTCTGCGCGGTGGTGCGAAGAAGCGGTGCCAGCATGGCGCCGGCACGGAAGGGGCGTGCCGCGACGCGGCGATCCAGCTTGTTGGCCAGTGCCCGCACTGCTCGCTCCTGTTCTGCGGCAAGCACCGCCTGCCGGAAGCGCACAAGTGCATCAACCAGGAGCAGATCCGCCATGCCGCATTCACGGCGAACAAAAACAAGCTAGAGAGCGAGCGCACGTCGGGCACGCGTGGCCTCGTGCACTGATACCCCACGCTCTATGTACGGGCCCATAGAACCTGCTCTGATACCTTGGCGTGTGTGTGGCCCCAGCGCTCATGGCGCACGTGATAGATAGGCCGGTGGTACGGCAGGGGCCGGTCGCCGGCGGCTGCTACGATTCTCCATGTCGACGACTGAGCTGTGGAGCCATATCAAGCCGGGACCGCCTGATGCGTACGTACAAGCCCCTTACATGTAGGATCCTGGCGCTCTCGGACATGTACGCAAAGGACCCGAACGAGAAAAAGGTGAACCTGGGTATTGGAGCGTACCGCGACGAGCACGGCAAGCCGTGGATTCTGCCGGCCGTGCAGCAGGTACGTACGCGAGTGCTCACCCGTAGGCCAAGGAGCAGCTGATCAAGGACCCGCAGGCGAACCACGAGTACCAGCCGATCTCGGGCTTCCCGCCGTTCAACGCGGCGGCGTGTCGTCTGCTGTTTGGCGAGGACGCGGCGTCGATCAAGGAGGGCCGGCTCGTGGTGAACCAGACGATCAGCGGCACGGGCGCGAACCACCTCGGTGCCATGTTCCTGCACCACTTTTACCCGTTCCCCAACGGCGAGAAGAAGATCTACGTGACGGACCCGTCGTGGCCGAACCACTTTGCGATCTTCAAAGCGGCGGGCGTGACGCCGGCCCTCTTCCCGTACTATGATGCGCCGACGCGCTCGCTCGCCTTTGACAGGATGATGGGCGCGCTGCGCGACATGCCTGACGGCTCGGTCGTCTTGCTGCACGCGTGTGCGCACAACCCCACGGGCGTGGACCCGACCGAGTCGCAGTGGCGCGATATCGCGGAGGTGTTTGCGAAGAAGCGCCTGTTTGCCTTCTTTGACTCGGCGTACCAGGGCTTTGCGTCCGGCGACCCCGCGAAGGATGCCTTTGCGGTGCGCCTGTTCGAGTCGCGTGGCGACATTGCGATGCTGGTGTGCCAGAGCTTTGCGAAGAACGCCGGCCTGTACGGCGAGCGCATCGGTGCGCTGCATGTGCTCACGGGCTCGCCGGAGCAGGCCCAGGCCGTCAGCAGCCAGCTGAACCTGATCACCCGCAGCGAGATGAGCACGGACCCCGTGTACGGCGCGCGCATCGTCCACAAGATTCTCACGGAGCCCGAGCTGCGTGCCGAGTGGAACCGCAACATCCAGACCATGTCGCAGCGCATCATCTCGATGCGCCACGCGCTCTTCGAGCAGCTGACGCAGCGCCTGAAGACGCCCGGCACGTGGAACCACATCGTCGAGCAGACGGGCATGTTCTCGTTCCTGGGCATCGACGAGGAGCAGTGCCACCGCCTCGTGACGGAGGGCCACATCTACCTCGTCAAGACCGGCCGCATCAGCATGGCCGGCCTGAACCCCGGCAACGTGGCGTATGTCGCGGAGTGGATCGACCGGGTCGTCCGGGAGCGCGCGAATCTGTAGGGCTAGTCCGCCCCCGCTGCAGCCTCCCCCACGGGCCGCGGATCCCACGGCTGCGCGCACTGTGCGCACGTAGTGTGCCCCGCACGGTAGGCGTCCGCGCACGACGTGTGCACGGCGCCGCGGCAGCCGTGCGTGCGGCACACCGCGCCGACAGTCACGATCGTGTAGCACACCATGCATTCGAGCACGCCCCCGTCCATCTCGTTGCGCAAGTAGGTGTCGAGCTCCACGAGCGCGCGCAGCGAGAGCGCGTAGGCGCCGGTGCGGCGCGAGAGGACGAGCCACCCGCGGTGCTCGAGGCTGCGCAGCAGCTCGTTCGCGGCCTGCTTCGTCATCGGCGGCTGCATCTGCGAGGCCATCTGGAGCGCCTGCGTCGACGGCACCGCGAAGCGGTAGTCAGGCGCGTGCACCACGGCGTCGACGAGGGCCTTGATGTACTGTAGCTCGGCGGGCGAGTGCGGCGTCGCGAGCTCGGCCAGCGCATCGGCCTTTGCATTCGTCAGCACGACGAACGGCGCTGCAGACACGGGGTCGTGGCACGTCCGCACATCGAGGCCGACCGCCGCGACACGCGGCTGGAGCGCCGCGAGATCGTCATCGAGGTCCGGCGGCACTGCGTCAGCCCAGCGCACGTACCTTCGAGCGCACCACACAGCTCCGTGTACAGCCGCACCAGCTCGGCGCGCGGCACGATGCGTCGCGAGAGCAGCGCCTGCACGAGCGCCTGCTGCAGCGTCGCGCGCGGCGCGGGGGCCACCATGGTGGTCGTGGTCGGCCGAGTGGGACACGTGGAGGTCGGGCGCGAAGATCGGTGCGCGCGTGGTGCGCCGGGCTGGCACTGGACCGACGATGGCCGGGGACGAGAGCTGCAAGAGTACGTGCGTGCTGCTGACCCAGTCACTGCGAAGCTGGCCAAGGCGAAGGCGGAGGGGCGCACATGGTGGAGCTTTGAGTACTTCCCGCCGCGCACGCCGCAGGGCATGTCGAACCTGCTCGACCGCATCGAGCGCATGGGCAAGCTCGGGCCTGAGTTTGTGGACATTACGTGGAATGCAGGCGGGCGCACGTCGGACCTGACGACGCAGCTCGTCAAGACGGTGCAGGCGTACTTTGGTCTCGAGACGTGCATGCACCTGACGTGCACGAACATGCCGCGGAGCAAGATTGACGTGGCGCTGCGCGAGGCGAAGGACTTTGGGTGCCGCAATATTCTAGCGCTGCGCGGCGACCCGCCCGCGTGCGGGAGCGAGTGGGAGCCGCATGCGGCTGGGTTCGCGCACTGCCACGAGCTGGTGTCGTACATCCGCGCGAACTACGGCGACTACTTTACGATCGCGGTGGCCGGCTTCCCGGAGGGCCACCCCGAGGCGACCGAGGGCCCCGAGAAGGAGATGGAGTACCTGAAGCAGAAGATCGACTGCGGCTCCGACTTTATCTTTACGCAGATGTTCTACGACCTCGACACGTTCGTCGACTGGGTCCGCCGCGTGCGTGCCGCGGGCATCACCGTGCCGATCGTGCCGGGCGTGATGCCGATCCAGAACTACGGCGGCTTCTCGCGCGCCGTCGCGCGCTTCCGCGCGCACGTGCCGCCGCACTTCCACGCGGCGCTCGACCCCGTGAAGGAGGACGACGAGCAGGTGCGCCTCGTCGGCACGCGCCTCGTCGGCGACATGTGCCGCAAGATCCTCGAGCACCCTGACCTGGACATCCACGGCCTGCACATCTACACGATGAACCTGGAGCGCGGGAGCCGCATGCTGCTCGAGTACCTGCAGCTGACGCCGAGCGTGCAGCAGCTGAACCCCCTGCCGTGGAAGCCGAGCCTGACGCCGAAGCGCCGCGACGAGCGCATCCGCCCGATCTTCTGGGCGAACCGCGCGAAGAGCTACGTGAGCCGCACCGACGGCTGGGACGAGTTCCCCAACGGCCGCTGGGGCGATGCGCGCTCGCCGGCGTACGGCGACGTGGACGCGTACGGCATGCACCCGCGCCTCCAGAAGGACGAGGCGCTGGCGCTGTGGGGCGCGCCGGAGACGCTCGAGGACCTGCAGCGCCTGTTTGTGCGCTTCTGCGCAGGCGAGCTCGCGGCGCTGCCGTGGAGCGAGACGCCGATCGCGAAGGAGACGAGCAAGATTGGCGCGCAGCTCATGCGGCTGAACGAGCGCGGCTTCCTCACGATCAACTCGCAGCCGCCCGTCGACGGCGCGCGCAGCGACGACCCGGTGCACGGCTGGGGCCCCAAGGACGGCTACGTGTACCAGAAGGCGTACCTCGAGTTCTTCGTCGCGCCCGCGCAGCTCGACGAGCTCCTGCACCGCATCGAGGCGCACCCCCAGATCACGTACCACGCCGTGAACGCGCACGGCGACATGCGCACCAACACCACGTCGGACGCGCCGAACGCGGTGACCTGGGGCTGCTTCCCCCACTGCGAGATCATGCAGCCGACGATCGTCGAGTCGATCTCGTTCCTCGCGTGGAAGGACGAGGCGTTCGAGCTCGGCCGCCGCTGGGCCGGTCTGTACGAGCCCGACTCGCGCACGCACCAGCTGCTCTCGCACATCTTCGACACGTACTTCCTCGTGAACCTCGTGCACAACGACTTTAAGCAGGCCGACGCCATCTTTGTGCCGTTCCAGGCCTAGGCGCGGCTATCGGATACCCTCAACGGACCAGCTGCAGCATGTGAATAGATTCAACTCAGCTACAAAAACAGCGACTTTTCCTTCAGGGCGCGGTACCCAAACGTGTCCCAGTCGGCCGCCTGGACCCACAGCTCCTGCATCGTGTCGAGGTGCGCAAGCACCGCGAGCCCCTTCCACGCGAGCGACGCAGGATCCAGGTTGCGCGGCGGCGGGATCACCACCGCCTCCGGCGCCACAAAGTGCGCCGGCACACGCACCGCCGGCGCCTTTGCACTGTCCGCTGGCGTGTAGTGCTCGGCGAGCAGCATCGACACGCGCGCCTCCAGCGCCTCGCTCAGGCCCGCGATGCGCGCCGCGCCGCCCGTGCACACAATGTTGTTCGCCAGCCGCCGCAGCCGCTCCTCGCAGCCGGGGCCCAGCGCGCCCTCGCGCGTGCCCGTCGACGCCAGCAGGCTGTGGAACACCGCGCGGTCCAGCGGCGTGCACGCCGCCTCCGACACGACATCGAGCCCCTGCGATGCGGCCGCCGCGGCCGCCGCCGCACACTTGGCCGCCTGCGTCGCCATCGCGGACGTCTGCGGCACTGCGAGCGCGGCCTTCGCCGACTTGGCGGCATCCGGCGCAGGCGACGGGCGCGCCGATCCGTCGCCCGCGTCCGGCGCCGGACTCGCGGCGGCCGCCGGCTCGGCCGCCCCGCGCGCAGGATCGACATGCGCGGCAGCTGCGTCGGGGAGGCGCGAGCCGAGGCACCCCAGCATCGCGAGCGTCGGCGTCACGTCCACGGCTGCGTGCGCAGACAGCTCCGCCGCCTCGTCGCCGCCCAGCGACGCGTTCGTGGCTGTGAGCACCGCGTTCGGCTCCGGCTCCTCACCCGCGACTGTGTCGGCCGCAGGCGCCGTGCGCGCGCGGCGCGGCAGGCGCTTGTCCGGCACGACCGACGGGTGGAAGAGCAGCAGGCCAGCGAGGATCGGCTCGTCGTACAGGCGCAGCGCGTACTTGTGTGTCGCCGCGCCAGGCAGGTGCACGAGGAAGTCGAACAGATTGAGCCCGACCTGGCTCGGCTGCAGCGTGACGAAGCGCTCCTTGAGCTGGTCGAGCAGCTGCGCGTCAGCGACGCGCGCCGCGAGGTCGCACTCGTGGTACGGGAAGCTCGAGCCACGCAGCACCTGGAGGAAAAAGGCGGACATGTCGCGCCCGCCGTACGAGAGCGTCACGCGCGTCTCGGGGAGGACGAGGCCCTCCTCGACGCACGCAATGCCGATGCTCGTCGCGCCGAGGTCCACGACGCACGCTGCGCTGAGGCCCGCGCCAAACGTGGCGCAGAGGCCCTCGGTCTGCACATGCAGCGCGGCGAAGCCCATGTGCCGCATCAGCACATGGCCGAGCGCACGCACGTCGCTGCGGGAGAACGAGTCGGGGACAAGTAGGAGCACAGAGTAGCGCGGGAGCTCCCTCGCGGGGATCCCCAGGCCTGCGCTCGTGAGCGACGCGCCGGCGGCGTCGCTCGGCGGCGCTGTGAGGGCGTGCGTGAGGATGTGCTGCACGTCGTTGAGCAGGACCTCGACGCACGCATCGCCGTACGTGTCCGCGTAGCCCTGCACATTGAGCATGCCGCGCGCCCAGGGGCGGTGCAGGCGCCACCGGGTCGGCCGCCCGTCGGAGAGGGCGGCGAGGCGCAGGGCCGCCTCGCCCACGACGACCGCCTGGTCCGCCGGCACGTCCGCGTCGGGGCGGAATCCGACGTCGTATACGTCGTTGTGCTCTTCGACGCGCTCGGGCTGCACAGACGCATTGTAGCTGTTCGCCGACTGCCACCCGTTGCTCACGGGGCGCAGCTTGTACTGGCGCATGATCATGCGCAGCTCGGCGCGCAGCGGCTCGAGCAGCGGGTCCATCGACTCGGGCGCAGGCGCCGAGGCGCTCGGCGGCGTCTCTGTGGCCATGCGCCGCGCCAGCACATTCGGCACGACGGTCGGGTACAGGTCGGTCGCGCGGCCGACACGCACGGCGTCGGAGCCGATGTGCACCACGAGCCGCCGCGCGACGGGGTCGTCGCCGTCGGCGTCGTCCGCTGGCTCGGGCGCATTCTCCGCGTCGTCCTCATCGTCGCGCTTCACGCGCTTGCCCGGCCGCCCCGAGCGGGCGACCCACGTCTGTGCCTCGGTCTTGAGATACGACGACGACACATCTGCGTGAGCCACAGGTACCTACTTTTTGCGTTCACGAACGGCGGCGGGTGGAACGACGTGTACGCCCACGGCAGGTCGCGCGTCTCGTCCGCCGGCGCATTCGGCGGCAGCACCTGCTTCGGACGCCCCATGCCGGCCGTCGTGCGGCGAGCGGCGCGGCGCGGCGCACGTTGGCTGAGCGGCGCTTAGTCAGGATGACGCGGTGGCGTGACGGCCCACGCGGTGTTTACGACTCCGCCACCACCGAGATGTTGCGCACGCTGAGCCGTCCGGGCGTGAAGCACGTCCTGTCCACGCCAAGCCTGCGGGCACATGCATCGGCGATGGAGTCTGTGCCTCCGATCCACACGCGCTCGCTCGTGTCGACCGTGCTGCTCACGGCCGACGGGTACGAGAGCAAGCAGGTCGTGGAGCTGCGCGCGCTCCTGCGCCAGCGCGGCCTCACCACCTCGGGCCGCAAGGCCGAGCTTGTGCAGCGCCTGAAGCAGAGCGACATGAAGCGCGCGGGCTCGACGCTCGCGGTCGCCTCGCCGGGCGCGCCCAAGGCCCCCCGCAAGCCGCGCGCGAGGCGCGGCGCGGACGCCGCCGCCGCCGCCGCCGAGTCGAACCCGTCTCCGTCGCTGGAGGCCGGCACCGTCGTCAGCCCCAACACCGGCGCGGATGGGGCCATCGGTGCCTCGTCGCCGAACGCGGACGCGCCCGAGCCCAGCGGCGGCAGCGCGCCGGGCCGCCCGGTCGACGCGGCGCCCCAGGCAGAGAACACGTTCCAGGTGGTCTTGCCGTTTGAAGAGGCGCCCAAGCCGGCGCCGCAGTACATCCCGAGCATCCGCATGTTCGAGGCGCCGACGCGCGACTTTAGCGACTCGTTCAAGCCGGACTGGCATGTGCCGCACGTACCGCGCGTGCATGCGATGGGCCACGAGCCCGACCTGTCGCACAATGCGAGCCTCTCGGTGTCGGAGCGCGAGAATGCGCCGGCGCCGCGCAAGAATGCGCTGCTGGAGATGGCCGAGGACGTGCTCCCGACGAGCGTGCACCGCGCCCTGAGCGAGCGTGCGAGCGCGCTGCAGGCGTCCGCGCAGGGCACGCTCTCGAGCCTCGTGAGCGACTACGCCCGGGCGCTGCCCGTGGACGAGTCGGTGCGGTCGTCGCCGTCGCACGCGCGCCCGTCGTCGCGCCGCCCGCTGAACGCGCAGGAGCGCTCGGGCGCCTATGTGCTGGGCGGCATCGTGCTGACGGGCTTTGCGCTCGGCGGCCTGGGCGTCGCGCGCGAGCGGTCCGAGGAGGCGCCGGCCGCGCGCGTATACGAGCCGCCGCACTACCTGCGGGGAGGCGGCGTGGTCGGCGCTGGGCAGCGCAAGGTGTAAGGCTATGTAGTTACAGGACGCCTGGGTCAGACGTGGACACGTACCCTTGGTGCTCGGCACATCGTTCATGCCGGTGCGTGTGATGGCCTCCTTGAGCGCGAGGGCCGTCGCCTTGAAGGCCGACTCGGCCTTGTGGTGGTCGTTGCTGCCATGCAGCACATCCACATGCAGCGTCACGCCCGCCTCCGTCGCGAAGCTGTGGAAGACGTGGGGGATCATCTCGCAGCTCAGCTCGCCGATCTTCTCGCGCGTCAGCTGCAGCGACGTGTGGCAGTACGGCCGCGACGACAGATCGACCACCGCGCGCGCCAGCGACTCGTCCAGCGGCGCATGGCCCGTCCCGAAGCGCCGCACGCCGCGGATCGGGCCGAGCGCCTGCTTGAAGGCGGCGCCCAGCGCCAGCGCACAGTCCTCGGCCGTGTGGTGGTCGTCAATCCACAAGTCGCCCTCGCACTTCAGCTCCAGCGACAGGCCGCCGTGCTTGGCGAGCGTGTGCAGCATCTGCAGTAAGCCGGCGCGCACGCCCCACGTACGTGGTCCAGAAAGCCAATACCCGTCTCGACAGAGATGCGCTGCGGCGCATTCACAGGGTCCACATCCAGCGATAGGTACACGCGGATGTTCGTCTCGTTCGTCAGGCGCTCCAGCGTCGCTTCCCGCAGCGTCATCGTCAATGGCCACCGGCGAGGCGCGCGGTGGAGGCACGTGAGGCGCGCCGCGCCTCGTCCACGACCATGTCAGCGCGCCGCGCGGAGATCGAGGCGAAGCGCGCGAAGCTCGCTGAGCTGCGGCGCGCGCGCGAGGAGCGCACGCGCAAGATGCAGGCGGGCGCGGCGCAGGTCACGCCGACGTCGGCGGGGGCGCCGGGCGCCACGCAGTCCGTCGACGAGCTGCTGGCGTCGCTGCTGCCGCCGAAGGACGAGGCGCCGCGGCCCGAGACCGATGCGGAGGCACCCCCGCCGCCCGCCGCACCGACCGAGGCACTTGCCGAGGGCCCGCCTGCGCCTGCGCCGCACGCCGAGGCCGCTGAGCGGGCTCAGGCAGACGCTGAGCCCGCCCAGGCAGGCGCCGAGCCCGCTCAGGCAGGCGCCGGGCCCGCCCAGGCCGGCGCTGCTGCGCCGCCGCCCGAGCGCATCCTCTACTCGAAAGAGGTGCAGACGGATCCTGCGCCCGAGCCGGCCGCGCCCGAGCCGTGCCCGAGCGAGGACGAGGCGCCGAGCGCCGAGCGCCCGGCTCTCCCGCCGGACGAGCCGCGCGCGCCCGCTGTGCAGGCGGCCGCGCCTGTGTCCGACGACTTTACCGAGTTCGTGCAGACCAAGTCGATGATTATGGAGCGGATCCTGGACGAGCCGTATGACGTGCTGACGGACTATACCCATGTGCCGGCGGACCGCGACGAGGCCGCGCCAGCGTCGATCCAGCTCGTGTGCACGTTCCACAACGATACGTGGCTGGCGACGCGCTCCGTGACCGACCTGGACTGGTCCGCGAAGCACCCCGAGCTCGTCGTCGCCGCGTACAACCGGAAGCGCGTGCTCGCGCAGGACGGCGACCACGACGGACTGGTGGCGGTGTGGAACATGCATGTGCGGGAGCGCCCCGAGTTTGTGTTTAGCGCGCCGTCCGACGTGGTGTCGGTGCTGGCGTCGCCGTTCCACCCGCACCTGATCGCCGGCGGCACGTACAGTGGGCAGGTGCTCCTGTGGGACACGCGGCACCGCGACGTGCCGGTGCAGCGCACGCCGCTGGCGTTCGCAGCGCACGGCAGCACGACGCACGCAGCGCCGGTGTACAGCCTGCGCATGATCGGGTCCGCGCACGCGCACCAGCTGGTGAGTGCGTCGATGGATGGCGTCGTATGCACATGGTCGCTCGACATGCTCGCGCGGCCCCAGGAAAGCCTCGTGCTGACGAACCCGCTGCATCCGCGCCGCGCCGAGGTGTGCGTGACGTCGCTCGACGTCGCGCCGCGCGACACGTCGCGCTTCCTCGTGGCGACCGAGGAAGGCAACCTGTTTGGGGCCCAGCGCTTTGACCGCGCGGGCGTGCAGGCAGGCCTCGACACCTCGCGCGTCTATGTGGGCCACAGCGCGCCCGTGACGCGGCTCGAGTGCCATCCCGCGCAGGCGCGCGGCGAGGCGGCGCCGCACGGGCTCTCGGGCCTGTTCCTGACGACGAGCATGGACTGGACGTCTGCGCTGTGGCGCATGGACGCGGCGCCATCGCCGTCGCCGCCGTCGGGCGCCTACCACTACCCGCACGCGAACCCACGCATCGCCACGAGCCAGCGGACGAATCCACTCGCCTTCCGCGCCAGCACGAGCACGCCGACATGGTCGGCCATAGCGCCGCTCGTGCGCTTCGAGAACCAGCACGACTACGTGATGGATGCGCGCTGGCACCCGCAGCACCCCGCCGTGTTTGCACAGGTCGACGCCAGCGGCCAGCTCGACGTGTACCACGTCGGCCACAGCCTCGATCGCCCGCTGCTCACCCTGTCGACGCCGTCCGCGCGCGCGCTCAACCGCGTCGCATGGGACAGGCGCGGGACACTGCCGGAGCACGGCGCCGCCGTCGCGCAGCGGCTCGCGACCGGCGGCGTCGACGGCCGCGTGCATGTGTACGAGGTCGCCGAGACGCACGTCACCCCACGTGGCGACGCGGACTGGGCGGCGATGGCGCGCGCGCTGCAGCAGGCGCCGCCTCCGGCGGCCCTGCGCTAGGGGGCCGCGGCCCGTGCGCCGCAGGCGGCGGGCGCNGTGCCTCGAGCATGGAGAGTGGAGGAGCGCGGGTATCTACGAGAGCTGGCCCTTGATCTGGCGTGAGTCGGCGGCATACGTACGTCGACCTTGCGGAACCTGTCGGCGGCGTGCGTGAGCGCCTCCTGGGCGTTCTTGGTGTCCCACTGGGCCTCGTCGAGGGGGGCGGAGCCTACGTAGACCGCGGCGCCCATCGACTGGAGAAAGTCGTGGGCGCCCGTGGCCGTGTCCCAGCCGAGCTGCCTGGCGACGAAGGCGAGCGCGCACGACGGGCGCATCGTGCGTGCGAGGATCAGAAGGGCGTGCACGCGCTCGCGATCGACAAAGTGGTCCATGACGCGCGCGTTCATGTTGGGCGCGGCGTGGTACAGCTGGAAGAACGCCGCGTAGTTCCCGGCGCGCAAGGCCGCGCGCACCTGCAGGGCATGGCGCACGGCCGGTGCCGCCTTGTCGTCCTGCGACATTTCGGCCATGAGTGCGTGTACGTCGCGCTGGTGCCGCGTGTGCAGCAGGTACAGGATGCGGTACGCGAGGAACTCGTGCACCGCGCCGGGGAGGCCGAGGGCGTAGAGCGAGCGCAGCTGCGACTGGCACTGGTTGTACTCGCCGAGGTCGCCGCGGTCGAGGGCGATGCGCGCGTGCGTCTCGTAGACCTGCACGGTGAACTCGTTCTTGATGCGCTGGACGGTCAGGTCCTGCCGCATGCTCTTGAACTGGTCGCAGATGTACGCGTAGTTCCCGTCCTGCGCCCACCTGCGCTTGAGCAGCGCGAGCGTCTCGCGCAGCGTCGCGAGCGGGCGCACCGTCTTGGGGTCCGGCGCGGATGTGAGGCGCAGGTACGGCTTCTCGAGCTTCGTCGACGTGCCCACGACCGTGTACTCGTCCCAGTCGACGACGTTGGGGTCGGGCGTCGCGCCGCGCGAGCGCGGCGGCGTCGGCGCCGCGGGGCCGAGCAGGCGCCCGGCCAAGCTGGTCGACGCGAGCGCCGAGTGCATGTCCGCCGCCTGCTCGCGCTCGAACGCGGCCTGCTCGGCCTCGAAGCGCCGCTGGCGCTTCTCGCGGCGCGCCGCTTCCTCGCGCACGTTGCCCAGCGGAGACGAGACGGTCTGCCGGTCGTGCGCGCGGCGCTTGCCCTTGGGCTCGAGGCTCGCCAGGCGCACGCGGCGCCAGTCCTTGGTGTGCAGGGAGCCGTCCTGCACGGCCTGGAAGATGAGAGCCTTGAGCTCGTTGCTCACCGCCGCGCGATTCGCGTCGGTGCATGCGCCAAAGGCATGGCTGGCCAGCTCGCTGGGGTTAGGACGGGCACGTACCGTAGCGCGGGCGGCCAGTCGCCGCTGCGGTGGGCCATGGTCGTGGGTGGAGCCACGTGGGGCGCGGCTCCACGGGCGCCGACGTTTTTTACGGCGGCCATGACTCGTGCGTTCCAAGTGCAAGTGCCGTGCACGTCTGCGAACATTGGCCCTGGCTTTGACGTCGTGGGCCTGTCGCTGTCGCTGTACCTGACGCTCGATGTGACGATCGACCCGAGTGCTGCGCACAAGGAGCCGGTCCTCGCGTATTCGGGCGAAGGCGCCGCGGATGCGCCGCTGAATCCGTATCACAACCTGATCACGCGGGTGGCGCTCTATGTGCTGCGCGTGAACGAGATCAAGTCGTTCCCGGCGGGCGTGCGCATCCACGTGCACAACGAGATTCCGTTTGGCCGTGGCCTCGGCTCGTCCGGCGCGGCCGTTATTGCCGGCGTGCTGCTCGGCAATGAGCTGGGCGAGCTGCACATCAGCCGCGACCGCCTGCTCGACTATGCGCTGATGATCGAGCGCCACCCCGACAATGTGGCGGCGGCGCTGATCGGCGGCTTTGTCGGCTCCTACCTGCTCGAGCTCACCGGCGAGGCGGCCGCCACCACGCAGGTGCCGCTGAGCGAGGTCCTCCCTGAATACCCCGAGAACTGCAACGAGTCGTGGGGCTACGATCCGCCGGTGCCGCCGCGCGGCATCGGCCACTACATCGAGTTTGGGTGGGCCAAGGAGATCAAGGTCATTGCGATCGTGCCGCACTTTGAGGTGCTCACCGCCGAGGCGCGGCGCGTGCTGCCCGACTCGTACTCGAAAAAGGACCTCGTGTTCAATCTGCAGCGCCTCGCCGTGCTCACGACGTCGCTCGCGCGCTCGCCGCCCGACGTGAACCTGATCTTCCAGGCGATGCAGGACCGCGTGCACCAGCCGTACCGGAAGCACCTGATTCCCGGCCTGCCGCGCCTGCTCGCGTCGGTGACGCCGGCGACGCACCCCGGCCTGCTGGGCATCTGCCTGTCGGGCGCGGGCCCCACGATCCTCGCGCTCGCGACGGACAACCTGCCGCAGATCGCCGACACCCTCTGTGCCGAGTTCGCGAAGGAGCACATCGAGTGCGACACCAAGTTCCTCGAGGTCACGGAGGACGGCGCCGTGGTGCGCCCTATGTAGCCGCCGACCACGTCCGTACCAATGTGTCCATGTATGCCTTGGCCGTGCGGCACAGCGCCTCCTTGTCGAGCTGCATGCGCGCACGGTGCGCCTCGTGCTCCTGTAGCACGCTCTCCAGCTCGCGCTCGACGCTCGTCGCCTCCTGGTTCTTGATATCCGCGAGCGCGTGGCGCTCCTTGCGCAGCTTCGATACCTCGGCGAGGCGCGCCGTAAGCGCGTCCATCTGCGCCTGCCGCTCCGTGCGCTTCTCCTCCAGCTGCCGCCGCGCACGCTCGAGGCGCTCGGTAGCCAGCTTCACCTGCCGGTCGAGCACCTCGAGGCGGTGCGCGAGCGTCGGCCGCTCATGTGTGTAGGTCGCCAGCTGCGCACGCGTCTCCTCCAGCGCCCGCGCCTCGGCCGCTGTGCGCTCCATGTCCGCGGCGACCTGCTCCATGGCCGCGATGGCCGCGGCGACATCCGCGTCCAGCTGCTGCAGCACGTCGACCTTCGCACCGAGCTCGCGCGCCTTGCGCTCGCTCTCGCCCAGCGACGCGCGCTCGCTCTGCAGCTGCGCCTGCATGTCGTCCACGTCCCGCCGAATGTCCGCCGGCTCCGTGGCGAGCCGCGACTGCAGCTTCGCGAGCTCGGCCGCGACGATCTGCAGCTGGTACTGGATGTCCGTCTGCCTCTGGACGGCCTCGGCCTTGTCGCCCTTGAGCGCGTCGACCTCCGCGAGCAGACGGCCCTGCTCCTTCTTCATCTGGAGCAGGCGGTCCGAGTGCGCAAGGTTCTCGTCGCGCAGCTGCTGGACGCGCGGCTCGTCCGCGCGGCGCTGCGCCAGCACACTCTCAATCGCCTGCTTGTCGCGCGCGAGGCCCTCCTCGAGCTCCATGCGCTGGTTCTCCAGCGCCTCGGTCTCCAGGACCAGCTCGTCAAACTCGGCGAGCCGGTCGGAGCGGAAGCGGAAAAAGTTGACGAGTGCGGACATGTGCCGCTTGAAGCGCTTCGCCGTCGGCCGCGTCAGGTCCTGCAGCTGAAAGTCGGTCACCGTGGCCGCCTCCATCATCGTGCGCCTGCGTCAGTGTGCCGCACGTACACTTCGCGGAAGAAGAGCAGCCACGCTACGCCGTCCTCGAACAGCTCGCGATGCTCTGTGTTCGCGCAGATCTCGTCGCGCTGCCGCTCCAGCATCTCAGGCATGGTCCCGGCGAGCGTATCGAGAAAGGCCATGTAGACCTTCTGCGCCATGGCCCCCTGCGGCTTGGCGACGTCCTCCGCGGTCACCGCGAGGTTCATCTCGTGCAGCACAGAGAGCAGCTCGTCCGTCTTGACCGCCGGGAACGACGTGTAGTTCTGGTCCGCCGGCGCGCCCGCAGGCCCCGGCGCACTCGCGGTCGGCGGCGCCATGCGGCAACATACACCGACGCGCGCGCGCGCGACGTTTGTATCACGTGATCTAGACTACGGGGCCGCGGCGCCTACGAGGGCCTGGAACTCGCCCGAGGCGATCATCTCCTTGAGGATGTCGAGGCCGCCGATGAGCTCGCCATGGACGATGATCTGGGGGAACGTCGGCCAGTCGTTGAGCACCTTGAGGGTCTGGCGCACATGTTCGTCCGAGAGGATGTCGTAGAAATCAAAGTCGACGTGCTGTTCGCGCAGAAGCGCCACCGTCTTCTGGCTGAAGCCGCAGCGCGGCATGTTGGGCTGGCCCTTCATAAAGAGCATGACCTTGGAGCGCGTCATGAGCTCGCGGCACCGGCGCTCCGTGTCCGCCGGCGCCTCCTGCGCGCCCTGCAGGTGCGCAGGGAGCGCATGCGGCCGCGCAGGGTCGTCCACCGGCTCGGCGCCCGCGGCCGCCGCGCCGCCCGCC